ATCTGTGGGAATAATGATCGTTCTCTCTTCAGTCGCTCCATCTTTATTTCCCTCTCCCTCTGTGTCATTTATGTGTGTGTTCTGACCTTTGACCCCTCCCCATTTTTGACGCTGCTGGTTATCAACACAAGATAAGTGACGTTGTCTGCGCCTCTCTCTCTCTCTCTCTCTCTCTCTCTCTCTCTCTGTGTCCAGCCGCTTGAGCCGTGCGTGGGAGGCAGCAAATTGTCCATTAAGTGTTTCTGCTGAGGCCCGAGAGAAGATTTGATATAGTGGGGAAACAAAAGTAATATGTACCAGGAAATTCAATTGTCTCTCTCCCAGCAAGTTTTGAGTTTTAGTTCGACTTCCCCATCAAATCACATGAAAGCGGTTCAGATGACGTTTAAATCTGAGTCTGTCGTGCAGCCAGTCTCCTTTAGCTCTCCGTGAGCGCCTGCGCAGATTTGAAGCCAGTGTTTATCCGTGTTTATGCGAAAGAGCCTGAGTGACTCAGACTTGTTTGCTCAAACGATGCCGTGAGTGCCACAATCGACGGAAGCTACCTCCTCTTTCTCACAAACCTGGTGTGCTACTACACGCTACAGTGTGAAGGTCCTTGACCCTCGCACAGCTGCCGTTTATTCGTGCAGTGAAAGTGAGAAAGTCAGGAAGGTGCCCTCCTGCTCCTTCGGCATCAAGAGACTCCAAGTGAGAACAGAAGTCCCTGGCAGGAAGTCCTCCGTTACAAACGAGAGTTCAGAGGTTGTGTTTTTGATGGTCAGCTGAGGGAAGCCAGGGGAAGGTGAAGTCACTCTCTGCCGGGTCATTGCCAGTCAGGCCTGATTTGACCGAACGGAGATCGTGTTACGACGGCAGGAACCTCGAAGCGGCTCTCAGTCCTGGAGGCTCTGCTTCTCACCCGACCACATAGGGCATCCTCTGTTCTCTGAGGAAACCCGGCTGTTATCGAACCCCAATGCACAGCACTCTCTTCTAACAATGCTAACTAAATCCCCAGTGCAGGTCAGGTTTACACTGAACTCTCAGAGTAGACGAGTGAGGTCACAACGCCCATGCTTGGATTACTGAGTACGAAAGAGGCCAAATTTGCAGCACCAGAACTCAAAAATTCCTCGCATTTTTACAGTTTCCAAGTTTTTCTCATATAAGCACGAAGTAACTTTTTGTACATCTCAACGTGTCTTTATTATTTTTGATCGGTTTTGGAATCGCTGCCGTTTTTCCCCAATATTTGCAGCGATTCATATTGATGTGGCATTACCATCATCAAAAAATGGAGAAATGGTAACTTTCCACAGCTGTAAAATCCTGGTTCATTGCAATTATAAACTGCTGTGCAGTGTTTTGGCATCTTCAAAAACATAGATGCATTACTGGACTTCCTTGCATGGATTGTGTCTTCACACTACCTGTAGCATCATGTCTACTCCTACGCAAGCTGTGCTATTTCTGGTCTGAGAGCCTGCTCAGTCTGGGCTCTCTGCTGTGGTTAGTCTAAGACGACCTGTCTAGTTGCATAGGTGCAGTTTATAACAGTCGACCCGCACTGTGTTGTTGATGTAAGCACCACACTGGGGAGGTACTGCACCACCCCTTTCTGGCAGGTCGAAGCACATCATTCCCCGTCACAGTTGATACAGACAGATTATTTTAGCGACGTCAACGTTCATTCAGCCAGCAGTCACACTGGCTGCAAGCCACTGCCAAGAAACACTGGTAGGCCTTCACAAAGGAGCTGAATTGTCCATTGAAGTGTTCAACACGGCTGGCATCAGTGTGAAGCTCCGTCATATTTGTGTGTCACTCTCACACCTGCCTGAAATAGATCTCGCGGCCGCCCAGCCCTAACTCTACGTCCTGACAGGTCCAGACTGCGGTTAACTGATTGCACCGGCACTATGGCTAATAAAGGATGTCACTCTTTTTAACTAAGACTAGCAGGGCAGTTTTTTTTTTTTTTTTACAGCAGTGGAATATTTGGAGTTTAATTTTCCACTGTTTTTGTTTAGTCATGAGAGGGTGTCCTCCCAGTTACAGCTTTCCATTATTAACCTGGGGCAACTGGAAAAAGAAAAAAAACAAAATAAGTTTCCGATGCTGTTGAGAACGATGCCAGGCCACAGAGAGTTCATTTATCTATGTATCTGACAGCAAACACATTATTGGGTAACATTGCGTTCTTTAATACAATAGCACATAGAAACCAGGAAAGAGGAAAATAATTATCTGTCATGTTTTTACCACTGCAACTAGCTTTACACGGCCTAGTTCACAGAGATCTTTCATTTTTGGAGCCAATTTCCTCTCTGGACAAATTGTTCCCCAGCACGTCTTCCTGTCTCCTCTTATGCTGCATATTTGTGGTTATCTAGTCACTTCACGGAAGGTGAGACACAAAAGATTGTCTTAAAAGGAAAAACTGAAAAATATTCATTGGCAGAACTGTGACACCTGATTTTTTGTCAGCATTGAGACATTTTCTTTTTTGACAAAAAATAATCAAAAGTGTAAACTAAATTAAATCTATTCAATTAACTGTTCTTTTCTTTTTTTTTTACAAAATTAAACCCAATGCATTTGGATAGCTGTCGCCAAAAATCAATCTGACAGGTTTGCAATATAGCATGTGGACATGCGTTTATTCAAAGGAATTACCTGTTTATGTGTTTCTGTGCACATTCAGGTTGCCTCAACTGTTCTTTACAACTTCTCGGTTTCCCAGAAGTCGGTGCAAGTAGAAAGCAAGCTACCCTTTTGAACAGCTATAAATAGCAGCTTGGTGTTGTCTTGTGGTATAACAGTTGGCCACATCCTGCTTCTGAGATTCTCACATTGCTCACAGAGTACATAGATGAAAACACAGAGGCCAGAGTTTTACCTTTCTTCTCTCTTCATCACTCGTTTCTTCAGAATGGAACATTGTCGAGCATGCCGATGGAAAATATTAGTTGATAACACGCAGCAAAATAACACCGCAGTTTATATGTGGGCGGAGGAGACGTCACTATTTTTTTTTTCACAATGACTGAAAAGAAGAAAGGAAGCCACTGCTTTCCTTCTGAGAAAAATAAATGGTCCATTTGTGGCTTTTTGCCGGCGAGCTGTTGGGTTTTCCTTTCCCTTCTTCAAAATTACCTTGGAGCTGTTTTCTCACCTCGGCTGTCAGAGAAGAGCATGGACATTAAAAGTTTGATCATCTCATTTTTACATGTGCTCGCTTGCAGTTCCTTTATGTCCTGCGATGGCAGAGCTAAAAATAACCTCAGCATGTAAATGCATGTTTGGCCTGGAGCGGAATAGAGTTGAAAACACCCAGCAGTGTTGGCACAGGTGGGATTTTTCCAATGGGAGTTCCTCCTGCTAAGGGAGGTGAGTCCCAAGCAATCTGTTTGTGTGTGTGTGTGTGTGTGTGTGTGTGTGTGTGTGTATGTGTGTGTGTGTGTGTGTGTGTGTGTGGGTGTGTGTGTGTGTCCTACTTCTTTAAAAGTTGCAATCTGTGACACATTATTTATGTTATTTGCGTATGCATTTCTGTCTCCATCCTTATGTAACACATGTACATATTGCTGTGGGGTTTCTGCACTTCATATCCCATAGGTCGGTTCAGCTGACATCAGCAACATTGTTGTAAAAGACAAGTTAGCATAGCCGTTCAATATGGCATTGTAACGATAGCATTGAAACGGTTGACTGTTAAAAGGACTCGTGCAGATGCTTCGCCAATCGCCAAACAGTATCTAGTGATAACAAACTGCAGGCCTGTGGGCCTCCGAGTGGGTGGACTTCCTGTCTCGGCTCCTCACTGCGGATGGTGGTTTCACCAGACTTTCTCTCCCTCCCTCTCTCTCTCTCTCTCTCTCTGCATCGGCCCACTTTATCTCGGCAAGCTTTATGACTGAGGAGCTTTCTTGTTTGCGTTGAGCTACAGGGCTCAGGGTCCTCGCCATCTTCACAGCCACTTCCCTCTGTTTTGCCAAAGAACACAGAGCCGATAAAGGCAGGGGACAGATCTGTGTCTGCCCGACTGTGGGAAAGGCGCGGGCACAGGAACCAGTGCAGGAAAGACAAGACCATGACTTCAAAACAGAGATGTGTGTACGGGGCAGATAGGAGTTTAAAAAGGCTGGTATCCACAGTGATATGTTTGGATTGCAGTATTTTTCAACTTGACGCCATCTACGCCGAGCATTCAGTGCAGCATTGCCTCGTGTGACATTATTTATTGCAGGCTGCAAGCACTAGAGTAACATCGTCTTCAGTCAAAGTTTCAAGTGTTCTCTGTTAAGAAAAAAATAAATGCCACATTTGATGTGATTTCATTGGTTAGAGGCAACATTTCAAATCAAACACAAATAGAACATGTCTCACAATTCTCTTGTGATAAGTACTTCTCGAGCCCCTTCGAGCAGGGCAGTGGCACACTTTGCCTGGTTGAAAATGGCAACCCTGTCTCCTGCACATTACATTCCATAAAATGAAACTGTATTCTCAGTGATGTTTCGAGGGAAACTTATTTTCTCCCGGATTGCAGTCGCAGTTTTAAACACGTAGTTAATGTTGTAAATTGAAACAAAACAAAAAAATGACTTGGTTATGTTTATTAAAAAGATCGTGAATTGGCTCAGAATAAGTATGTTTGTAAGATTATTTATGTCACAGACGTAATTGAAAATTAGTCAATGTCATCTTCAGGTTTCACACGGGACACAAACGGCTGTCTCCTGTGTGAAAGTCCTGTGTTTGTTTGACCCATCTATACCCACATGGAAATCTGCAGGGTAGAATAGAAACGTATTTGTGATACGTCAAAAACAGATACATAATCCCTCAATGCAGTTTTGTTGTATGTACCAGCCTGAAACTGACAACCTTCTTGTCATAAGCCTTACCTCTGTAACTTCTAGCCCGCCTCTCTTCACTAAATGTAATCATGATCAGAGTTGCCATTCAACGTGACAAGTTGATAATAATTCACGACTTCTTTTTTCTTTCCACAGTTAACGAGATCATCAGGAACGACCTCTCCAGCATTTCCGTGCACACTCATGCATAGACGTCCAGAAGTCTTCTGCAGCAGCACACACACACACACACACACACACACACACACATGCACTCAAACAGCAGCGGCATCGACAGAGGACAAAAAGAAAACTAGAGATCCAGATGATGAAGAGTACATTTTTGACCAGGATCTCCCACCTGACCATCATCCCCATCAGCTCGAAGGCTCGCTGCAGCTTCACAATGACAATCGCTGGCAGGCTCTATATGAACAAACAGATGAATGTTATATTTACATAAAGGGAAGTGAAATCAGGGGCAACGTATACGACGACACTTGCCTTAATTCACAGCAGAGGTTGTTTAGCGGACCAAACAGCTCAATGAGACTGAAATACTTCTATCGTTGACAAATGACAATCTTCATTTCCAGTGTGATCTATATGTTAATGCATGGACAGGCCAATGGGACGATAGGTGTCATGCTTTCATCACTTTGGTTCATTTGTTTGTGCAGTCAGTCCACAACAACCGAATTGGTGCCTTACAGCAGTGATATTGACAGCAGACGACGGCGGCAGTGACACACAAATGCAAATGGTTCATTGTAACCCAAAGTTGGAAGTTTTTATATGACTTTTTTGTATCATTTCAATGATTTGTTTACAGGGAAACAGAATAATAACGGAAAATATGTAGGGAATCTGTGAATATATTAGAAATGTATTTTTTTTTTCTCGCTTCCTCATTATCTCATTGTTCATTTATACTGAATGTTATTGTATGATATGCTTTTGTATAAACATGTATTTGAAAATGTACTCATGTATGCCTTATGCTTATATCATGCAGTTTGCTATTTAGTTTTCAACTTCTCTCTCTGATATGACTTGTACCATTTCTACTACCCTGCATTATGCTTTTCACCTTAGTGCCTTTTTTTTGTTTTTTTTAATCCACCTGCCCCGGTCTTCCAGCCCTCCCACCCACACCATGACAAAATGATGCACAGACAATCAGAGACAAATATAGCACATATCCTATGACAGCAGTCCCTGGTTGCACAGGCTTATTGAGAGATTTCTTCTCCCCCAGCTATAAGAAAGTTGAACAACGGTATGCTTACCTGCTGAATTTAGATGAGAATACTCCGGGAACAATATCGATATTTGTCTGTTACTTCTTCTGCACTGCAAGTTTGCATGTAAATAGGCACAGGGATGACCTGCGCGTGCGGCAGGCTCAGTTTTACTCGTCATTCGGCCGATTCCACTGAGGAGTTGGCAGGACTGTTACTTACAGCTGGCAATAATTGATGTGCTTTTAACCAAAGGATTTTATCTTTGGTGAAATTATTGACCGAAGTTTCCTTTTTCTGTCAGAGACTTTAGCGTAGAGCGGTTCCCCGTACAAAAAAAAAAACAAAAACATTATGCACTTTACCGTAGAAACAGAGCAGGTTTCCTTGCTTCCAGACCAAATATTGTAGATTGATATTCCACTGTCGTGTCATAAACGTGTCTTCGTCAACTCTTCTTTCACACAGCTGCAGTCGTTTCCATGTTATCTGTCTTTTTGGAGCATGCACAGAGTACTAACATTGGGGATCATTTAGCTGACAGTAGCTCACAATATAGCTTCCTAATACATTTCCGGACATATCGTATAATAGCATGACTAAACTGTATGAATAAGGTTTCTATTTTGTGCCTTACTCTCTTTCTTGGCTACAAGATAGTTGCGACTCTATAATGCTTTTCTCTGTTGGCACAAGGTGAAACATATTTCTCTTTAATATGAAATATTTATGAAAAATTAAATGTGTTTTAAGTGCATTCAATGTGTTCTCAACAATGACTTAATAAATGGCATAATGGTGACCATACATAACCTAAGTTCTCGATCACTTTGATGTTGTATTTACATGAGCAAGTGCATCAATGATTAAAGCCTTTTCAAAATACCTTTTTTTTACTAAAAGTAAATGTTTTTCTTTATTAAATATGTTTGGAGTTTGTAAAAACTTAGTTAGTTCTATGTGTCCAAGATAATACATTTTGTTTAAAAAAAAATATAGTCAATCAGTTGGTAATGGATTCAGTATTTTTCCTCTAAAAGCATTCTTTGACTATTACAAGTATGGCCCATATGGCTATGCTTCAGTTTTGAGGTCTTCACTTTAACTTGGCTGTGTGATTTTCTTGTGTTATATGGCTTGACCTTAGTAAACCTCTGACTGTTCCAACCTGGAGCTATATCCCTAATAAAGCCTGAAATAGAGACATCTCGACATTGACAAGAGGAGGGAAAACCTTTTTCTTTTTTTTTATCCCAAACCTTTTTTGGAGATGCACAAAAATACAGTGTATCACAGTTTTTTTAATTAATATTCACATGTATTTATCCATTTTACTTTATTACCGTTACTATTGCTACAGAATAGTTGCAGGCACTCTGTGTTTTACATCTTACAATTTTTCCTATGGGATTTCCAGCAAAGAGGGCACTTCAATCCGTCAACAGATGGCATTTGGCATTCCACTTTTGTTTCAAAGTGAAATACAAACAAACCTACCACTGTACTTTTAGCAGGATGAAATGCAACAAGCTGCTGATCTGCCAAGTACAAGCAGAGGCCTGTGTGTTTTCCGGTGAGTATTGTTAGCGGTGGTTAGTTATGAGTGAAACGACACAGCGCCGTGGGAGCTCTAGTGTACCACCTGCCAGTCCTCCAGACTTTTTCCATCCAGCAAAGTTATGAAGCGCCCATCCCCATAGTGACAGAAGGCAGGCCTAGGCGGCGCTCCCCTGTATGACCGTGGTAAACCTAAAATAGCCCAACTATTTACAGATGCAGCCACGCCCCTTTTTCCTGGCACCCTGTCCTTCTTACCTTGATCTTCCTCTGACGGCGCCGTATACCCTTTGACACAGTGGCGAGATGACCCCGGGCCATAGTTTCCACTGAGGCAGCAGTCAAGCAGAGAGACTAACTAAAAGCAGTGGAATATCCATGATATGAAAACAAATGGAGCTTCAAAATGTTGACATCTGTTGAAAGACCGGCATCTACTTTTTGATGAGCAAAAGTACATAACCTGCACGCAGCAATATGATTCATGAAGTACTTTAAAAGCATTTTACATCATTGCATTAATATTTTGTTCATAATATTTCAGTTGTAAGAGTGAAACACTGAATTATGCATGTGCTACACTATTAAAGTCCAACTGAAATTAAATTGCTTTCATTTTTTTTACTTCAACATATACATCTGCTCTTGAAATCATTTGTCCTGCCTTCTCCAAACATTCAAAAGGCAAGAACGCACCGCTAACCTCAGTTTGTAGGCTAGATAGCTAATTAACTCCTCAGCTGCAGTACATTAAACAGCACACAAACATACCTGCAAATATCACTTGGGTCCGGTTAGATGCTGCTGTGCTCCTTACTCCTCAATAGCACTATAACAACTAACTACAACTCAAATGTGTTTGTCTCTCATTCTCCTCCAGCAGGCTGAGACTTCCTTTTAATAATAAAAAAGCTACTAACAACACAAAAGGGATGACAAAATTTGACTTTCTTTGCAAAATATAATGAGATACAGTGTGTTTATTAGTGAGCTATAGAGGTGCTGATTGGCAGATTTTGTTACCTTTGCCCCAGCCCGGTCTCACCCGTCAATACTGACGCTTGGGCAGAGGTCCTTGGCGTCTCGATACCGATGCACAAGGCACCCTTTTGCGCCGTATATGAGACGCACTGGATTTTCAACTAACTCCAATGTAAACCCATCCATATCAGTGTTAGACACTCAGTGAAAGTAGCAGAAAGAGTGAGAGGTCCTCTAAGGGCGGGTGGGTGTTTGCCTCATGCAAACACAGGACTTGTGCTCATATCCCGCGTGAAACCAAGTTAAGTGATTTGACAACGTTATGTCACGTTATGCCTTTGAGTCACATGACTCGTAGCTTACTCTACAAACGTACTTATTTTCAGCTGAACCACAATGATTTTTGTAACCCTAACTAAGTGTTTTTTCACAACATTAACCACGTGTTACAACATTGACCGAGACCGTTTCACAACGCTAACTACGCGCAAACCTTCAGTGTCAAGATACTACGCAAAAAGGCTGCGTATGGCTGTTTCCTCTTGTTTCTATTACGCTAAGCTTAGCTAACTGTCTCCTGTCTGTAGCTTCAGGGTGAATGGAAGCATCAGAAAGTTTTGTCAAACTTCTCATCAAATTTTTAGAGAGTGAATAAGCATGTCTATTCCCCTCAAGGTGCTGAATTTGTTGTTTTCATTCAAGACTGACAACCACAGTTTAGCTCTATGTTTTCTTTGTTTGTCAGAGTGACAATGGCATGACTGAGTGGTGATCTGACTGACTGGCTGAATGAATGACTGGCAGACGCAGCATCCCCCCCCCGCAGTGGAGATATGCAATAAGCATTCCCTGCTCATGATGATTGCAGCGCGTGCCATTTTCTCCCCAGGGTCCGCATGCTCACAGCACCTGGCAGAGGGTACGGCTCAGAAGTTTCATTGTATGGATTTATAGCGTCTTTACGGCCCTGCTTCCTCCCCCGATGTATTCCCACAGAGCCCTTGATTCGGGCTTTTATAAAGTGAGTGCATATAGGCACAGCACTGGAGCTGCTGCCCTCGTCTCTCATCGGCCATCTGAAAGCAGTAAATCCTCAGTATACCTTTGTTATGGAGGGCATGTTGAGAGAACCATGGGGGTGGCTTTAAGAGATGCTTGAAGAGATGATTGCTTGACCATACTTAGGGACCTCTGATAGTTTTGTCCCATAAGCCAGTCCCACATTAGATTTTTTAATTCCCTTGAGCCACTTTTGGTGATTTGTTTTTTCAGAGCTACATGTCAGATGACTATAAACAGACCGTCTAATCGATTACCTTATGGATAATAAAGAAAGAAGACGAGGACCACGTGTGTGTGGAATCGAGCATGTGTTTACATGTGTTTTTTAAATCTCTTTAGGGTGGGGTTTTCGGTGGGGGCTCCACAGGTGTACACCGACCCCTTTCATGGGACCGTTTCACGTGTGACAGGACCAGCAGATGACCCGCTGACATGGTCACATCGTTGTGGACCGCACAGACAAATCACCTTTTTAAAAGACACTTTAAGAGACCTTCCGAAAGGCAACCAGATGGGGGCCTGGAAAATCGTGTGCCGTCTTTTATTCTCCAGCTTGATTCGCTCTCTCTCTCTCTCTTTTGTGATGCGTGAAATGTTGTGCAAGGATTTATACAAATTTAGCGGCGGGACAGATGTTTGAATAACAGACGGATGTGAAAAGTGAGAACTATCTTTAAAGATGCAAGGTGTGAGCTATGGCCAGAATTTTTTGTTTAAAAAATGAAGTAACACTATCAACTAAATGTAAAGAGGTTGCAGTGTTGACGTTAAGTCAAAGACGTCTATGTATTGTGTTGCAGAGATATCTACTGAAGTGAGCATGCTAACCTGCTATCCCCCGCCCTTTTGTCAATATTACATCCATGGTCTGTGTACGTTTTGATATTGTGTTCATTGGATTAAGTCAAGTGGCACGAACCAGAAAACACTTTTGTTTAGTCTTTCCCGCCGCTGGGAAGCTGCTTCGCCGGGAGGAGAGGGAACGGCGGCTCCGGGAGACGGACAGACCTCCAGTTAGCCGTTAGGTTGAATTCAGCCACAGGGAAAACCCAGCACTCCACCAGCCTGCTGGGACTCCCGGAGCTGGGGTTTGTGCCACGGTATAGCTGGATTTGTGTTGGGGTGGGATAAGTCTCCTGGAGCCACTGGTGACTGGTGACTGTAGATTAAGTTATTATGTGTAGTAGTGGTGAAATGCTGCCCCCTTATTTCTTTGGAGCATTTGTCTAGACATTGCACATTGCACCTTTAAGAGTCTGTTTGTATGATCACAACACGTGAGTTCTCCACTCTCCACATCAAAGTCGATGTTTTCATTATCCCTTTTACTCTGAGAGCTCTATTTCTGCATCAAAAAAAGAAACCGTCCAAGACATCCAAAGCAATAATTCTTCCATTGTTTGCTGTAAATGTTTCGGCACACATGCAGAATGTTTACGTTGAAGTACATTGTAGCGCACATTAGGGATGCTCTTAATGGGCTACAGTAAAAGCCCTTGCTAGTCAAGAGTTCAGGCAGGTGCAGACTCTTACAGTAGATAAAGGAGCCCGGCACTGGAGATGAGTTCACGACAATCACTGTGAGGCTTTTAGACGCCTTCTCCGAGCTCAATCTTCATTTCCCCTGACACTGATTTTGCAATAAGGATCCGGAGAAAAGGGGAATGTCCATCTATTCATTTTAATGATCCCTCATTATTGACTGCTGGCAGGGAGGGGGCGGGCAAAGGTAATGATTCTTTGTCTTTGCTGGCCAATCACTCCTCTTAAAAGAATCAACTCTAAATAAGGCCACTAATGGATGCCCAGTATGACCTAAAGCTGACCCCACATGCAACCCATGCGAACTGACTTCCCGACATGATGGAGTGAGAGTTCGCTGCTTTAGTTATTTCTCTCTTGTTGTTGGTTTGGTTATGATTTGTCCAACTAGGAGTAGGGATTATAATAAATAATGTCTAACCACAAACTCCATGTGGACTATATCGATTTAGCACAGTACGTCACTGAAGCGCTTGATTTTGGGAATGTGTTTTAACTCAAATTGTTAAAGAAATAGTTTACATTTCCATTGCTTTCTTGCCGAGAATTAGAGGAAGATCAATACCACTCTCATTTCTATGGTAAATATCAACATATTAAAGGACATATAGCAGCCTGTTAGCTTAGCCTAGTGTAAAGAATGTAAACAGGGGGAAACAGCTGGTCTGGCTCTGTCCAAAGGTAACAAAATCCACAAGCACCTGTCAAGCTCACTAATTAGCAAGTGATAAATTGTTTGTTTAATCCGTACAAAAACTTGAGTCTGAAAACGAGATGGGTTTTATGAGGTGCCGAACTATTTCTTGGCTGGTAATGTAACTTCCTTGAGTCTCCACTGGTTCCCTGTCAACCTCACAGTGACGACAAGACCCTAGGAAGTCACTGCGCCCAGCCAAACAAATACAGATTTTACTGCCTTTGGATAAGTATGGAGCTATACAGCAGGAAAAGTTAGCTTAGCTTGGCATACAGACGGGAAATGTAGGATGGAGTTGGCCTGTCACATTATATTTAGATTATATCGCGCAGTAAAAGTCGCAGGAAGTCAATGCGTCCCACCACAAAATAGTTAAGTGCACAACCAGCCATAAAACCATGACTTGGTTTTACTCTTTTGTTTTCGAATGGCTCGAACAGACAACATTTAATTAGGTACTGAATCCTCTACCTTTGAACAGAGTCACTCCAGCTGTTTCCCCTGTTTATAGCAAAGCTGGATGCTGGCTATAGCGTCACATTTACTGTGCAGACAGTTGAATTAATCCTTTAGCCGTCAGCAAGAAAACAGTTATTCTTTTAAAACCCTTTCCCACTAAACTTTTTTCAAATACAGATATGTTATCTGCACCCGCAGCATGTTTATCACATATTGATTTGGATGCCTTCAGCAAACGACGTGCAAAGCACTTCCAGAGAGTAATCCTACATTTCAGAGCCCCAGAAAACATTGATGTATTTCCTTTTTCTAACTATATCTAAGGTGTTGTGTTTTATATATAAGGTCATGCTGTGTGCGCATATACAACGAGCACTGATTGCAGATTATTTAGCCTTTCTTTTTGTATTTATGTAGCCTATATGTGCGCATCTCAGCCAGTCTTAGCTGTCATCAGTCTGTCAAGGTAATGAACCCTACTTTACTGCAGCCTCCAACAGCTCTTTAAGGCCTACTTCACACCACTGAAGAAATACACTCAGGTATTAGTTCTTCTGCCTGGATGCTCCGCTGGGTGATGGGTGGGCGGGGATGTTATTAGGAGCATTCATCTACAAGGCTCCCCAAGCCATACTATACTGAAACTGACCACAAGACAACCCTATCATCCTCAAAGATTACCTGTCTCCTGCACTATATATGAATGTTTTATCATAAAAGCTTTTCTTTTTTGCTAAGTGCCTCCTTGAGTGTTTGCTTTTAACTTTTGATTACTTTATGTCTTGTTGTGAAGAAGAAAAAAAAGAAAAAGGCCCGGCCCATTTGAATATAATGGACTTAACGGGAAAGGTAGTCTCTCTTGCTTCATTTAAAGGATATATCGCAGTGGTGTAATCCAACACAGTGGGTGTGAAGAAGTTTGCACAAAGCGATAATGTGTGCGTGGTGGAGTTTTTGATCTCAACATTGTCAAAGTGGGCCAAGCAGGTGGAGCGAGTCAAGGGAGAAAACAGACATGACACAATCGTATAAATAAAACAGTGTGACGGGCTTTGTGTATAGGGTCCATATGTCTCCGTCTGTGAGGAAATATAGGATGTCATGCATTACAGTGTAAAAAGACTCATTTACAACCATTAAAAGCTGCCCGATTCAACATCTCTGCCTTTGATGTGGCGGCTCACATCTCATTTGGCTCCTTTTTATATATGATAGCTGAGTTTCTCTTTTTTATTGTCTTTAGTCATTTAGAAGAAAAACTGTTTTTTTCTGTCGTTTGGTCTAGATGTGAGTCCTTAGCCCCCCCCCTCCTCCTCCTCCTCCTCCTCCTCCTCTAGGTTTTTACCAGACGTCGCGTTGTGAGAGGGGAATGGTCGATTGCATAACGGAAGGCGAGACGTGATCGTTCCTGGCCTTCTCACAAAATTCAATCATTCTCCGCATACTCCAATCCCATGACGGCCTATTAAAGAGCAGCGAGGGCTAGGATTTCCCCCCATGTGTTTTAAATTGAAATTAAGGTCACAAAGTCTGCCATGTGCGTGAATCAAGGAAGACAAGGAGCTTGGGGGGAAAATGAGATATTGAAATAGTTGGACTGAAGGAGAGTAAGAGAAAGGCAGGCAGAAAGAGAAGGAAGACTCCTTTCTCTCATTATGGTACTGTCATCCTGCCACTCACATTCATATTGGTCCACCTGTCTGGATCTCAGTGCATTTGTATCATGGCATTATTCTGAAAGGGACCCTTTCATTTCTTTTAGTCTTTTTATTCGACAATTTCAGAGAAAACATATGTATTCCCAAACTTGAGCTTTTGCAAAAATCCTTTCCAAACAGGTCTGCTGCTTTTAAACTCAGCACACCATAAGTCATAGAAAACTATTAGAAGAGATAAGGAGAATAGGTGAAGTGTGAGACACAGGAGATGATGACCCCAGATGTTCTCTGAAGAACCACTGGGATCTGAATCAGACTCTGACTGGCCTTGAGCTCCTCATTCCTCATCATCCCCGAGGAGTGGAGGAAGGATAAACACACACACACACACACACACACACACACACACACACACACACACACACACACATACACTTACATGGCTAAGAGACTCTCTGATTTAGTGTGAGGAGGATATGATGCAGACATGACTCTGGTGACCTAGGCGAACTATCCAAAGACATGAATCACTCCTCCTCCTGAACTGAGGTGCAGCAATTACTCTATACTTTTGAAAAACCTAAAATGAAGTCAAAGGGAACCAAGAAATGAATGAACATGCTCAGGGTTTTCAACCGCATTGAGTTCAAGGCTTTGTATAATCCAAAGGACGTCCAAGATCCATGAATTTAACCAAAACCTTCTCTCCACGACCTATTAAGCAAATGCGACTTGATTCAACAAATGGAGTCATTTTAATTGTTTATTCCTGCACATCAAAACTGTAGTACTTGAATCTTAAAAGTTGCAGGTAAGATGAGTGCCTCGGTTCCTCCCGAGTATCTTTTAATCATACGGGGACATCTAGTGTTGGTTTTAAAGGCGTGCAGGCAACTGATTGCTCATGAGTTTTTCAATGCCACATCATATGAAGATTGTGTGCGTATATTGAGCCAATACTTGCTTATTTGATTATGATGTGCAAAAACAGTAAACCATTATTCCATGATAATTTGTTGTATATTGAAAATAAAGCCATCTAATTATCTCAAAGGCAAACCAGGGGAATACATAACTAGATGTGCCTGTATTCATATGGGTTGGACTATTAATTGGAAAATAACACAGTAAAATGTTTATTAGACATTGAACAGTTGCAATCAGACCATAAAATAATGCATAGATAATATTTATAAAGTCAGAGATGGAGTCAGAGATCATTCCAAGTCCAATGTTGACCCTAAAAAAATCTATTGGCACATTTAGCTGTTTTTTGAGCCCCTCAGTGTCCACTATTTTCTATGCAGTATGACCTAGCATGGTTATGTCACTTTAACCAAAACACACAATAGAAGATATTTAAGACAAACTGATGCCATTTGTGTCTCCCCCCCTATTGCCCTATCTACCATTGACCCTGCTCCGGTACTGTTCTTTTTGCCCCTGTATCCTCTCTACATGGGTATAAAACCTTCTGCCTATAGCTGACAGAGGATAAGGAGAATGTTTTTGAGGATTTGCACTATAATACAAGTGTTCAGGCAACAATAAAACATGTTTTATTTGGTATTTGTGAACAGTTTCTCCGCACAAGTAACATATACAAAGCAAGCTAGAATGTAGAACATGTACACCAAAATAGTCAAAATGAAGGCACATTTTAAAGCCCAAAGTACCATTATGTTCTTATAAAAGTAACATCAAATCAATTATACTTTCACATCATATTAACAGTTCAAGTAAACTGGCTTTGACCTCTAGATTGAGAAGGAATTGTAATATGCTCGACAACAAAGTGGTCTTGTGTGATCCGACGCGTTAATAATGTTGAGGTCATTTCATCCTTGTGCTGAGCTCTGTTAGTCAATCCTGACAGATATCTGTATAAAACATAAACCATCTGACTCAAACAACATCAGGGAGTGATACAGCTCAGGTCTGTAACAATAGGAATATGTAAAGCTCACGACTGCAATGCGTTCAGTGCATCAAAGAAAAATTATTTCAGTTTTGTACAGCAGTGTAACCTATTTATTCACAACATTGGACACTTGGTGTTGCAAGCATCACCTGACCTGAAAAGTCCATAAACGCTAACTAATGGGAACATGGACACGGCACCAAACATGGAGCCCAACTGCACTACTGCTCCACACCACACGAGGGCACTGTGCCCTTCATCCCTCAGAATCACCCCAATGATGACCTTCACGTAGGACAGGGAGAGGACAAACAGGACCCAGGCCAGCACCTGCATCACAGAAAAAAGATCAATGTTATACCTTACAATGATCTGACTCCCAGGCCTTGTTATTCAGATGCAAATCAAACATGCAAAGTGTCCTAGTGTCCAACTCAGTGGCTTTCAATGGGTTGCCATCAAGAACAGGTTGGGACAGGATGTTTTCACTCCTCTCAAAAACTGACTCTGTTTACCAGCTAGCTCCTCCTCTCTAAAGGCAAGGCTGCCAGTTGATAAAAATTAGCTGCTGGCTGCAGTTATTGGATCATGAATACTGATACTGATACACCAATTTATTGTTTTTAGTTACTGAACTTCCTGCATTCTACTCATTTATACATTTTCTGATAGTCTCATTATTTTAGCAATTTAGTTTATTGTTTTGCTTATTTACTGTTTACTTTGAAACTCTTTTTTGAGAGCTACATATATCACAGGGTGGTATAGTATGGTATATATCAACAATGATGATGACTGAAAATATGATACATTCATAAGGAAAAAAATCTGATTCGTTTGGAGCCCAACAACTTGAATTTCAAAAGCTCTTGGGGTCAAAATCGGTCAAAGCTTTATTCTTTCCATCTCACAGTCTCGCAAGCGCCTCTTGCTTCCCAGTACACCTCGCCCTTTCTTCCTGCTCACTTGCCATTTTCTTTCCTGAGCTATTTCTTAAGCTTGTCTTTCTCCACTATAAACCTATATTTTGAAAGAGTGTGTGAGCCCATTGACTTTTTATAGCAGCATGATGTTTCTTCAAGTTTGATTACGCTGACCATATAATACAAGAGCACCAGCTAATGTGCACATGAATCAACACGTCTGTGAGGGTGAAAGCTTTCCTCAGAATGTTCATAAAGTTGGCACAAACAGGGTTTGACAGTATTGTCTTAATCAGATCAGAGATAGAGTTGATACAACTTGATTTCAAAACCTACCATTCACACAACACTGCAAATACGTGTGACTATGGCAGGCGGATTGCACTTTCAATCGTTTATAGGGTGTATCAATTACAAGAGAGAACATGAGGTTCAAAACTAACTGCTATCAAGTGGCATTTTGCATAGTCTAAATAAAAGATCTTCAAATTCATTGGAAGAAACAGTCTTACTATAACTGCAGTTCCAGAGTGACTGTGAACCAGCAGGGGGCAGGGACTGAGAGCAGCCATGGCCATGATGTAGGCTCCAAATCCAGTCCCAACCATGGCCAAGAAACCCATCAAGACGAGAGACCTGGAAACAAAATTTATGCATTTTCTGAGCATTTTCCGTTACACTGAACCGCTTCAGGAAACCCATTGATGTGAGAGTGTCAATGGTTTCAGTATAATCTACAATTTCATGTCATCTGTAGGAGTTGCAATTATTTGAATTGTATGTGTTTGGATAATCTTTATAATGTAATTAGATGGTTCCAGCAATCATACGTACCTAATCGGCACAAACATGGCGATAAAGCAGGCCACTGGGTTGGCAACAGCTGCCATGGTGGCAGCTAGATGGTAGGCCTTGTTCCCATAGGGCAGACAGGAGTAGGACTGGACTGAGGGCAGCACTGCGTTGGTCAGAGCATTGACCCAAGCCAGTACAACAAAGATGAACACCACCTCCAGACTGCTATACGTGCCCATCCCAAAAGAGCTCCTGGGCTCCCTCCTAACGGCTTCCTGGGGGCAGATCATAGGCTTCTGCTCTGGTGTCTGGGCATGCAGGGAAAGACCTTCCTCTCTCTTCCCAGAGGCCAGATCACCACTGAAGTACAAGTCGTTTTTTCTCTCTCGAGCCACAGCTGGGTGATGGTTGAGTAGGACGAAGGCTACAAGGCACACAACCATCATGGCACTGAGGAACACGAAGAAGACCTGGACAGAGAATTTAGCTGGCTGGTAGACAGCTTGTAGCTCTCCACTGCCAACAGTAGCGTTATCTGCTAAAGTGGCGTTCTGACAGTGGACTACGCCAACACCTTGAATTAGAGCCACCAGTGCAGGCACCAGACCGCTGAGGCCTTCGCCTGCGAAGTACGTGGTGAGGTACTCTGGGCGAAGCCGCATCATGAAAGGCAGAAATGTAACAGAGGAGGTGCAGTCCACCACAGAGAGTAGGAAGCTCAACACCAGCAGGGGTACACTGTGCAAAGAGGCCGCTATCGTCACTGTGTGCCTCCAGAAGAAAGCCAGCAGGAATGTAGCAACGATCCCCAGCCCCACTATGGAGTAGATGACCAGCCGCTCATCCAGTACCGCGGGGCGGAAGCGGTGCATCAGAGTGATGAAGAGAGGACCTATGTTGGCCATCTGGATGATGACTGTGAGGTATGATGGCAGATACCAGCCCTCTGGGATCTGCGGTACGACCAGGGGCAGCTCCACCCACATCCCGTTGATGGCCACCCAGGAGCCCATACCGAACAGGCAAGCCAGTACGTGAGTCAGCAGCGACATGATGGAGGCAGGAATGTGATCAATCGGGAAATGTAGACGTGCACAATCTGAAATACAGACGCAAGATAGGATTGTTTTGTCAACTTCACCAAAATCTGGGAAAAGAAATGTAGATAATTGCAAGTTTTTAACTGGCAGCTGATAGATTATTTTAAAATTGGAATATGAGCCTTTCACTTTCATCTACAACTCTGTAAATGAAACAAAATGTACAGTTATTGTTTACTAGAGATGTTGTACCTTGGAGATGGGGAATACTTTGGATGAATCATTTTTTTCAAAGTGCTCTTGAGTGTGTCGGCCTTTTGTCACATTTGAAGAAAATATCAAATGGTAAGAACACTGGCTAAATTAGCATCCACTCAAAACTGTGATTACTTGGCTTCAAAAGTGGACTCTGGAGTTGTTTAGGATTGATGTAATGTGTGTGGGTCATAAACAAGACCAATAATCTACAGCCATGCTAGCTGTAGAGACCTCTGTGAGTCTGTTGCCTACTTAGAGGGAGCGGAGTGTTTAGCTAACGCCAGCTTGCTAACATGCTCTCAATGACAGAGTTGAAATGCTGGTGTTTATCTCAGTAATGTTTACCAACTTATAATTTTGCACGTGAGCATGCAAACGTTTGCGTACCAGCACTAAATGCAAAGTACAGCTGAGGCTGATGGGAATGTCATTGCAGATTCTGACATAATGATAGCACTGGATGAGTTGGACATTCTGAGAGTGACATGTATGTACTGTATGTACCACTTTTCACAGCAATCCCTCAAATAGGACCTTAACCAACATTGCATCCCTAAAGGAAGCTAGCATAGCTAAAAGGAAGGGAAAAAACTGTCTTAGGAATGGTGTTTGCTAACTACATTATACCAAAAATATCAAAATAAAATTCCAGTTTCAGTGAATAGGCATAACTGAATGTCACATAGGTGTTACCGAGAACAAAAGCATGTCCCCATGGGGCTGGGATTGACCTTCCCAGTCCCCCCTCACTCTGTCTCTTACTCCATCCCTGTCTCATGTGCTTTGGTAAGGCCTGACCTTTCACACACTGACACACTGCTCCCATATAAAAAGCCCCATGTGGTTGTGACATAAACAGACATAATAAAGGGACTTTATTGTGAAGCTGTGGAACAAAACTACATCAACACTGTCATTGGGACATGCTCTAATTAAAACCATAAACAAATAGTAAACTAATCTATGCTATACCGAACATTTACATATCATTGTTCTGTTGCTGAAACAAAAAAAGGTCCTTAAATAGGAGACAGTGTCAACAAACAAATACCATCAGTCATGATTGTATCATTTATTGTCAGTATTGCTAACTGTGCTGGCTACTCTTCAAAATCTAATATCTAAAACTGTACAATCATCCTGGTTCCTAAGAGTTAAGCCTGGTTGTTCTAGGATAACCAGGAAATCCCATAACCCTCACTACCTTCACACAGACACCCTCCACAGCTGGTGTCAGAATATCTCGTCTTACCTCAGTCAGAACATAACCGGAAGGCTCTCCTCTTCCCTCTTTCCTTTCAAACAACGGTCACTCCATTGTGATCCCAGTTTTTTTCTCAGCCGCAAGTGTGTGTGAGTGCGTATATATGTGTGTGTGTGTATGTATGCATTCCCTCCCCCTTTTCTCCTCCACACCAAACCTGTCCCCTGTCTCCTAAAACACAGGCTTACTCTACTTCCGTGTCTGTGCTGCACTTGACAGGGGAGGAGCTGCACAGGCGCATATGTCCTGAAATGACACTTCTATCCTTCTATTGGAGAGCGGTTTCAAAAGTCATGCAGCCATGTGCTCTGCATGGGCCTGGCAGATCAGCAATAGGAGGAAAGAGAGTCACGTGAGAGGCCTCACTGAGATTAGCTCCTCCTGTTCCTTTTCCCTCCCCCAACCAGCATACGACCTTGTGGCCTGCCCTCCTTCAAACACACAGGCTGCAGTGTGAGTGAGAAAAGTGAAACGGCATTTGGATTCCCACTCAATGAAGTGATGTACGAGATATTACACATAACACACCGACTGTCCCTCTAATCCTCTGATCCCTGCCTCGGTTTATTTCTTATGGCCTGCTAGGCCTCGACTGGCTTCTCCCTGTGCCAGCAGTTCTTTTGTTCAGACCATTATGTTGCATCTCTAGTTTCACAATCATCAACACAAAGGCGGTGGTTTCAAAGGTTCTGCAGGGCTGCTGGTTGCCTCCTCCGACCACCTACTTCGATATACTGTAGCTATCCCACCAGCAGCAGTGAAATAACTGCTGGGACCACAAAGGCTGTCTCCTCTGTCCGCCGGCTACCCTGACTGCTGCTGATTGCAGCAGCAGCATGCTTTCATTAATAGCAAGTATGTAAGTGAGGAGCTCAGCCTGGAGGATAGTCAAAAACTATTGGATGGTTGAAATTCGGTACGGACATTCATGGTGCCCAGCAGATGATACCTTTCCTCTAAAGCTGGGGTCTTCAACGTTTTTCAGGCCAAGGACCCCCAAACTGATAGAGATGGAGCAGGGACCCCCGACTATATTGTATAAAATTGTGTTTTATATTAAACTGGGCCTAGTGCCATGTATAAACATACCTTGTTATTGTGCATTCAATACTAAGCTATTCAAATAATACACAGGTTCATATATTCATGTTTTTATTTTAAACATGTGCAAGGTACAGTGAGTAGGGAGGCCGTGCCACTGACATTTATAAACACCTTGTCAGCTGATACCAATGCCAATATCAACATTGTCTGTCAATTGCATGATAATCATGCACACAAGCTATTCAAATTGATGTTTTCATTTTAAACATAAATGTGGAAACGAAAATGAGTGATGGCCTATTAGTGCCACTGCCATGCATAAAGATACCTGTTATCTTGCATACAATACTGAACTATTAAAATAATGGACAGATTCATGTTTGGGAAAAAAATAATAATAATAATAATTTAAATTGTCTAATCAACCAAAAATGTCGCGGACCCCCTGTTGAAGACCTCTGCTCTTGCAGACATCCATGTCTCCCCTCTTAACTGTGGTGATTTTTAAAATGTTTCATCTTGTACCATCATCATGCAAACTTTTGATAAAAATAAAAAAAAATTATAAGACAGCAGAAATCAAGAAACATTCCAAAAAAAAAAAAGACACATACACCTGTTAACTTGTGATAGTATTGTCTACAGAGAATCAAAACATCTTTTGTCAAGGTTGTCAGCTAACAAAACATCAGCTGACTGATGAGGCTGAGAATGTAAAAGACTCCGTGTTATGTACCAGACTGCTCAGGAGCACTGCACAGGCTTATGTCCTTATTTCAAAGATTCAAGCCTATACTTCATGAGTTGAAAATAGTGACTATTGTGCATTGAACTGAGATCGCTACCTTTGTTTTTAATATTGCAATTACACACTTTTAAACCAATGAAAAACAAATGACTTAAGTGATAGTAATATAATAATATAAAACTGCTTTAGAGTGTCAAATTGTGCTTTTCTGCATCACAGAATGTTTAATAAGTAGCATCATAAATAAATACTGCATACATTTTAATCCCAAATAGTTTTATTAGATAAGGACAGTTGCTAAGGACAAGCTAAAGAAGTGCAGTGGAAAACTAGCCAGAGTTTACTTTGATTGTTTAAAAAGTTTTTTTTTGTGTTAGTTTCCAAAACCTTTAACAGGACCATGTCTTGTGACAGAATTCCTCCTTTTAACGATTCCACAGCTTAAAACAAAACACAATACACTGTCTGGACTCCATTCAATATGTTAAATCACCTCTATTCATCATTCTACATTAAACAAGATACCACCTACCTGCTCGTGGGAAAGGAGGCGCAAAGACACTTCTGGTGAGAGGTTACACAATAGCAACGGAGAGTGAGCCCAGGGTCACTCTGTCCAGAGGTGTAACAACACAGTGGCCCTCTGATGTTGCTTTGTGTGGAGTATGCACGCACAAGAGTGCTTTGCATTTCCCTACTCTGGATCTCTGACTCTGTGTCAGGTGACTGCAGAGGGCCGAGTCAGGGGGCCAGTGTTGGAAAAAGTCCTCAGCAGCAGGGGGGGGTGGGGGGTGAAGGGAGTGAGAACAGAGGGAGAAAAGAACGTGAGAGGATGGATCGATGGAGGAAAGGGAGCTTAATAAATGTTGGCAAGAAAGTAGAGAAAAAGGAACAGACTGAATCTGATGAGTCTACAACATGTATTTGAATGTCCTTTCCATTTTCCGCAGAGGGCGAATGCGGCTTAGCCAACCAGAAGATGGCTTTGGACAGCTTTCTGTGCTTTCTGAGTGGGTGTTTGGTCGGGGTCGGTCCGGCTTTTGTTCAGCACAAATTCCAAATGAATGACCCCTGTTGGGCACTAACTCCATGGCATTTCACTCAAGTGCCCTTGCACCCACCTGGGCACTCACTGGCACTACATGTTCCCTTCCTGAATAACACAATTTATTTCCAGACCCGTGACAGTAAAGTGAATTGCTTTTGATAAAGTAAATAAAAATGATTTGAGCTTTCGTGGGTGTGAGATTAAGGCGACTGTTGCGTTACTAACACATTTAAACAGCTGTTAATTCGCACAAGGAAATAATTGTTGCTCTCAATCTGTTTTGTTTTTTTGGCAAATTGGCCTTTGAAATGTTTTGAGTTAAGCATTGAGTTTAGTAATGTAACAAGTCTAAATGATGAAATGTGTCCGTGGGAGGGGTCTACACGGAGAGTCTCTACTGTAACAGCAGTATGTTTGCATTACCCAGTGAAAGTTCATATTATATACCCTGATTGCATGACCTCTTTGCTCTGCTACACTGTAAGGGCCAGTCACAGGACAGGGTTGTTTAGATAAAACATCAGGATTGTCATGGTGAATATTTGCGTAGAAGTACAATACTTTGCTTTCTTTCTCCAAACCGCCGGCCTGTGTGTTTGAACAAATATGTCTGTGCTTTTGATACCGCATGTCAGTGTGAGTCTGAACAGATTCACTTGTTAGACATCAACAGGAGGGCAACTGGAGCTGGGGGATCCACAGATGGAATTTTACATGTTTCTTTTAAACAAACACAGTCAGTCCACCACCGTGCTTCTTCACGCAACACATTCATGAAAGCTTTTTATTTTTTGGAAATAATTTATGGTGTCTGTAACTAAGCAGGAATTTCTCACCATTATGATTCACTTCATGAAGACAGGATGGGATGCACAAGGAGATAGGCTGTAAGAAAACCACAGAACGAACAGGAGTTTCTTGTAAACTATGAGGGGAGTCAGAGGTTGAACGGCCACGCAAACACATGGGAGCTGCCTTGCTAGCTGGCTGACACAATATGTTGGGTGTCCACATATGGCGGCAAGCTCAAGGACCACTCATGGTTGCGATTATTCTCACTTTCTCAAAACACAGCTGCCACAGTCTCATAGCCTGTCGAGAACTGCCTGCTTATTCCTCATTCACCACTGGCTTTACTGGCCCCGGCCGGTAGGGGGCGCTCGGGGCCGCTACTGATAACACAGCTGAGTGCATACAACCTTCAGCTGCTACTCTGTGCCCAGAGTGACAGTGGGCAGAAACAGCTAGCATACTGTTATTTTTGGCGGTGTGTTTAGCTAACAGCTAACGGAACTACCAGTACGCACACACCTCTCGGCTGCTGCTCTTGCCTGGGTCCAGACCTTTGAATCTGCCCACTTCAGAAAGTTTCAGTGGACTGGAAACAGAGTGAAGCGAGTTGACAATTCTGGCTAATATCAGGCAACTCCTGCAGGATTGCACAATGAAATGAAGATTGCAGTCCTATTTTCACAACAACAAAAATGACTGCAGTGTCATGTGCAACCTTCACACAGAGGAAGCAGTTGTGGTTGTAGAGCGTGAACAGGAGGGGGCTGAGCACATAGCCCTAGGGGGGCTGCGGGGTTTAACACTAGAGTGGAGGAAATGTGGTTGCCCATTGGAACTGCCTAGGGTCTGTTTGTGAGAAAGTCTAATAACCAGTTGCAGAGTGAGGACCTAGAGTGCTAAGTTTATCAATTAGTTTCATGCGGGGGAACTGTGTTGAATGCTGAGCTGACAAAAAGCATTGTGATGTAGGTTTTGTCATTGTCTTCATGGAGATTGCCACTTTCCACATCAATGTGTGAAGAGTAGTGGTTACAGTGTTTGAGGCAGTGCCCTGTCCTTTCCTATGAAAGTTGCTCAGTGGCAAAAAAGTTTGACGTTCGAGTTTAGAATTCAGATTAAAATACCCGGGTATTCTGCATTAGATGGCCCATAGAGCATGCGCACTAGCATTTTCTGTAACCCCGCTCCCCAGGTCTCGATCCAGCCCAGTTCTGGGGCTCAATTACATGAACAGAGGAAAGAGAATAACAGCGAATTTGCTATTATTGCATTTTACAACTTTTAAGACCTAATAATTTAAGATATATATTCTGGTGCTTGTGGTGGGAAGTTGATTTACCTAAAAAAAACAGTCATGAAAAATAATACAGTTAGCATGTCAAAAAAAGTCATGAGAAAATCCTAGTACAGCATGTCGAAAAAAGTAATAGTTTAGCATATCGAGATAGTCATATTATAGCATGTCAAAAACAGTCATAGTATGTCGAAAAAAAATCATAAAAAAATCATAGTATGGCATTTAGAAAATAAATCATAAAGTCATAGTCTAGCATGTCGAAAGAAGTCATAAAAAAGTCTTAGTCTAGAATGTCCAACACTCCTCCTGCATAACTCACTCATATGCTGGCTCCTCTATTGGTCTAGAGCTGTTGCAGTAGAAGTCGTTTTTGTTGTAGAAGGCACAAATGTATGTGAATGTGATGCAAATTGTTATGTCTTCCATCTCTTCTTTCCTTCCCGGATGAGTACATGAGTTTTCCATTCCGGACCAAAATCGGACAGATTTCCTTCACTTGTTCCATCCACCTTGTTGTTTTCTTCTTCTACTGTTTGAATGTATAAAAGGCGATTGGGGTTGTGAATTTATCTAGCAGACTCAACTTCAAATTTAACTTGATGCATACATTTATATATTGAACTTTCTTCAGCAAATGTGTACTGTGAAAGGGGTCATTCTCAGGGATGAACCCACAGAGAATTGTCACTTGACTGCAGTTCCCCTGCTCTATAGCTTCTTTTGGCTTGTTTCTGGTTCTTCAGCCACAATATTACTATTTTGTTTCACCCTCACTGCTCTCATAGCATTTACAGCAGCGCAGGCAGTTGTTGTTAATGAAAAATCTAAAAGAAAACCACTGTACACTACTTGCCCAGCGCCAAATCACAGACAAAGTGAACATAGCAACGCATTTAGCAGCTGAAGAACCAGATATCATTTCAAGAGTTGGTAGAGACCAAAACAAAGCTAAAAGAGAGTGAATATTAATTACACTTACATGGTCCAAAAAAATGAATATTAATATTGCTTTGTTACTGCTGGATGAGCGAATTAACAAGCTAACAAGTTAAGCACCGACTTAAAAGATTATCAATACTGTGTCTTTACAGCTTGTTTCTGCTTCCCCCAAGTTATTGCAGACGTAAGAACATTCAAGTACACTTGTATTAGTGAAACTGAACAATTGAAAAAAACTGTATTTTAAATAAATTTGTCATTTGGTTTCTCCATCTTCAGAAAGTCTGTAAGTGCAAATCAATCGTCATCTCTCATTGATTTCCGGCAAAATAGCACACAAATGCAGCACCGTATAATATCAATGAGGGAATGATCATGGCAAATATTTTTTTATTTTTCTAACAAAAAGATTTTTTTTATACAAGTGGACATCAAATTATTAGTGATATTAAATGGACAGTTTCCCTAAATTAGACATTAGAATGAGTGCTGGGTATAGAAACATTTACAGTACACAAAGATTAGGGTGCATAGCAATAGAAGTGAAATCTGGCTATTGTGTTTCTACAGTACAGTCAAATTTCAACCTTCTCCAACATTAACACACTGAGGCCAAGAGGAAAAAGTATTTCATCACGTAAAACAAATCATTTAAAAAAAATCATTTCGACAACTGCATAGACCAAATGCAATTAAATACATAAGTTACTGTCTTCAACCTCAGGTATATCGAGTACAAAGGTGCACATACAAATAGAGCAACTTTCCACTGCTGATAACATATTGTGTAAGTATTAACTGCTTTATAATAGAATCAGAGTGACCGCCAGGCACATTGCAGCACTGAACAGCCTCTGCTGTAGACTGATGGTGGAGCTGCAGTTGCTTCTCTCTCAGAGAAAATGGGTTTCAGTATCTTTTGCTGAAACAATGCATACTGGTATCCTCCGGATCACGAGGAGACTTCGGAGGAAACAGATGTCTTACATGTTTGAAGGTAGAGTAATAAAATCAAGACAGTTGTGCACATTTTTACGAATGGACTGGAGGTCAGATAAGACAAACATCGAGACGGAAATGTAAAAATATGCCGCTTTAGGTAAAACAGCCTGGAAAGAGATAACAAGGAAAAAAAGGTAGATTTCACTGAAATATCGCCTCCAATGCATTCTTATGAAAAATGAATTCACTTAGTCACGACAACTGACAGATCTTCCAATTAGTAAAACAACCTATCTACAGTAGTAGGACACAGAAAAAAGTGCATTTTTATGAAAATGTGCTAAACAAAACATTCCCAGGAAGTACACTGTTATAAAGAAAACAACAGATCTACACGTTCACAGTCATGTTCCATAGAAATACATACATCCAAAGGCGAAACCAATCCTGAGAAAATAATCTCTACAAATCAACAACGACCTGTTGTACTTCAGTGCATTGATCATTACAACAATCTCCAGTGTTTAAAACATCCTTACAATAAAGAACAATACAAATACATAATTATTGGAGAACACGGTGTCAAAAAAGGGTAAAAGACAAAAAAACTGTGTGGCCCTGCCAACAATGTCATCTCCATGGAATGAAATAAAAAAAACAATAACATCACAAAGTTGAAGGACAGCATACTGTACCGTTCACATACTTATGGTTTTGGTATATGTGGGGTTTTTTTGGAGGCTAGTAGGGGCAGTCAGACAGCGCAACACCTTTACAGACCATGTACAAATGTGTAAGTCACTTTTAAATCACTTGCACCACATTACCGTCCAAGACATTATTCTCAGATTCAGCTACTTTGCTTATCTTTACAAATAAAAAGAATAACAAGCTGGTGAAAAAAAACTATATCGGATTCAAAGCAAGGCTCTGGCTATCATGCAATAATGATCCATGCAGAAATTTGCGAATTCCTCCTCTCTACTCTTCCTAATCAGATACTACTGTATGCAATGTAATAGGGTCCTTGCATCTGCTGACCTCCTCATTGTCCGCACATGATCGTCACACAGATATTTCTCAAACCCTTTACCATCACATCTGGTGACCTTCGCTGCACTCTTCTGTCAGTGTCTGCTCTTCACATGTGACTGATGCATTGTTTTTGTTGGCCCCTTCATCACGTTACTTCTGCTCATCTCTCCTTTTTGGGGGCCCCAAGGCTGTGTTTTGGTTCAACACTGCAGCATATACACATGGTTCTCAGAGGCAGAGATAATCATGTGGGTAACCTCTCAGCTTCGTCTAGACGGTGCACAAGAATGAAAACAGAAAGAGCGGGGGTTAACTCGCCATCTCAAGTTATAAGATCTTTTCATGTTTGTGTATCCAGAGAGACTTGTACTTACGTGGATGGATGCACGACAAAAGCAAATGTCCTTAACAATAACTGAGGTGATTGACTGACCTGATGGTGAGGGAGAATTGTCCTCCCCTGCTGTGGCAAACTGAAGGTCAGACCCCAACGCAGCGATGGAGCTCCTGGGACGGATGCAGCGGTCACCTGAGAAACTTCTGCGAAGTAATGCCTAAAGCAAGACATGTTAGACTAGTTAGAGTAAGATGGGGTCAAATATCTTATAGTGCATGTGGAGCATGTCATGCTCCTCAAAAGCACATTCAAGAAAACTCAATTCAAAGGATGTTACTCCCGTTTTCAAATTCATTTATATTGGATAACATTCTACATTTTGACAAGTTAAAAGGGACAGTTTACCACAAAATCAAAAATACATATTTTCCTCTTACCTGTGTCAATCTACATTGTTTTGGTGTGAGTTGCTGTAGAGATATCTGCCTTCTCTCAAATGTAATGAGACTATGTGGCAACCGGCTTGTGGTGCAGCGCAAGATGTAAGCATGAATGGCGTCCTCCTCAGCTGAGCTGTAGCATCAGCTAGCTCAGGTGAGCCAGTAGTATACGAGCACAAGCCTCTCGGCCACGAGTAGATGCATACTTCCTTCCTTTCTGCGTGGTGATACGGTTAGCCGGTGTAGTTCAGTAGAAAGAAAATAGTTCCTACCTGGCCGAGTTCCGTATAGTCCCATTATATTGGAGAGAAGGCAGACATCTCTACGGCCGATACCTCCAACACTCAGCAACTCACACTAAGACAATCTAGACTGATAAATGGCACTACAGGTAAGAGGAAAAATATGTAGTTTGGATTTTGGGGGTAACTTTCCCTTTAAACTAACAAGAAGTTAAACTTAGAAGAGTGGAATGCATGAACCGGATTATGTGTTTTACTTGAAAATTAAAAGAGGTGAATATGAAAATAAATAACTAACTAAAAGGAAACAGTGGGGGGGAGACAGCAAATAACAATGTTATGAAGTGTGTGTTTATGGTAAAAAAGTGCGGTCATGACATGCTGACCCACATGTAAATGACAGTTTAACAGAATGCGGCGTTTGCCTTGCCTTGCGTGTCATGGGGCTGGTGGGGGCGGAGGCACTGCTGTAGAGGCTGAGGCTTGAGTTAGACCTGCTGACAGTCAAACCCTTAGAAGTGCTTCCTGCAGGAGACAAGTACTTCTCCTTGATCTTCAGGTTGGTCCTGCCTTTCACTGTTGGTGACACAGCAGGGGCATTTAGCAGAATACTGTAAACACGTTTGTTTGAATTTATAGTAGCCACTCCTCTAATAAAAGCCAGCAGAGTCTGTATGCATAAATAATTGAAGCAAGATTGCCAGTATAAGTCATTCAGAAAAACAGTATTCAAATGGTAGGCTCACGGAAATATTACTAAAATATCAAGACTTTGCCAGAAACAGAAATATAGAGGAACACGCTGACATGCTTGAGCAGTTTTAATTATTCAAAAATGTTAAATGGACACAATCAATATCTGACATATTACAGCTACAATTATCGTAGGATCGCACGCCACTAAAGTAGAAATAGTTTTATGTAGAATGTTTAACCGTTCACCCGACACCAATAATGTGTTTAAGTTCAAATCTGCTGAATGTATGGATCCAAGCAGCACATATCACTTTTAGTCATACCAGGTGTTAAAGACTTGTCATATTACAGTAAATTATATTTATTAAAAGATAGAGTTTGCAGGGATAATTGGAATGTTTAGGAGTAGTGCACTAACCTCTGCAGGGGTCATTCTTGACCAGGAACTCATCTAGAGCAGTCCAGCCTCCTCCCACCCTCACCATCAACGTGCTACGCAGGATACGAACCATCCGCAACTGTTGGGAATCTCCAAACTGCGGACAAAATACATATTGCAAGTTATATTTTTGCTGGAAATCAGAGGACCAAATGTGAAAGCTGCTTTACAGTTTTTTAATTATTGTCTCTAAAAATGACTCACCCTGTATCTATTGGCACTTATTTGCTCCACTTGGAACCTCTTGGGACAGTTACACTGCGATACCTGTCGACTCACCTAAATAGGGAAAGAGTGTAACAAGTGCAGTGTCACAGTAAATAAACCACGACCTTTGTGTTTTCTAGTGTGCACATGGTTCATACCTCTTCGTTGATTTGATCTGGATCCAGCGGTCTCCTGTAGGGATCTCTGCTCGGGTGAAGGGCACTCACAAACTCATAATAGTCGATGAAGCCGTCACTGTTCATGTCGAAGATGTTTGCCACTGCGTTCATCTCGAGAGAGTTGGTGGGAAATTCTGCAGCAGAGAGGTGTAAAGCCATTCTTTGTTTAAGAAAAGTAAATCTGGGAAACGATGTTGTCATAACACCAGCATAAAATAATGGTAATAGGGTTAAATTCATCTTTCAGCATTATAGGTCATGATTTCTGCCATCATTTTATTGGAACCTGAAAATGAGCGATATATACGGGTCGAAACACTGAGCGGATTTATGACAACGGAGTCTTACTGGAGGCGAGGACGTAATCAACAAACTCCTTCTGGCTGATGCGTCCATCCTGGTCCCGGTCGATGCTGCGAAACACGTCTAAGATCCGTGACTTCAAATGACTAATCCACAGCATGTAACGCTTTCGCCAAAGATTGAAGTCGAAGTTCGCAAATTCTTCCATCTGAAATGCAAAATATCACAAAATCTAGGTTGGAGAAATTGAAGTCAAATGACTTCCCCCCCCCCCAACTCTAATTACACCATAACCTCTTACAATATACATTTAAGAAAGTACAATAACCTCTTTGAGTGTTTGCTGGTGTTGCTCCAGGCGGCTTTGTCTCGCCACAGCCAGGAGCCAAAGTTTCTGCCACTGACTGACCAGCTGACCGAGCTTTGGGGTCTGGGGGTCGAGGTGCTCCAGGGGAATAGGAACAGCAGGCTGCAGTTTCAGAGTGCTCCTCCTCTCTGGAGGGACACACAACAACATGAGAGTATGGAATCAGCTTAGGCAACTCATTTATGCTTTACAGGTCATTAGCAGTGAGGTCATCGTCAAGCTGTCAAAACTTACATTTACAACAATTACTTTTTTTTTTCAGCAGAAGTTAAACTATACTGTTTTCATGCTGGCTTACTTGTGAGCGGCCGTTTGCTGGGGGAACATTGCCGTTTCGAAATGCTCTTGTGTTTGCAGGACTTTGTGGCATGTTCAACCTCTGGGAACTTCTTATTCAACTCCTCCATGAATACCTGCAGAGAGGAATGATCAGTCACAACATGGTACAGCGCAGTACTGTAGTTCTGTAACCAGGGTAAAGTATTGATTATGGTGGAAAGTCATCATGAGCAACAGTAATATCTGGGAAAGAATTTTGCCGTTAAGTTCAAAGTGTTTCAATGTTGTTTGATTAACGTTAAGCACATATTTTAGCACTTAATTGTAAAGTATGATTATCAGTAGATGGTATAGCTCATAGAAAAGAGAAGTATCGTACTGTGTGCTGCTCAATCAGTTCTTGGTTGTGCTCCGTGGTCTCACACAGAGGCTCTTGGTCTCTGAGGTTGAGGGCTTCATCTGCTGAGGAGATCCAGTCCAGCAGCCTCTGGACTTCCTCTCTCTCTGACTCCAGTGCTGCCAAGCTGGCCTGGATCTTCTGGCCCTGCTGCTGAGCCCAGGTCTGAACCTGACTCGGAAAACAAAGAGATGGAGGAAGTTACACCAGCTCCATTCTAAGTTTAGAAATTGCCAAAGCCGTGTCCCTCTATCGTCAAAACATTTGACCTTACTGAGAGCAACTAATGGTTTCCTAAATAATTCGTTAATTATCATAAATCGAATCCCTGGGCAAACTTTGCTATTGCTTATCATTTGAGCACAAAAGCACTCACCTCCTCAAAGCGGGTCTTGGTGACACTGATCCAAGACTTTAGGGTGATTATGGAGTCTGGGTGACAGGAGGCCAGGATCTCCTCACCCAGACACTGGATGTTCTGCAACTCCACCGCCTGATTCTGCAAGGCTCCCATTGATTCCTTTAGTGTGGGAGAAAATGGATTTATTCAGCGTTTTATCCAGTAAAACACATATTCTCATGAAGGATGAGCCATTAGCATAACATTTCACTCATTTCAAACTTGTTGAAAGTGTTATGCTACTAATTAATGGTCAGATTGTCCGTCCTTCAACCGGCTGAATGGGTTCAAGCATTAGAGTCTGCAAATATCCACCCTGCTTAACAACCCGGCTTCAACTTGTTATTCTGTAGCAAGCCCTGACCTTTGACCTCCCCTGAAGAAGAATGCATTTCTCGAGTGATAAAGTATCACGTTATACCGACCTCATGTTTTTTGCTGAAAGCCAGCAGGCCTTCTTCCTCCTCTGGTATCACCCCATATTTCAGTATCCTCTCTGCCTCAGTGAGGCGCTCCATGAAAGAGTGGACGAGGCCATCGAACCTTTCAGCCTAACGAGAACAAAGACAAAGATTGAGATAAGAGCAGGGGGTCGGCCCTACTTATCAACTTTTATGGTTAGTTATCAGCAACTGTTATCCATTCCTCATATAATATAGTTTTGCTCATGACCACAGCTACTTGCAGCCTGAATTTGATGGATGAGTGGCTTTCATTTCATAAAATGAGACTTTCTGAGTGAAACACAACTACAGCTTCAGTCATAATTTCCCTTCAGAACTTAAAAGCGAATTTATCGGTCACCGTTGTCATTTGTGAGAACTACCTGCTGAAGTGCAGCCTCCAGTCTGTCTTGTTTGCTGACGGACAGTTTGCACACAGCCTCCCAGCGCCCCTCAAGCTCATCCATCTGCTCCTGCAGCCAGTGAGCGTCGGCTGTGCTGCTCCTGGTCAGATCCCTCACGGAGCGCTTCAGGGTCCTGATGCATCCGGCTCGCTTCCCTAACTCCTTTTGGAAGGCCTAAAGGAAAAAAGGGAATTTTGCTAAGATAGTGCAATTTTGCTGCAGGACTGCATTGTGGAGACACTGGTATAATCACTGTAAATAAATTAGACCATCATTCAAGCTTATAATAGCAGTTAAACCAAGGCATTAAAATGACTTTTACAGACATTCTACACAAGTTAGCATGAATCCTGAATGTTTCCTGTAGATGTGATGTATGTACAGTAGCTGTAAACTGTACTGTATTTATGCCAATCTGTTTAACATCTGTTAAATAGTGAGGCCACACATTAAAATGCATGCTGGGCGCTGTACCTTGTGTTTGTCGATCAAGTTGTTGACCATGTCTTTGTCTCCGCCGACAGGAACGTCCTCATCTAGTTGGGGCTCGGCTCTGTATAGCCAGTCGTTCAGTGCCTGGAGGGCATCGGTGAATCTGCCTGAGAACAGCAGTGCTTCCTCCAGCTTGTGTTGTCTGAGAGAAGCACATTTTGGGATATCAAGATTTAAAAAAAAATACTTGTCAGGAATATCAATGTGCCCCAAATCGGCTGTAAACACAGATCCATACCTCTCCATAGACTTGCCACTGATGGTGTCCCATGTGTCTTTGAGTTCAGCCAGGAGATTCTCCAGATGTTGTCGATCGTGGCCGGTTTGAGCTCTTTCATGAAGGCAGCGGCCATTCTTCGATGTTGCGTCGTACATGGGCCTCTTTGACCTCAGCAGTTTCTGGAACTCCTGATATTACAAAATAAAAGGTCAGCGAAGGCATTCATAAACATATAGCACCCAACCAAGTTACGGTACATTTGTTATTGCCTGCCGCACCTTCTGTTCGGTCAGCTGTTGTTTAATCTCGTCGTGGGTCACAGCGATCTCTTTATGCGTGTCTAGTATCTGTTCTACCTCCGCCATCCAGTCCACTAGCAGGCGCCATGATTCATTAAACTGAAGCGTGAGAATTAAAGACAGATATGATACAAAAGATCCTCTGAGTGGCACAAGTCAAACATTATTAAGTGCATGGATGGTTGTGAGAAAGACAGAGAAGGTCAGCCATTCACATTGGAGCTGATATAGTTATAGCATACCTGTTTCGCATTCTTTTTGACCTCCTCCAGCGTTCTGCCTCTTTCTGAAGCGCGCTGCTGGAGCTTTTTGTGACGATCCTGGACGGTCATGATTAGGTTATGAATGACATCGCAGTCTTCCTTCCTGCTCAGTTCTATTAGTCTGCGGGCTGTGCTCTCCATGGTGGTCTTCTTCTCCCCGTAAACGTTCACCTCATTTACCAGTGTCTGTACAAATAAAAGTATGCCGTGAAGCAAAACTGAATGGTTTTAAATCTGTATACTCTGGATCTGGAGCAGACATAGAAAGACCACAGCAGGTGTAAAAAGACCTACTCTGTGTTCCTGCAGTTGAGAACAAACTTTGTTCAGAACAAAGCTGGGAGCAGGAAGAAGCCCAATAGACTCTTCACACTTGCTCATTTTAGTGAGAATTTCCTGGACGTTACTGTGGAACTCCTTGGCCAGACCCAGTCCTTCTGTAAGCCTTGCCTGCGGGAACAGCACGACAATTGGATATAAGGATGCACTCGATTAATGATAAATCCACAGGATGACATGTGGAGAGTTAAATAACCTTTCGCTCCTGGACTTTGCTGTAGACGGATGCCCATTTCTGTTCAAGAATTGATAAGCTGTGCTCGGTGCTTGATCCCCGCACAACGTCGCTGCTCTCCAGCATCCTGTAGATGGCATTCTTCACATCTGTGTAGGCGTGGAGCTTTGATTCCATCTCGTTGCACAACTCCTTTTATGGGTGAGAAGAATAAAGAGGTGTTGTTTTGCACTGGGTTAAAAAATTTATATTTCTTGTGTATCTCTTTATTTGTACAGTCAAAAGTCTGGTCCGTTTTACCAAATGTGCGCTGAGCCTTTCACTGGCAGAGTCCGGCATACCCCACACGGTTTTAGAGGAGGACAGTCTCAGATCTGTGTTCTCCAGCCACTGCAGGAGATCCTGAATCTCCATTGTAACATCTTGTACCTGCAGAAAAAACAGCAGAATGAACGTTCAGTCTCAATCAAAGGTGATGTAGGTGTCAGCTCACTACAACCTTAGTGATGGAACAATGTTTCATCATGTAACATCAGTTGTCATCAACCTTTGTAATATATTTTATTGAAGCAAGAGTGTGCAAACTGATCAAATATTATTTTGTTATCACAGTGCATTTTTATTTGTAGATTCAATTTCAAAATAAAACCCCCCAATGTAAATTCGGGATTTGCCTCTATTTTCATGTAACCTTTACAATCACCACAAGAGGGCGCATGATAAACTGCTTAAGAAGCGTAACAATGTAATTTATATATATATTTAGTTATTTATTTTTCTATACTTTGCGACTTTTGTTGCAACTGTAACTTCACCTGGCTCAGTTTGTTCTCTAATTCCAGCTGCCTGCGTTCAGTCTCACAGCGGACAAACTCCCAGCTGTCATTGAGTTGCTCCAGCAGAGACTGCAGACCATGCGGGCTGTCCCCGGACCCGACCTCCAGCAGCTCCCTGCCTGCCTGGTTCAGGGACTTCACGGTGCGAACGTGGGACATGACATCATTACGCAACACCTTGTAGGAGGAAGAAGCAAAAGAGGAAGAGTGGAAATCAAATTCCACCATTTGTGAATTGAACACCCAGCATACAATCGGACTACAGAAGGTTGTCGCCTGGTCAGAAGGAGCACTGTTACACTTAGCACATAACATTCATTGTATTTAGCCCACCACCAACCTTGTGTTTGGCCAGCTCTATTTCACAGGCCTGCAGGTCAATGCTGATTGGCCGGCTGCCCTGGAGTTGGTCAGCTGTTCGGGAGAGCCATGTGTGTAGCTCAGCAAGAGTGTTTTGGAACTGACCCAGACCCAGCAGAGCACACTCCAGCTGATGCTGATGCACAGTAAAAAATATATATATATATTTACTGTTTTAACTGTATATATTAACTGTTTTTCAGCTAAATGTGGTTTCTGTTGTTGAAATGACATCAAACTTAATGGATAGCATGATGACATTGTGCATATAATGGATTATAGTGGCGTGCGAATATCAATATTACATAATGCTATCTGATTGCATATTCTCACTTGTCTGCTGACAGTCTCTGACTCCAAGCTGTCCCAGCGCTGTCTGAAGTCACACAGCGGTGAGACGGAGCCTGGACGCTCCGAGCCTGGAGACAGCCGGCACACAAAGCGATGGTTCAGGCTTTCTATCTCTATCTTCTTCTGGTAAAGTTCTCGCTTAAACTCCTGAGAGAAAGAGTAAAGACAAAATATATGTTTGGACGTTAGCTATTATCATGACGTATATATGTTTTCTGTTTTAATAAAATACAACACACATAGCCCAAAGCACTGTCTCTGTAGAATATGAGACCAAATACACTGCATATATGAAAAAGAACTTTGATCATTGCTGGTTACGGGTGTACTTCAGCAAATAAACTCACCTTGAGATCACGTAGCTGCTCTTTGACGGATTCCAGGTCAGTTCCTACCATAAACTCTTCAGTAGACCTCAGCTCAGCTGACTTCAACCACTCAAAAAGACCCTATTAGCAGGACAATAACAGCATTAAAGCACAATAACTGATATAATGTACAACCACTCAACCCTGAACTCTTGCCATGTTGTGGCTTCTCAACAGCAAAACATGCAACCCCATTGGTGAATACAGCTGGATACATTTCACATAGTTTTCCTTTCACTGTCTGATGCAGTTTGCACCATTAAACTCATTTGCCTTTGGCAGGGGTCCACATGATCTGTCAGCAGTTAAAATGTAAAGCTACAGGGAGTAAGAGTCTGGACGTTACTATTGTAACAGGATAAAAGACTAGCTTTGTTGTTGGCAGGATGCCATAACACTGCTTGGGCGAGGCGGGGGTGGCCAAAGCGACCCGTTTGATATGGCCAGATACGGACCATGAAATATTTGTTAGTATATTGTATGCATACACACCAATACTGCATATAGACACACACCTGCATAGTGTCTTGATAATGTAGTGCCATCTGCAAGGACTCCTCCAGCTTTTTGTGACTTTCGTTCCACAGTTTGCTCAGGTTGTTCCACGTGCAATAGAGCTTCAAGACACCAAACAGACAAGGTATTCAGTTAGTCAGCATAACATCATGAGTTAAAACTTATTTGTGTTCAAATGTAGTTCATACTTCATCCAGGTTCTTTGTGACATCTGGCTTGTCTGTATCGCCACATGCTGACATCAGATCCATTCCCAAAACACCAAGGGTGTCCAAATCTCCCTGTAAACTGTCAATATCCTCTCTGAGAGTCTGTGAGTTGAAAAGATAGAAAAGGTTATATTGTGTCTTTTATATAAAAAATGAGGGTTTCTCATATGTGATTGACAAACCTGCATGGTTTCAAGGCTCTGGCGGATTGTTTCCGAGTCTCTCCGACTAGCATTGAGATCCAAAACTGCCTGCTGAGCGTCACTGAGAGCAGCCGTGACATCGCTGATGTCGCTCCAGAACTTCAAGGCAAGATCCAAGAGTTTGAGCAGCCAGCTTTCCCTCTCCTGGGCCTGAGTATGCGTCTCGTCCCACAGCTGGGACAGGCTGGACACACGCTCTTGGATTGCTAAGATCACAGAGAAAATAACAGGGGTATTGCTTAGAATCGGCCCTTTTTCCCAAAGCAGTGTTGCTACTTGCAGCCCCATGTGTACTATAGGACAATATCACATCTGTATACAAACGATACAATTTCCGAGAAGATCGTTACCTGTGCCGACAGATCCATCACCAGCGGCCTGCGTGTTGGCCAGCAGTTCATCTGCTTGTGTCTTCACACTGCCAAGGTCCAGCTCAAGCTTGGACAGCTCGGCCCGGGTGTGTTTGTTGTCCTGCAGCTGCTCCTGGATCCTCGGGGTGATGCCTTGAAGAGAGGTGTGAGTCTGTATGCGACTGCACAGGCGGTCAAGACTCTCTCTGATAAGGGTCATCCTCTCATTCAGCTATAGACAGAAGAAAACACTTGTTGTGTGCTTGTGTGTATTACACTATATTTTCAAAGTGTAGGGCTATTTTTTTAACCCAGCAGTCCTACCTGTGTGAATCGAGGTAATGACTCCTCGAGTAGATTAGCAGTCTCTCTGACCCGGTCTCTGATGGTTCTATGCTGCTCCTCGGCCTCCGTCGCCTTTCGACAGAACTCATCCCCCTGAATGGGGTTTAGTTCTGACAAGCGTTTTGCCAGAGAGCATAAGCGTGCAATCAGGGGTCTGTGCTCTGCTATAGACTCCCTCAGACCCTTAGGAGAGAAGAGATACAAAATAATGTAATTACATTATGGAGAGCATACTTTGTTTTCAGAAAGAACCTGGATAGAGGAAGTTAGAAAAAAAACTAAAATGCCATTATAGTGCACAGGTAGAAAAGTAACCCTCTTGGGAAGTAGATAGCATTAATGAACAGTCCTTGAACAGATCAGCTCATTCACCTATAGGAAAACGGTGTCAGACTGTGAAGTACAAAAGGACTTCATTGTTGAACTGGCCAAAGAAAGGTATTATAACAAAAAAGAGAAAAGCTGGCCTTCTAATGCAGAGAGGCAGGTTTCTTCTACCTGTAAGAGGTCCTGTTGTTCCCGAAATGCCTCGTAGCTGATTGTGCTCATGGAAAGCTGGCCAATTAGGGTTTGAGTTTCTTCAAGCCAGGGCGATACCTCCCCGATGCCCTCAGAGAACTGGAGGAGAAGCGACTGAGCGTGCTCAAGCTGCAGGACCACGTGGGAATTGGTGGCTGAGGTGGTGTTGCATTGTTCCTGTAAGGCATCTAGTGGGGTCTGCGTGGGGGAGGTGACAGCAAAAATAAATGCATGTGAAATATAAACACCTTACAGTTACATTTCTTTACATTTTCAGTAAATATGTTATTTAGTAAATGAGTTGTGGCGAATACCTGCAAATCGTACGTTTCTCCTTCATCACTGTACGTCAGCAAGATTTCAGCAATCTTCACCATCTTCTCAATGTTGAACCTGTGTTGGAGAATCTCCACTGCCAAAATCTATTCGGGAGATAATACATCAAATTAAATTCACTTACCATTCATCATTTAAATGAATTTCAAAAAACACCGTAGAAATGAAAGATTACACATATTATGTAATGTTTTTTTTATTCTAAGTGGGAAACTATTCATTTAGTTTATTAGTTAGCCAGTTGTGTTTGTATAATGTCCCAACCTTCTGTTCATAGAGTTGTTCTGCTATGAGCTCTGGATTCAGATGAATGGTTTTCAGCTTTTCAAGACTCAGCGCTGTGTCTCTGAACCAAGCCATCTCCTTCACCACTGCCTGTTCCAGCTGATGAGAATATACCGTATGTTAGTATAGCATTACAAACATATACAATGGAACATAATATCATATATATATATATATAATCCTAATTAAAACATGATACTATTATTTCTGAAATATAATACCACTTGGCAGCACATACTTGCAGTAGTATCATTCTAGGCCAAAAACAAGTCCCCAGATAAGTCAGGCCTCTTGTAGACATTCTGACTCATCAAAGCAGGCGAAGCACGGTTTTAAATAATCACACTCCCTGTATTTACATTCATTACACCTGTAATGGCGTGTCAAAATGTCTGCCGTGATAAGATTACAGCTGAATTACAAATTAACAACAAAAACGGGCATCATGAGAGTCCACTAACATTAAGATAAGCTGTATTTGGAATTGCATACTAACGTACTTTTCATGCTAAGTATGAAGTCAAATTAAGTATGTAGAGCTGCTTTCCAGTGGCATAGTATGTGGATTTATTTGAATGCGAGAAATGCACAGATGTATACTACATTAGCAAGAATTTATGAATATGCAGCATGAGCCTACTGCACCAACCAACTGCCCCACACACTGTGCAATGTCAGAGATTTTGTCACTTTATTAAGTTTTAATATTTTCTCATTCGAGAAAGTAACTATTTCGATTCCCAATATGTGGTCAGTTTATCTAAATAAGGCCAGTTTGGAAGATTGCTGCAACTTGTTAGCTTCATGAGTCAACAATGTTCCCTTGAACAGAGCTTTTATAGCAAGCTAGGTATCTAGGAATAGTTAGCAACACTGCAGCATCACCTGATCTGTTCATTGTTTATTAGAGTGGGAACATTACCCTCTGTCTCTCAGCTGCACATAGCACTGCATCTCCAGCATGTGTCTGCACTCCTGCCGCCCCCAGCAGCTCCCTCTCGATGCGGCCCAGCCACAGGTGGAGGTCCTCCTGGCTGGAGGTACAGCGACTGGAGGCCTCCAGGGCCTGCTCCAGCCTCTGCAGCACATCCAGACTGCTTAGACTCAGCACAGAGCAGCGGATACGCAGAGCATCCATCTTCTCCTGCACCTGCTGGGCTTCCTCCTCTGAAATAACTGAGTTATTTGAAAGTAATATTTTTCCAACCTCAATGACCATACTATGCCCATTAGCTTTCGCCATATGTAGTAAAAATTACCTGAAATTGCTTTCATCAGATCATGTCCCGACTTTTGTATTTTCCCTAGCTCAGCAGTTTTGACTTGAATCTCTTCGACAACAGCCTAAAAAAAAAGTGAAAACACGTCAAAGTTATAATTCTTTACTCAAACAGCACGATGCACATTTACTACACTGCACATGCAGTTGAACCATACATGGTAGATTTCCAACCTTGGCCCTGTCTGTGGCCTCCGAGAGATGCAGCATCACTCGCTCTGCATTCCGTAGTTGAGCAAGAGTCTGTTCCACTGACATGAGCCATTGCTGCAGGCCGTCTACTCCTTCCTGGAAGAGCTGGGCCCTGGGCAGAATGAGCTCAAGACTCGCTCTCCTACCAACGACAAAATGTTACCATCAGCGAGTAAGACTGGTATAACTTATTTAATAATTACAGGGACAGTGCACAGCTGTTAGAAATAAGCTAACTATCTGCAGTCTCTTGCGTTCATGCGTGATGCGTACATCTTTGAGTTGATTTTAGCCATTATTTCATCTTGAATTTTAAATCAGTAAGACTGCAGCTCTCTCTTTTATAATTTAGTATTGAACCCGTCTAGAAGAAGCAGGTCGAGAAGGCTGACCGGCCAAACTCAGTAAATCTGTATCGCACAGTCACCTCTATTGGTGGTCCCATTATCTAAGCGCCATGACATGAACTCGTTTAATGGAGGAGCCAGATCACTGATCACTTTGTACACTAAACTAGCATCAGCAAGACACACAAAGCAGTCAAAAGCTCATGAGATTATACTTCCGGATGACGTTACAATGATGGTAACTTGTTACAATGATGGTTCTGTGACTCATGCTGTAAGCCTTGCCAAGATGTGTGTGTGGCATTGCCAGTAAAGGTAGCTAACCTTTTCTCCGCCCCCAGCTGTAAGGCCTCCCACTTCTGTTTGAGAGTGGTAAGCTTGACTTTTTCCTGCTCCCCCTCCTCTCCTGGGTGGGCCTCCACAAGTCGAGGGCCCTCCGACATCATGGAGTTCATACTACGCCTTCGATCTGTTAGGAGGCGCTGCAGGAGCTGTAAGAGAACATCACAGATGGAGGAATAATATTTAGCCATATTTGTGGAAAGACAGATGATTCAAGAATAAGGACAAATACTTCAAAGGCCTCCTTCTGTTTAAAATCAAATCAGTTCTAAGTACAACAGAAGATGTTTTGCGTTATACTTTAATTTTAGCGAAATGGCATTGCTTCTAGTAAGAATTAACAGTCATGAAAGCCCCATTCTTGTTTTTTCAGCCTTTGGGTCAGTGTGAAGGAAGCCCTGTCTCGTGTGTCAAGCTTACATTGTCAAGAGTCAGGCAGGTTTCACCTCATCCACAGAGCATACAATGGGTGAGATTACAGCTGAAAGGTGAGAGGCTTCCCTGCTTTTTTTCATACCCGCAGGAAATGTTAACAAAGACTCACTGAAGCTTATTGTGGCCATGAACACCTCCCATTCACAGCTGAATAGAACCGAATTTACGTTGTAAAGGAAGCAGTTGAGCGTTTTTTCATGACCTCGGCACACCTTTCTAGAGGTAAACCTTTCAGGTGTCTTCAAACTACTATTATACTTCAAAGATGTTTTTTTCTGGAACAAGAAATGAGGTGATGTGATGTCGGTGATAGCAGACCTTTTGTTCTTGGAGCTGTGCTTTCACCACTTTGACCTCCGAGGATGGGGGTTTCTGATTGGCTGTGAGCTCCTCTATCTCACTGACCCATGTGAGCAAAGCTTCCAGGTTTTGGAGAAATGTCTCAGAATCTGTTGACACATCCCTCAGAGCCAAGGCAGATCTTGTTCCCTTGAGAGAGTCCATAACAAAATATTAGCTTAAGTATGAATGAATGAAAATACTGTCACCAAGTAGCATGATCGCGACACAAGGAGAAAAGAGTAAAGATACACATAAACAAGAACATACCCTCCATCTATCTAGGCTGGAATCCTGATCTGAGCTTGAGTGTCCATCACTTTGGAGCTGCAAAATAAAGACAGCGGACCTGTTGTTTCAATTGACAAAATTGCTGTTTCAAAACGACCCACCCCGATGTTAAAGAGACAAAACATTGATTTTAAAGAAACAGTCTAGGTGATAATAGGTGATATTATTTATATAGGTGATATGAGAAGAAGTAAGAAAGGATGAAAAGGAAGACAGGTGAGATTTGTCATGTTTGAAATTTTTTATCAACCTCAGCGAGTTCCTCGGCGACACCATTCAGGACTCTAACAGTTCTGGTGACAATGGGTTCCCCTCCTTTATCTCCAGACGGATACTCTGTCACTTCCAGAATTTCAGTCACGACCGTCTCCGTCACCTCCGTCACCTCTGTGACCTCACGTGACGCCAGAGTCTTCCAGGACCAGGGGCTTCCTTCTCTGGAGTCTCTCTTCTGGAAGCTGGCCCTCCTCTCAGCAGAGGTCCTGTCCGGGTGAGCCAAAGGGGAACGGGTGTACTCTGGAGGCACAGTCCGTCTTGTTAGTGTCCCATTTCGGGATGTTTTTATCGGAGAAGGGCTGCTGTGCCAGGCGTTGTCCAGCGTACTGGTGCTCCTGATTGTGGAGGCGGGAGAGCTGCGGAGGAGTTTGTCAGAAATGGGAGTATGAGCCCCCTCCTCCCTCTTATGATCAATTTCCTCTGCCTCCTTGTCCCTCTCCACCTCTCCTTCCTTGTGTGCCTCCTCTCCTGCTTTGTCTTTGACCGGCACTTCTGGTTTGGCCTCGCCATGTTGCTCCGGGGGCTGCCGCTCTCTTCGTCGTTGGTAGCACTCCTTCAGGAAGTCCTCGTCTGACCTCACATGCTTGGACTTCTGGCCCAGGCAGCTGGGCCGGCTGACGAGGTTTCCCATAATCCTTCAGCCCAGAGGCTAGCGAGGTAATAGGTGAGGTAAGGCCCCTCGGCCATGCATGCGGAAGATCCTTCAGCTACCTAAAATAAGACAAGGGGGCTCTGGGTCATCATGCAGTAAACAAGTGCTCATTGTGTAAGTCATAGAAAATAATATACCGCTGATCTTGTTTCTTTAAAAGCACAACTTCCCTTCTTTAAAGTCACTAAGTACTGCTTGCCACAGCTTACATCTTCAGAAAACTGCTATGAAACAAAATGAACAAGTCTCTCACATCCTTTAAATGTGACATTTTTGTGCCAACGTTGCCCTTTTCTTGGCACTGAAAGACCACAGAGATACTTGGCCTAGATATTCGCTGTCCCTTTGTCTTCCTTTAGACCACATACGCACTTGCTCCCCATCCATCTCACATCACCAACCAAAATATTCTGGGCTTAGAAATCAATGTGACAGGCTTGTCGAGGATCCCACTGTTGAGCCTGGCACGCAGAACCGGTGGCAGACAGCCAGCTCTTTCTCTAGCTCAGCCTGGACCACTCCTGGGAAACCCGTTAAGGATCTGCTCAATTATAAAATATGACAGCCATAAAAATGCAGACATCGCCTCATTTCTCAGGGGTGACAATAAGAGGGGGATTAGGGACACCGAGTGGCATGGGGGCAGTGGGGGGTAGTTAGGAAAACAGTAACAATCAACCAAGATAATACAGGGCTTTTCTCTCACTACTACATCACTGAATGACAATTTTGAATCCAGCAATGATCTCGTCAACATATTGTTTGACCAAAATGAGTATATTACCAAAAAGCCTATCATTGGCAGCGACATTTTCAAACTGTGTCAGCCCGTCTGCTTCCCCCTCAGCTCAGCGCCTTCATTGTTTTGACAGAAGGGTTAAAGGTGGATGTAATTATGTTGGTCTAGAGGAGCTGAGGTGAGCCCATCAGGAGATCACAAGGTTCCTGTTGAGGCTGGGTCCTTCCTCTGCAGGCGGGGTTGGACTGGTCCATTCAGAATTATACGGGTCACCTCAGGTCATGCTTGGTGACTAAAAATCTGTGGGGGGGGGGCAATATGGGTCAACAAAGGGGAAATTGGGATGTTGGCTCCACAAACTATCGAGAGGGATTCCCTTTTCTTCTGGTTTGAAAAAAGCAGAAGAAGAGGATTTACGATGCTGTATGGTAACTATGTTACAGTCATGCTGCAGGCTGACAAGATTATGCTGAATATGCAGCTCTCTTATCTTTACCAGAGGTTAGACACAAAGGCAGTCTGCATCGGAGCATAACTTCGTGCTCCCGTCAATATCCACGGCAAATTTGAATCAAATCTCATTTGCGTGTCCCCCAAAACTAATCATAATTAAGATATATCATGGCTTTTAACTAAATGAGAATCTCAAAAATAACCTAGTTTGATACGATGGCTCCATGTGCATTAGGCAAGTAATTACCAACATCATGCATGTCTCTGCAGAGCAAGATGATGCAGTCGGTGGATCCACAGGGGAGAACACAGTCAGATCAGAGAGTGGTGCCCAGACAAAGCCCCGGCCTCGAGATCAATGATTACCCAGTTAGCTCAGATCACTGCCCAGCGGTCTCCGGAGGAGGGCAGAGAGTGTGTCTGTGGCCATGTTCGTATGGGTTAACAATTCAAGAGAGAGGGTGTGTCGTGTCTGGTTACTGCAGCGTGCATGTGTGGTCGTTTCCTAAATAACAGTGTCCTTAAGCGTACTCTCGCACCAATATACAGTATGTGAGGATATGCTGAGTAGTCTCATTAGAGTGCACATGGAGCGCTACTAAGAATATGTTATTATATGCAGATATTTTGTTTTATTATGTCTACTAGACTAGGCCACAGACGCTGTTTTATGACATACTTAAGGCATTTTAATAATCTTCACAGCCCTCATATTAAAGACTATAAGAATACAATGACCTACATTATTCTACAACCAAAGCAAACCAGAGCTTCCCTCTCAAAATGCCCACAGCCTGTATATTTGATACGCACCTCCCACTCTAGCATAATGATACTAGAAAGAGAACCAGGGAACCACTCCACCATTTAACTCATATTGCAGATGACCTACCCATCCCGTTACTTAACCTACTTTAAAATGGCCCTTAATTCAGACCAGCCCCTTTCTCTGCTCTCAACAGTGATTTATGATACATGACCACAGTCCACTCCTGATGAATTGGATTACAACCGTAGTGGAGGGGCTTCTCCGCGCAAACGACACATTGAAAAACAATCCGAACATTGTTGTTTGCAAGTACCTCAGTTTCACATTTCATGTCTAGTTCTTATTTAAATCTCAGTATGGGAGACATGTGTATGTATTTTAAATGTTTTGAGCAACACCTCGCGTATCAAAATACTACACAAAAGATCTGATGTTCCTCTTATTTATTGCATCGATTGACCCATTTATGGGTGGGTTTGCAATTAGTAGCAAAACAATAATCATCAATCACAACAGTAGAGCGGCATAATGTTGTGTGACTGGTGTGCGTCTGCCTCTGTTAAGGGAGGTCCCGAAGTAGTAATCATGGGTAGTGGTCCCTAATCAAGGATGGCAGCTGTGCATTCACCCCTGAGACTCATAACATCTTAGGGTGGATATCGTACAAGGTCACACGTTGATCTCAAAGGCAGCCCTCTGAACATGCAACACAAAGCTGCTGCGTGGAATCAAATCAGCATGGCTTTGGCAAAAACGAGTAGCTGCTGAAAATGGCCATGCCTACTCTTAAAATGTTGATCAGAATTCTGAATCCTTTCAGGAAATCCAAGCAGCCGACAGACTATTTACAAAGAACAAACTGAATAAAACATACTTACATCAGAATGATCCATTCAAACTGATACTGCCTTTGCCATTGCCTGTCGCACTTGTATTTTGCATTTGCTTAGAATAAGTGAAGAAAGTCATAACTCGTTCACCGGCACATGGCTCCCTCTAGCACAAAGTCCATAATCAAACTCTCTCTCTCTCTCTCTCTCTCTCTCTGAGCCATTCCTGGGTTACTGACAGTTTTGGCGGTTTGAATCTCACATGAACCACACTTACCCTGAAGCACAGTTGAGCCAAACAGCATGAGTAAAGGAATCCAGCCAGTCCTCAATCACCATTCAAAAAAAAAAAGAGAGAAAAAAAAAACACAGCTTTGTTTGAGCATCCTTTGAACGGCCTCCCAGCTCCAACATCCCAAACATGAACGCTCCTCACACACACACACACACACATGCATGCATGCACCCTCCAAACGCACACTCAATCAAGTCCACTCATTCACACATGCCCACAAATAAACACACTTTCTAAACACACTCACACATGCCCTGATAACTCATGCTTTCCCGTTGCCCACGGTCACAGGCAAACAATGTCCTCCTCTCCCCTCACAGCGCACCCCTCCCCTCCCCTCCCCTCACTTCACTTCTCCTCCCACCAGCTCTGCTCCTCTCCCTTTCTTCTTTGTTGTGGGAGCTGTGATAGAGGAATTCCTTCCTTGTTAGCGCCGCCGATGGGATAGTGCGCCCAGATGGAGACAATGTATTCCAACGGCTCAGTTGAACTCCCACAGTTCCCAGCCAAGAGCGGTTTTCACATGGAGGTCAGATTGAGCCAGTTCCATGTAATGGTGGCATTCTAACCAACGCTGCTGTTGCTGCTGCTGCTCAGGTTGCTCCTGTACCAGGCAGCGAGGCGGCAAAGTGCCCCCTTTACCTTCCTCAGGCTTTTTCCCCCTCACTCTCTTGCCCCTTCTCCTCCAACAAAGCCCCTCCTCTGGGTCTGACTGGGGCTCAGAAACTCCATGCTGCTTCTGCTTGAAAAATGGGATGAGTGGGGTGCAAAAAAAAGGGAGAGTTTTCTAAAGACCCCTGGGCCGCCCTCGGGAACATTCACATGTTAAGTGACAGCTGCCTCAGTCCATTCCCTCTCTCGATGGCGAGGGAGAGAAGTGCAGGCTACAAAAGAAGGGACCCACACCCACCCTGCTACCCACCCACTCACAGATTCACCCCCAACCCCCTTTGCCGTCCCCCCCTTCCCCATTCAGAGTCAGTGCAGCAGTCCCCACAGCAGCAACAAAGACGACTAATTACTGTAAAACATCTCAGATTACTTTTCAACTCGGTTTCAGCCACTGCAACTCCGGCCCATCCATAAACAAAGAGGCTGGAAGGAAACACACACACACACACACACACACTCAAAGATAGAGTGCAATGGGAAAATAATACAGTCTTGGCATGGGAAAGCAAAGGAAGGACCCCTATGGTGAAATTCTATCATGCCCTGCTTCAGTAAGTCACAATATTTGCCTTTGAAATGCAGAACACCAAACATTCTGTGTACAAATACCATTACAGCAACTGGTGTTTGAAATGATGTCCGATGTTTATTTAGACATGTGATGTGGGATTGACTAGTTTTAATACACCAGAAATATCTCTTTGAATATGAGGTAATGTGCAGGTGCAACGTGCAAACAGGTGACTGTCTCACAAAGACGTTTTTTACGCCCCAAATCCTGCCCTCTTTAGTCCTTCCCCTCTGTCTTTCTCTAGCCAACCAAATAATCAACCAATCGACTGATCCACCAAATGCGTGCATGCATGTACACACACCCACACACTCTCTCTCACACAGTCTCGACAGTAAACACACACACACACACATGCAGACACCCGCCACTCAGCCTCCTCCCTAATCCACAAGGTCACTCATCGAGTGTTCGGATTAGTTAAAGGAGAACGCATCTGAAGGAAGACAAACCTTACTGTTGACTCTTCAATAAACAACACATCTAGTTCACATTTCTATATCTTTTTATATATAATATAATTCAATATACTTTATCCGAATGAATATAATAAGAACAATAATGCCAAAGCATCAAGTAATACATAAATATACATGAAATAATAATAATAACAATACAATTTCATAATTTGCCTGTATTCAGTTAAAAATAATATCTTCTATGATGAGGAGGAATGTTCATGTGCCTTTCTACGTGGATTCCACCATGCAAGTACATATATCACCTCATACAATATCATATAATCAATACCACTCGCTCCAGTGTAAAGTGCCTTCTGTGTTACATGTGAGGGGAAATGTCTTTGAACCTGTCAATGCAAACCCGGTTTATTCAGCCTGAGATGTGTGCAGAGTCCTGATTTGTTTGGTCCACAGGATCATGATGCAACTCCAGTAACAAAGTCTCAAGTTCAGTATATTCTGCCGGAGCTTCATGTAGGGTGTGTGCCTTTCAGAATTAAACACATACTGTTCAGTTCAACCAAAGATACACCAAAGATTCTTAGTCTGTTGAAGGTCGATGTGCTGAGGCTCAGCCATGTTTAGTGAAGGTTAAGTTTTGAATAATTACATATGGGTGTTAATAACATTTTCTGCCAGTTGTCACACACAGCGCTCCATTCAATTTGAGAAAAGCTGCTGAAAATATTTCCTGGCACAGCTCCTGTCTATCACGTCATTGTCCATATAGCTATTAATTCAATAACATTCGGAACCTCAGTGAATGAGCGCTGGTGGTGAAAATAGACTGTTGATTCTACTTTGAAGCTGCTTCAGGCATTTAGAGCGATCCTCAGCCCCTTTCTGTTACCGTCCCATTTCTGACCCCCCCTGACCCTCCTCCAGCCTTAAATTATGCAAATAGTGATTTGAAAAAAAATACGAAAAAGAAGGAAAACTGGAAATGGCTGTCACTGTGGCCGATGAGAGAGAGAGAGAGAGAGAGAGAGAGAGAGAGAGAGAGAGAGAGAGAGAGAGAGAGAGAATTGAAAAGAATGACCTCTGTGGGGTTAAGTTATTTAACCCCTGAGTACTCCGGTGCTGATGCAAGAGTTCCCAGTCTCTCCTTAGTCACACCACTAAAGATGTCCTGTATCTCACAGTCTTGGAGATGTACAATAGTACAACAACCAGGGAATCCTTATTATATCAATATCATTATGAGCACTGTTAGCTGACAAGACCCAGCTCAGACGGTTTAACTGTAAAAAAAAAAAAAAAAAATGCACAAACTCAGACATAGTGTCTTCAGGTCACTTGGAGAGCTAATGTCTTTAGCTGTTTAATGAGCAAGTAAGGCCTGCATTCCCCGTCCCCTCCTGTCTTTATCTGAAAAGGAGCTGGCAGTGACGAGGCACCACTTTTCCAGGAAGGCATTGTTGTCAAACCATGACACCTGATCCCGGCTTTCAGGAACCTCCAGTTCCCTCTGTACTAATTGAATGATTTTGCCAAAAATCTCTCCTCTCCATTTCACGGTAGGTGCACACGTAGAGCCTGCACACAGTTCTTAAAAAGACAAGAGCTGATGTGGTTAAAGAGCAGCTGGCATGCTGAGCTATGCGGTGATGCAATAAGCTGCTACTGGTGGCAAGAAAGAAAGCTCATCCTACTGTCAGCAGCCCTCATTATCCTTCCAAAATACATGCCTTAATGGAGTGGACACAGGTTGGGAGGTAGAAGAAAGTGGAGTCTCCAAAATTAATGTGATTCTAAATGAGAGTGCAATGGGAGCCTAAATTTGATCATAAATCCAGTGTGCCAAAAGACCAGAGAAGAAGATTCATTTTGCAGGCTTGTTTTCCTCCTCCTCTGCTATCTCAACCTCTCTGCTGTCTTCAAATTAAATAAGACCTCAATGGCTCCTCTACAGAACATGGTAATTAGCCCTCTTCATGAGAAATGACAAAAAGAGGGGGGTCCCTTTTGAGGGTCAAACCAGAAGCACCATTGAGAATGCACACAGTCATTTATCACCAAAAGAGGTCGCTTCCAAGAAAAGTGGATGAAAGGATGATGGGCTTCCCCGCTGGGTTGCCCGGGCCTGGATGCTGTTAATCACAGTCATGTGTGACAAGAGGATTTAGCCACTTGGGGGTTAGAGGAGCTCGACTCATCATCAGCACATTGCGTTTGATTCAACTGCTCCCAGGAAGAGAGGATTCACCGCCGTAAATCCACACTTTTTGTTGAGCACAGGAAGCCACGGGCAATAAAGGAAGAGGCCCCACATTGCCATTAACCCTGATAAAGTGTGTGAATCAAAATATCTCTTAAGGGAGAGATTTCCTGAAGTGTTATAAGATTAAAATCAATTTGACACGCCAAGCTTGAGAAAAACAGTCAGCTGGATGTAAGATTAAATTTAAAGTTGAGTCTGCAGAATAAACAAATTGACTTTACCGCCATCTTGGCATCCTTCATTCCTCTTGTAGGTGATTCACAGCAATGAAAACAAGCCCCCTTTTTTCCTAAAGGTTATGACAGCATCAGAGAGCGGGGATGCTGTTTGCGGGCTGTCAGAAACAGAGAGAGGAGAGGATAATAGGCTGTGATCTCTCACCCCTCTTACAGGGCCTGTTTTCAACTTGTGTGTACAAGACGTATTTGGGATGCAGCATCTGCCACAGGCCCAGAGAAACCAGAGACCTTTACGACACAGAGAGCTTTATCCAGAAGAGCCACACCAGCAGGGGGGCAGGGAAACAGGATGAACGTTTGACCTTAAACTGACTGTCAAAGTGAAGAGATGTAATTCCTAATTTACTATTACTCAGGTGCATGAGGATTTATTGTTCTACTGCCTCTCATGACTGTCTTCGTCTTCGCCATGAATTGATTAGTGCAAGGTATGAGCACTTGGCACACCTTAGTCGATTGTTCATATTTTAGATTTTATTAATAAAATAGAGATTAAACAGCAGGCATCATATCCAAAACAAACGTATGGAAGTCATCAGCTAAATCAAGGATGCACTTGTGGTTTCAGACAGTTTTGTGACCTCACTCTAATAATCCAATTAGCACATTGACCAAAATAAAATGTTGTCAACCGCCAGGTATTAACCTAAAGATATTTTATCTATAAAGGTGAAATTATGAATGTATGTTTCGCCTGGGAGACAGCCGTTGAACAAAAGATTCTCACTACAAAGTCCATTCAGTAGCCTGATCTGATGTAGTGTATTCTAATATGTAGTTAGTATAAGCTTGCTTCACAGTTAAGCAAATTATGCAAACGTGCACATTTGGTGAAGTGATGATTTGTTCTTTGACTTCTTGGTCTATTATGAATCTTTTTTCATATTTAGGCTTGCCTGGTCCATAAGGTATGAATGGTATTACCATTTCAAATGCTTATTATATTCATGCTTGACAACATCCAATTTGAGGCTCATATTTTTTTTTTTCTTACTGTTATGTTGTAGATTTTGTTTTTATTATAAATGCTTTTATTGTTTCTGTTTTTACCATGTAAAGTGTCTTTGAGTGCCTTTTAAAGCGCTATATAAATAAAATGTATTATTATTATTATTATACGTATCCCAGTGTTGATGGGGGAAAAAAAGGTTGAAGATGTGCTGGTGCATGCCTTGTGTTAAGGAGCAGGTGTGCGTCTGTCTCCTGTGTGTTGTACACCGGTCTGTGTATGGGGGGCTGCTGCTGAGGGACGTCCTCATTCATGCAACTAACTAACGAGTCCCTCCAGGCCACAGACTGAAACCAGCAGTGCAGCAGACTCAGAGCATTACCATGACAAAGGTCTGTGGTCGGATGCAGTATGATAAAGGCATGGTAGAGATGCAGAAGAAACCCCCTTATTTCACACACTCTCATCGGGGGTCAGACGAAAGCTCTCCAAAGCATTTGAGCTTTCATGACGGGATCAGACATGCCTGTGCATCTTACACGTCAGTCCCCAGGGAAACAGTGGCTTTATTCAAACGGAGACAAAATGTAACAAAAAAATGTTTGTTTTTTTTAAGAACGTCCTCTGTTGAAGAGCGTTTTCTCTTAGTGAGATGGCAATCAGTAAGTTCCTTCAAAGGTCATATGGATTCAAACACAAATCGTATTTTGTCCTTTTAAATCATAAAATCAATTTAGGGCTCAAACATTCCACTTGGACCGAACGCATCTACTTCAATGGACCCTAAAACTAAATCAACCAAAACCAATTTTTACTATCACAATAAAAACATCAAACTCTTGATCCTTTTGTGAAATTGATTCACAGCTCATTGAAGAAGGTGCAGTCACCCCTTCACTAAGGATATTTAAATGAATTACTACCGCACCATCTCGCTGCACTACGGAGATGTAACATGTTGATGTTTTGTGCTAGAATGGCTTTCAGTTGTTGGTGGACAATAGATTAAGTTCAATGAAGCTGTTTCTTATCTTAAGGCTGAACTCTGTGCCAATGAACAATGTCCCATAAGATAAGACATATGTTACCGTTTCATTGTTCCATTGTATTGATTAGCAGTATTCAATCAGCAAAATCAGAGTTCAGTAATGCAAACTTTTCTCACAGGCAGAAATGCTTCGGGAAAAGACATAATCTGATTGGTTGAGTGGCTGACCTGATGGGAGGAACCTAAACACAACAGGTTAAATGATCAATTAGAAAAGGTGGCTGACTGATTAGCAACGCTAGTGCTAATGTCAGTCACCTGGCAGTAACCTGCTAACCTGCCATGACCACAAATACATAAATATTAGTCACTATTTTGATCAAAGTTATTTCTTTGTCATTCAAGCCTGTCGTTAATACTTAGCCCTTCCTAAAATTGCCCAGCGATTTTTTACCCCAGCTGGTAACATAATTTCTTGCTGCAGCTTTGACTGACAAATCTTTGTTCAAATATTGGTATAAATGGTACATGACAAAATCTAAAGTTAGCGATCCATAAATGCTTCCAGTCTCACCACAAAGATCCTACTTTTCTTTTTTTCTGCCCTCTTGGCCCTTCCATCCATCTGAGTCTAATGTCTTTTCAGCGTGTGTGCTCATGTGTGCAGAGGGCGTCCAGTGCTAAGCACATCTCTAGCCCGGCTGTCCAGGCCAGGCACAATGGAGCCTGATTCCCCAGCCCCTCTGTGGCCTAAAGAAGTCTCCTGCATGAGTGAAGGAAGACCACCTCAGTATCCGTTTGAGTATGTCGGACTTTGAAAAACCTCCAGAGTCCCTTTCCTCTTTTTCGCAATGCTCAATTAACTTAAGTGTTTGTATCCTGACCAGCATGACTCATTGGTTCACTTCCCTCTGTACTCGTTAACCCACATTTTCTCTAATATTCTTTACAGGTGCCAGTTTTACGACTGTTAAAATGAAATGCAATCTCAATCTGCATGATGTTGCACTATCTAATATAATAGGATGGTAAAATGTCAAGATAGAAAGAGAAAATAATAGAAAATACCATTAAACTATAAAAAAAACAACAATACAAATTAAAGCTGCAAGCAGCGATGAAACGGGCCCTCGCATTGTTCTGTGTGTCAGGGGTACTGGCAAAGAAATCTGGAGCAGATTTGACACAATGTACTGAAGTTATAACAACAATAGAGATTTGTGACCTGAAAGCCATGCTGGATTAAGCTCAGGCCAAACACACCAGGGAAACAGACTACCTGAAGTCCCAGGTGATAAAGACCTGCACGATGCTGCGGATAACTAAGAGACATCTTCAGCAGCAGAGCTCTAAAACCAACAACCTTCAAGTCAAATTGGAGAAGATGAAGACGGACAAAGAGACCCGTCAAAAAGAGGTAAAAAAAAAGGAAAAAGACAGAGGGTAATCATTTGTTAAAAATTACAAAATAAATACGAAACAATGATGTCATGTTTGTTGGTTGGTTGTTGTAACGTTCACTATTGTCATGTGTAATGTGTAACATGTGCTTTGTTAGATGTGTAAATCAGGGGACAAGCACTTGGCCAGAAGCTCCGATGAATTACATTTTTGTTTTAATTCATTGTCTTTTCATGTCTATTATTGGAGTATTGTATGACATAAGCAACTGCATTTCCCTGTGTTACAGAATGACAATAACATATCCTTCAATCCTTGAAGCATTTATTTCTAATTTGCACTCTATAGCCTGAAAATACAAGTTCTCTAGTTAGGTTGGCTCAGATGATTTTATATGCTGGTTCAAAATATAGTTTTTTTTGGTCTGGAGTTACATGTTGGTAATGCAAAGAAAATAATTTAATCAAAAACACCTGATCATGTTTTTCAGCAACATTTTTAGGTGTATTTAGTGTCACAGCACCTTTCAAAAACAGCCGAAATTCAAGTTTTTATAGTAAAGAAATACATAAGAATATTTGAAAACACATGAAGATTAAAGCTGCAAGCCGCTATGAACAGGTCCTCAAACCTTCCTACACGTCGGGGGTACTGGCGGGATGCCAGGCGACATAGGAACAACGAAACAGGAAGTCTGCAGAGGGCAATGGTGCCTCCCACAAGAGTCTACAACAAACAGGTCATGAGTTCTGAAAGAGGACGGGATGGTAAATGGTAAAGATAATATAATAAGAAAATATAATAAAAAATACCATAAACTATAATAAAAAATAAAACTCTTTTTTTTCATACAGATTCTGAAGTGTTAATAGGCCTAATAATATTCAGTAACCTGAAATTTGACCATGTGGAGAGAAATAAAACGTCCACCCCAGGTAGAGGATTGGATGAAACACATGCAGGTTTTTTTTTTGACAACTTTAACATATGGTGAACGGTAGAGAGACAACAGAAGGCAGAAAGGCAGTAAACTCAACTAACCCCTGGGTCCAGAGGAGGCAGCCTCATCTCCATGCTCTTCAGCCACTCTCTCAGTGCTATGATTTGACCCCTGAACTCACACTGCCATTGACTCAAGTCCTCCACGTTCCTCCTAAAACAGAGACGAGTGTTAGAAGTCATATTGATCCATCGTTTAAAATCAAATGTATTAAATAAAGTTAGTAAAATGGAACACATGCACTTACAAGGATAATCTAATCAAGCCAAACACATTATAAACCGTATTGTTACTTGGTTTGAATAGAGATAGCTTGGTAATGTGTTTTCTTCTGTAATATATATATTTTGCACTGTCTCAAGCTTTTGGCTTGTTGTGTCATATCATGAGCAACATCATTTACTATTTAGATCACATTTATACTGATACGGTGTATTTGTAGAATAACATTAGGACGGAAATTCCTACTTGAAATTTGTAAAATTGTGATGACAGGTAGCAACAGCAAAGCTAAGACCTGTACTACAACAGGAAGAGGTAAAAGAAAGCCTTCAAGAACTATTGCTCTTATCAAAGGATAACATAACCAGGCTTGGAAAAATATCTCATTAGGCCGGCATCTGCTCTCTCTCTCTCTGTCCACTGGGCAGGAACCTTAGTTTCAGTATGCTGCAATTAGATGCTTTACACTGTGTGGTCCCTTCACAATTCATACTAGCTCTGTCTTTGTGTTGCTGGCAAACACGGACGCACCGGTCTGCAAAGACGATACAACTGACCAACTGTCGTCACAGGCTGTAAATTTTCTTTTAATCGGACTGTTGGTGGCCACTTTCAATCATGTGTGATGGGCCATTTGTACTTATATTGGACATCATCTTAGTTTTTCTTTCAAGGTTGGCCATTTAACTTACAAATGTTATAATTTGTCAATTAATCATGGATGCAAGTAACCTATTATTGCGGCAACAATGAACGACAGTCATAAATGAGCCTACCCATATCTCTGATCCTGTGATGTAGGCGTTAGCGGTCCGAGCAAAGCACTTCTTTTATCCTGCATAGGAGAGAAACCATACAAAACGATCCTTGTTCTTCTGTTTTTCTTACTTTTATAGCATATCCAGCTGCTTGAGCGGACACTGTTCATTCAACAGTTCATTTACTGTATACAAGATATGATGACGCAAGTGTTTGTACACTCGTCTCTGTGTTCTTACCTCCCCGTCTCCAGCCTCCGACGCTGGGAGGGACAGGGTCAGATCAGAGTAGTCAAGGGAGCTGAGCGAAGAATTCTGGGAGGTGAATGCCCCATTTCTTCTGTTGGCAGGCTCCTCCATCAAACCCAGTGGCTAATGTTGGCACATAGAGCAAAACAATTCTGGTCTCAAGGAATTGGCTGTAAATCTACATGTATACCAGTATTGTCCAATGGAGAGAGGATTTTTAATCATTATCTAAATGGTGTTTCTTTCAAACCCAGATCAGATTACATTTCAGGGGGGGGGATGTGTCATTTTGCGAGGAGGTAAAACCATTATTGTATTATCATCAGCCTCTAAAACCTAGTCAGATGCTCATTGATCTGACAAATTATTATTATTGTAACGATAAACCTCAGTAGGTTCACTAGATCACTAGACTAGCAGGTGTTGGACTATGGTCTGACCATAGGGTCTGACCTGATTCCCTGGCCTCCCTAGGGATGAGTGTTTGGTTGGTCGAACAATGCCCTCATGTGGTCAACTACTGCAGAGGGAATATTCATACCACTAAACAGAGACAGACGCAGTGTGGTGAAGAATTGGCTCATGAATGAGATTTCAAAAGGCTTTAATTTTGAAATGCTACATCAGAATGTCCTAGTTATTTCTGAGTGACACCTTGAGGTGGTCTGCTATTAACCATTCGTGAAATGAGTTTGTAACTATAAACCATTTCCTCTAAAATCGAATCTGAATTTAGACAAATTGCCTCATGAATGTGATTTGAATTTAGCTCATGAATGAAATTTCAAAAGGCTTTACTTTTGAAATGCTACATCAGAATGTCCTGGTTCTCTCTGAGTGACACCTTGAGGTGGTCTGCTATTAACCTGTAGTGAAATGATTTTGTAACTATAAACCATTTTCTCTAAAATCTAATCTGAAATTAGACAAATTGTCTCATGAATGTGATTTGAAGTTAGCTCATGAATGACATTTTGAAGGGCTTTAATTTCGAAATGCTACATCAGAATGTCCTGATTATCCCTCAGCTACACTGGCGTTGTCTGCTATTATCCTGAAAAGAAATTATTTCATAATTATAGACCCTTTCCTTTAAAATCTAATCTGAAATTCAACGGATCTCATGAATGAGATTTTTAAGGGCTTTCATTTTGAAATGATACATCAGAATGTCCTGGTTCTCTCTGAGTGACACCTTGAGGTGGTCTGCTATTAACCTGTTTGCAATTATTTTGTAACTATGGACCATTTCTTTTAAAATCTAATCTGCAATTAGAAGGCAATTGGCTCATGAATGACATTTCAAAAGGCTTTAATTTTGAAATGCTACATCAGAATATCCTGGTTCTCTCTGAGTGACACCTTGAGGTGGTCAGCTATTAACCTGTAGTGAAATGATTTTGTAACTATAAACCATTTCCTCTAAAATCTAATCTGAATTTAGACAAATTGTCTCATGAATGTGATTTGAAGTTAGCACATGAATGAGATTTTGAAGGGCTTTAATTTTGAAATGCTACATTGAAATGCTTTTTTGTTTTTGCCTTCAAAAAGAGACGCAAAGCACGACAGGTAACCCGGAAGACAGAACATTTGAAATATTCCCTCTCTGCAGCTTCCTGGTCCTGTGCTCTGTGAAACAGGTTGCTCCCAAAGTGTGACACTCTTGTCAGTGAGCCCACCTCTTGTTCATACCAGTCTGCAGCCACTGATGCATCCAGCAAAAGGTCTGTGGACAGCTTTTTGGATATCACTGTCTGGCCAAGTAACTAGGATCCCCTTCCCTATAATAAAAATTTAATCTTTAGCAATGGCTAACAGAAACAACTCTCCGCACACAAAAATGACTGATTAAACTAAATTACAAACTATATTGCATCAAACAATGCACCGATTAATCGAAAACCTCATTCTTGCTGTGTGTATGGATACAGGCATATTAAACTGCATGTAGTCAACTCCTGTTGCCAACATACTCCCATTGGCCCAGGTTTATTTATTTACATTCATTTATTTTTCTATTGCCTTGACTTTTATTTTTCAAATATTCTTACTTCCAGGTTACCTGGCATGCTTTGCGTCTCTTTTTAAAGGCAAAAAAAAAAGGGATTTGCAAAAAACAATATTGGCTCGTTATTTGATTTTGGTCTGACTTGTTTTTGGATTCTGACAATAAAAATGAAAACACGGCTGTGCTTTTCCATTGTTGGTCCAAAACAAATGAAAAAAACATGGTGTTTCTGTATTTTCGATTAAACGGGAAAACAGACTATCAAAACGTACATGGGACCTGGTTCACAGCAACAGAACGAGAGCAGGCTTTTCAAAATAGAATTGGACGTTAATATGATCATATAGATCGATCCTGAACATAACTTACTCCTTTCAGATGGCAATGTTATCCATTTTGGGAACTCTGATGAATGGCCTTGTTGTTGATTCTCAGCCAGTAGAATATAAAATAATGTTAAAATAACTTTCCAGGACATTTTGCTTTGTCTCTCAGTTTCCATGTTTTTTTCAATGGCTGAAAAATTGGTCAACAGTTTTCTAGGAGGCGTAGCAACCCTGATAGTAGCTGCTCTACAGCTGTTGTGCTCTAATGTTGTGATTGACCATGGAGGGATGGGAAATAGGCATTATGTCTTACTTTAGTTTTCTAGTGTGTCATTACTGCTCCTAAATGTAATTTAAGAGAGCAGCACTAAAAAGCATGTTTTACTCTAAAAATAGCTTCAGATGCATGGATATTGATATATGAATGACAAGAGGGCCTCTTCAGAGCGTATTTATTTACAACATAGTGTTAATGGTCAGAACTTACAACATTATCCACTCACCACATCATTCAAAGCAAAACCCCGAAGCAAAACAAACCAGTTGGTTTGTGAAATGATATGTTGCAAAAACAATTAAATCAGCACAGCTACATCTGCAGTTTTCTTTATTTTACATCATCATTATCCCCCAAAATCTTTTATACGGTTGGTAAAACATGCAAGGCAAATTAATCGAAAAACTTGATGAAAACAAATGAAAAAGATTTACAGAGATAAAACACATTAGAGATACAGAACAGAAATGCTTGTTGTGGAAAAACAACTATAGGCAAAATAAAGCATCAAGCTCTTTTTCAGTTTGCAAAGAAAATCAATGGCAAATCAACTGTTATGAGTTCATTTGATACAATACATACATTCATGCAAATTGCTGCTGTATCAAACATGTCAATGTATCTTTTGAGCACTTTGGTAGGACTGGATTTACAGAGAGATAATACAAAAATATACTCAGTGGACTTAAGAGCAGCTAAATGAAGATGTGCTGCTCTACCACTACTGTTCATGCCAATTAAATAGAAATACTACACATGCAGATGTGTGTATGTTTGGGAGTGTTCTCTCAAAAAAAAAAAAGGATATGACCACACAAATATCACTACTAGCATTCAAATAATAAATATATAAAAAAAGGTAATGAATGAAAAGTGTTCCTAGAAAGGTATCCCAAGATGGTTTCAGGTCGACTCTGCCTCAGCTCTCTTCAAATAGGATGTGCAATGGAAGAAAAGATATACTCAATGGCAAATCTAGAAATAAAAGAAAATAGCTATGAATTAAAATCAAAATAAACTAAACCATGCAGTGGGAAAAATAGAAATGAAAATTGCCAAACAAATCTTGATGAAACTTAGCTTCATCTTTTGCAAATGAAATGAAAATGACAATGTTTTCAAAAACAGTAATACACTGTACCTGTGTAACTGCGTGAGGATGACATGGACTCACAAATCCATCCAAGTTGAGAGGATTGTATGCTGCAGACACCTCAGTATCCATGTTCATATGTTGGATTCTGTTGGACTGAGGCAGCTGTCAAAAACAAGATGACAAAAAAAAAACTGTCAATTAGCAGCAATGAGAATTTTGAATAGTAACAGTTCACTAGTGATATCACCATGTGTGGGATAGGGAAAAATGGCATACATAAAGGGCATTATCTAGGCTCTGAGATGCGATCAAAATAAACTGAAGAAATCAGACAACAAAACAAAACAAAAAATTCAACTTACAAGAACCAAAAGAACAGGACGCAGGTCTGTATGGGAGAGCAGGATGAAGTCTGACATCATCTTGGGATTAACCAGGAACACTTGACTGATGGTTAATATATAGAATATAAAACTTGGAGTGTGTAAAACAATGAACCCAAAGGATGCAAAAGTCCACTAAATATAAATGGGCATGAGAACAAAAAAATGACAGATGTGAAACCGGTTTCAGAATAGTCTGCATAATTTTAATTCTGGCATGTCTTTTTTTTGTATTCTTGTAGTGTCCCATTTTATAGTGTCTCAGGTGTATATTATATACTGGGTATATTATTTAGTTACCGAGACAACATTCAACATAATTTGTCCGTACTCTATACAAACATCCAGAAATGTGAAGGCATCTATGCATTTTAGAATCTGTTAAAAAATGTTAGAACTACGTCGACATACAGCATCTCATTAAGTAGGAGTGTCGGAAAAGATAAAAAAATATCCTTGAATTTCAAAAGAATACTGGAAAAATATCTCTGTTTGACATACATACAGTATATATTAGTTTCAGAAAGAACAAGTTTACAACTTTTTAACAAGTGTAAAATGAAAACTATAAAGTCACTTAAAAACAGCAGAAATGTCATGCTTTGCTTTGAAAAATATAAACTGACTTGGTAATTCGTACGAAAGACATGAAACATAATATATATATATATCTATTATGTCTCCATATATGAGGCACATGTGTACCCATCTGTTATCTGAAAAAAAACAATAGCCTTGGCAATTCTTGATGTGACCACATGCAGGGCAGAATAAATAAATGATATTTTCTTTGTTAATGTAACTATTTTTTTCCTATGAAAAATGCAACTGTACAGTGCATTATTATTGTTAATTCTTAGATAATTGGGCTGTTGATGGGAACAGAACTAGCTAATCAGTATCTGCGGCTGTAGCCACTTGAAGAAGATGTGGAGAAGGAGGAGGAGGTGAAGTTCATGCTGAAGCCAGCATCAATGCTGCCTCTCCTGGAGCCTGATCGGGATCCGGTCCTCGAGCCAGTACGGGAGCCAAGGGCAGATCCAGGGCCGCTGGCATTGTAGGGACTGTAGAGGCCTTTGCTGGATTGTGAGGAGGCCTCCAGAAGTCTCAGGCTTGATCCTTCCTCAACCATGCTCTTGTCCATTGCATCTTTGAAGGAGATTTTCAGTTTGGTTTTTGGACATGTTAGGTATTTAGAATAAGCACTGACATCTCTCAGTTTCTGGGCAGTGCGGGCATCAATTGTGCCCTTCTTGATAGATTCATCGAGTGTCACTCTGCTCTCGACATCAGGCTCAATAAGTCCACCAGTCAGATATTGGACCTCAAGGAAACGCTGCCCAGCTTCATAATACAACCAGCCTTTCTTAAGAGCCTGGGAAGCAGACATCTTTACTTTAGTTCTGGGGTCTTCAAATCCATTGAATGCTTTTTGAGCCAGGTTCAGGCGATCAACCATGATTTTATCCACAAGGCCTTTTTCTGCTGCATCAGCGACTGAGAATCTCTCTCCAGTTGTGGGATCAATTATTCCTCCTGTGCAGGCTTGGGCCTCCAACAATCTTTGGCCAGTGATGTTGTCTACCAGGCTTCTGTGTATGGCCTCAGTAATAGACACCTTCTCCAGTGTGTCTATGTCCAATATTCCAGCTACAGGGCCAGTCTCCTCTGCTGGGTCATTCCATATGACTGCAGGTGCTTTAATGGAGGGTATGGGGCTCATGGGAGAGGAGTAGGTAGAACCAGTGGTGGAACCAAAGGAGGATGAGCGTGAGCGGAACCCTCCTGTGTTTCCAGAAAGCATATCAGCAAATTCTGTGATTGACAGGTTTCCAGATCGGTATGTTTCAAGGGCATTCTGGTCAATGAGGCCACGTGAAAGAGCATCATCAACATCATACTGTCTGCCAGACCTCCTGTCAATAATAATCGATTTGACAGTACCATCAGAGGAGGTCATTGTGATCTCTTCCCATTCACACTCCTGCTCAGCAAGCTCCAGGTAGGTTTGGTTGTCAATGAGTCCCTTCCTGTAGGCCTCATACACAGTCATTTCTTTACCACTCTCAGGGTCTACGATGACAACTCTGCGTTTACGAACCGAGGATTTTGAGGAGGTCTTCCTTTCCCGCTTCTTTTCTTTCAAAAGCAGGAGCACCAGCCCAGTGTCAGGATCGGTGATGCACCTCTCCATGAGCTGGAGGTAAGTTAGATTTTCTTCAGTGTTGGGGTCAAAGAAGCCTTTGGTGTCATCAGATGGATCTGTCAAGATCTCATTCATTTCCTCATCAAAGAAGCCACGTTTGTAGGCCACCTCAACTGGCAGACGGTGACTTTCCTCTGGGTCAATGACTCCGCCGGTGGCAATCTGGGCTTCCAGGAGACGGATTCCATGATCTTTCAAGATGAGCCCCTTTTTCATGGCCTGGAACAGGGAGATTGTCTTGCCTGAATAGGGATCTCTATATCCTGTGACTGCACGTTCAGCAGAGAGGAGCTTGTCTTTGAATTCGGGTCCTACAATACCCATTTTCACTGCATCATTGACAGTCAGTCTGAGGTTTTTGATGGGATCAATAACATATCCTGTGGATGCCTGTGCCTCAAGGAGTTCAAATGCTGTGCCTGGCCTGATCATGTTCTTCTTCATGGCCTGGTAAATTGATAGACGCTCCTTTGAGGACTCTAAAAATACACCAGCAATACAGCTTGTGCCCACAAGGTAGCTTGACAATCTTATGCTAAGCTCCTCCATTGAAATACGACCTTCATTCAGATCAGTGATAGTTTCCTGGTCAATAATTTGTGAGCGGAGCAGCTCTTCTAATGTTATCTTTTTCCTCAGACCATCTAACATCACTCTCTTGTCTCCCAGGGAGAGTAGGCGCAACCCACCATCTAACTTGCATCTCTTGAGCAGCTGTGCATATGACAGGACCTCGTCATTGACAGGGTCCATAAATCCCATAACACTGTCAGTCAGCTTCTCGTTGGTTTCCTTGTTGATGTAACCCCTTTGCATGGCAATGTCTGCTGGCAGGTGGAACTGGAATTCTGGATCAATAATACCACCAGTGGCGGTTTGTGCCTCTAACATTTTCAGAGCATAATCCTCTGGAACAAGATCCTTTTTCATGGCCTGGAAAAGAGATATGGTTTTCCCACTGTATGGATCTTTGTATCCTGTGACTGCTCTCTCAGCTGAAAGAAGTTTATCATGGATCTCAGGGCCAACAACACCCTTACGAACAGCTTCGTCAACCGTGAGTGTTTCATTTTTAACTGGATCGACAATGAATCCTGTTGCAGCTTGTGCTTCTAGGAGGCTCAGGGCTAGTTCTGGCTTGATAAAACCTCTCTTCATTGCTTGGTATATGCTTATCTTAGAGCTTGAGTCTGTTTCGACCCCAGCAACACAGCCTGTGCCATAGAGATACTGTTTCACACTGGTCATCTCCATTATATCACGGATGTCCCTCTTGCCCTGTTTAAGGAGGTTGTAAGTCTCCAAATCAATGATGCGGGCATTGTAGAGCTCCTCAATCGTTATCCGTCTCCTTATAGTCTTACATGACAATGGACTATCATTTCTGATGATCTCTCTCTGCTCCATGATCTCAATAATAATGATGATCATCCGCTCTTTAGTGATTTTACCAGAGCGATATTCATTTATGAGCTTTTGCCTCTCTTGCTCTGGAAGCAAATTTGAGTTCATGATTTCCCACAGGTTCAGTGGCTTATCAGCAAGGCCTTCGATTGGAATGTCAATCTGGGTGTCGGTCAGGTCACTCTGTGTTTGTTCCTCTGTGTAGAGGTATGTCTTCTCCACAACAGTTGGAGACTGAGGCTTGGAGAGTGGAAGGATGTACAGGCCTGTCTCTGGATCTCTGTTGCACTTGTCTTTGAGCTTTCGGTATGTAACATTCTCATCGGTTTCTGGGTCTGAGAAAGCCTTGTTATCATCAGATGGTTCAGATAGGGTCTTAGCAATTTCTTTGCTGAAAATGTTCTTCTGATATGCAACATCTGTTGGGACACGGTGGCTATTTACAGGGTCAATGATTCCTCCACTAACCATCTGTGCCTCTATCAAAGGCATGGCATGTTCTTTCAGGATGAGATCTTTTTGCACTGCTTCAAAGAGGGAGATTGTGTTGCCTGTGAATGGATCTTTATAGCCAGTGACAGCTTTTTCTGCAGAAAGAAGTTTTTCATGTAGCTCTGGACCAACAAGACCTGACTTCACTGCCTCATCTACTGTCAGGCACTGATTCCTCACTGGATCCACAAGAAACCCAGTGGCAGCCTGGGCCTCAAGAAGTGAAAGACCTGTGTCGTGTCTGAGGAGCTTTTTCTTCATAGCCTGATAAATGCTTATTTTCTCTTTGGTTGGCTCCAGGTAGATGCCAGCGATGCTATCGGAGCCCTGGAGATATTTATTGACATCAGGATTCTCACTGACTTGTTTGGGTGTTGTTTTGCCTTGTTGAAGGAGGTCAAAGGTTGGTTTGTCAATGATTTTGGAATCATACAGAGAGGCTGCAGGAACAGGAGCTCTAAGGCCCTTGAAGCTGGACTGTTCTCGTTTCTTGGCCTCTTTCTCATCTACAATTGTGATGACAATCTTGACTATCCTTTCAATTGTAAGCTTTCCTGACCTAAACTGTCTGAGCAAGTCAAGCCTTTGTTCCTCAGTGAGATATTCTGAGTTGATGATGTCCCAGATGGTCATCTTCCTGCCCTTAAATGGTCCAGAGTCAAGCTCCACAGTTGCCTGAGTCATAGCCTCTTTCGTCTGGGTATCAGTTAATGTTGGCTCCTCCTTTGCATTAATTGCTTCATCAGAAAGAGGCATAAGCTGGAGACCAGTTTTCTTGTCAATGACACACTTCTTGAAGAGCTGTGAGTATGTGACATGTTCTTTTGAGTTGGGGTCAAAGAAGCGTTTAGTTTCATCAGTGGGACTGTTCAGAAGTTGTTTCATTTCGTCATCAAAATAATTTCTCTTGCAGGCCACATCGTGAGGAATGTGATGGCTCTTTACTGGATCAATGATACCACCAGTGGCCATTTGGGCATCAAGCAGTCGGATTCCTTGTTCTTTAGGTATGAGGTCTTTTTTCATTGCCTGGAACAAAGATACAGTCTTCCCAGTGTAAGGATCCTTGTAACCTGTAACAGCTCGCTCTGCAGACAGGAGTTTTTCATGCAGCTCAGGACCAACCACACCTGCTTTGACAGCTTCATCAACAGTGTACTTCTGATTATGAACAGGGTCAACCACGTAGCCTGTTCCTGCTTGGGCTTCAAGCATATTCAAGGCAGGCCCTGCCCTCATAAAGTCTTTCTTCATAGCTTGATAGAAGGACATTGTCTCGTTGGATGAGTGAATCATTACACCTGCAATGCAGTTTGTACCCTTCAGTGCTTTGTGGACAGGCTCCATTTCAGACACTTCTTTAACTGTCTTATTGCCCTTGTGCAATTTGTTGTAGAGGTCTTTGTCAATGATTTTGGATTCCAGGAGTTCAGTGGCAGGAACAGGTGCTCTCAGGCCATCAAAGGTAATCTCATTCTTCTTCTCTTTGTTCTCTGCCACAGTAATGACAATCTTAATGATTTTTTCAATTGTGATTTTCCCTGTTTTATATTGACGGAGAAGGTCCTTCTTCTGCTCCTCAGTGAAGTACTCAGAATTGATTATTTCCCAAATGGTGATATTCTTTCCTTGGAATCGCCCGAATGGCACAGACACAGTGGTTTTGCTGAACACATCCTTGGTCTCCTCCTCCGTGTATATACTTGAGCACTGAGCGGCTTTGTCTGTGATTGGCAGGAGTAGCAGCTTGGTTTCAGGGTCCGTAGTGCATCTCGCCATTAGCTCAGAATATGTCAATGGTTCCTGAGTGCTGGGGTCAAAGTATCCCTTTGTGTCATCTGAAGGTTTCTCCATAATCTTATTCATTTCAACATCATATTGTCCCTGTTTGTAGGCAATGTCATTGGGTAAACGGTGACTATTGATAGGATCGACGATGCCACCAGTTGCAAGCTGAGCCTCAAGGACTCTGATGGCATGATCACGTTCGATCAGACCCTTCTTCATGGCTTCAAAGACAGAGATCTTTCCACCAGTGTATGGATCTTTGTAGCCAATAACTGCCCTCTCTGCTGAAAGCATTTTGTTGTGCAGTTCAGGGCCAATCAAGTCTTCCTTGACAGCCTCGTTAACAGAAAGTTTTTGGTTCTTAATAGGATCTAAAATGTAACCTGTGGCTGCTTGAGCTTCAAGAAGGATCATGGCTGTGCCGGGAGTAATCTTCTTCTCTTTTGATGCTTGATAGATTGACATTTTTTGATTAGATGGAGTCAAAACTCCAGCAATGCAATTCTTTCCTCTAAGAGTTGTTTTAAGTTTGTCAGTCTCACCAAGCTCTTGAACAGTTGTTTTGCCTTTTTGTAGCTTTTCAAACTCCTTCTTGGATAAAAGGCCAACTTCACGAAGTCTGCTTGCAGGTACCTTATCACGTATGCCGTCAAAAGCCAAGGGATCTGGTTTCTTCTCCCCACTGTCTACCGCATCACTGGCATTTCGTCCATTGTAAACAGTCTTTGTTGTTTCAACTGTTGTAACACTAATGAGCTGTTTGTCAGGGACTTTATCAGTGTGTTGGTCTTTCCCTGCTTCCTCAAGCTGCTGCAGCTTATTGCGCAATTTCTGGTTCTCTTCTTCAAGAATCCTTTCCTGCTCTAGTCTCTTCTTCTCCAGTTCTTGCATTTCTTTTTGCTTGTTCAGCATATCTTTCTCAGCCTCTTTTTGTTTATTGAGGGCCTCATCCATGGTAGCGTGGAGTTTCTTCTTCTCCTCCTCCATCTGTTGTCTCTGGCATTCCTGTTCATCTTTGAGAGCTTTGGCCTTTTTTAATTCCTCTTCAAACTGGCTCTCCAGCCGCTTTTTCTCATCTTCAATTAGCTTCTCCTTCTTCAAAAGCATCTCCTTTTCTGTCAGGAATGTCTGCTGGAGCACCATCTTCTCATGTTCAATTTGTTTCTGCTGTGCATCAGCCATCTGATAAAGAAATAGAAAAAGTAAGTTACAATTGGCATATAGGTGAAGAACATATTCTGTACATATTTTCTTTATCGAAATTGTTTATTTTGTATATTTAATTTGTAATGGATACAATTTGTACAATGCACTCTGCTTATGCATAGGGAGATAAAATATTGTTCAAATTTGATTGTGCAGCTTTTGATATATATATAGATATATATCATATATCTATATATATAAAACATATAAGTCCAGAATGACTTTCCTCAACTAGCAAAAAATGCAGAGCAAAAAAAGTAATGTATCAAAATAAATTATCACAATTCCTTTTTTCTGAGACATTTTTATGTGAATGTCCTGCCTAGAAGAATTTGGACTGCAATTTGTCTGCATAGACATTATGAGATTGATTATCACTTTCAATTAATTGTGAATGTAATGTATATGTAATTAGAGTGGAGTGGACTGTGTAAGCTCATATAATGTATCTGCAAAGTAAGTAAAGTGAGGAGGAATTTGTTGGTGGCTCTGCTTATTAGGAGGTCACACTGGACTGAAATAGAATTACAAAGGACCCTGTAAAAATTAGGTTACTCTACAGTGACTCTGAAAGCTCAACACACTGTAAATTAGGAAAACAAATGAAACCCATTTTGCCTTGTTTTAAACAATTAATTAAACAATTTTCAATTTATTTTTGTCCCGTACTTGGTGACAATTCTGAAAATAACTTTAGCCAGCTAACATAACGCAATCCTGTTTCACCATTAATAGTGTGTATTTTGTCAGATTATTTGAATTGGCAGGCTAATAACAAGATAATGGCAAACACAAGGTTAAAAGCAGTAATCTGCAATGATATCTGAATGTTGCGATCTCAATGTTAAAATGAACCAAAAGATCGTAACTACATTTAAGCTGATTTTCCAACACCATCGACGAATAGCCAACGTCAATGATGTCTTAAGCTAAAAACTACGGCAACAACATACGTGCCCCAGCCATGTGCCCCAGCTGTGTGCATACATTTTTAGTACCCCCTGGAAACACTCTCCACTGACTTGTGTGCTGCATTATTTGTAGCACGTTTCCGTGTTTGGTTGTTTTCTGTACTTGCATTGGGTTTCTGTTTTTGGTTATGTTTTCTGTATTTGGTTGGATTTTCTCTTTTTGCTGTGCGTTTCTGTTGTGCGTTGAGCTCTCAGGGCCACCGTAGTACTCTGCCTACAAATCAGTTGAGAAAAGTCACTGACATGGTCAATTTGGATTTTGATGAACTAGATTTGACTGAAGTTCAGTTTTTACAAACTGACAATGAAATTATAATATACTGTGCAAAATTGTGGTAACCATAAATTGGCAAAATGTTTTGCATGCTCTTACTTGTTTTGATTGTAGAATTTTTTTGTATTACTTGATGTGTTGCAACAGAGAATATATTTTGTTGCATAAGAATTTACTGCTAACTATATACCAGAAATCTTGTGTTAGTTACATTCTAAGGTGTTACACACAGATTCACCTGATATATTACTTATAGTAAATGGCAAGGATCAGAATTCTGACGACACATCATATAATTAGTTTAAGATAAACAGTTTGCAAAGATCTCGGATAGTGTCTTTTGAAATAGTTAAATATTAAAATTTACCTCTCTGTATTCTAATGATTCTAATGATCACATCAACAAAGCTCCCAATTTAGTGTATTGTATACTTGTCAAGAAGAAAGTAAGAAAGCTCAATAGGTATGGTGAGATCTCTGGTAAATGTTTTAGAATGTCTATGTTGGTGACAGAGTTTTGCTTGCCTGAAAAGTATAAATACATATATTTGTCGGGGTAGAGGCCAGTTTGGTGGAGATTTCTGCATATTTTAACACAGCATTCAAAATTGAATCTGGGCATTTTTACAAATGGGATGGTTACTGAAGGTAAAATTTGCTTAGCCACTAATGGGTTGGTCTTTTAATCCTGCAAATACAGCCAATATTCAAGGCAGTGGAACTGCCAAATGCAGTGGAACATTCCTTTAAAACTCATTGAGCACTGGCACAAATCTTCCTAGAGGTTTGGGGTTCTTGTAAATCTGGATGTAGTGTAATTCAAGGTTATCTCTCTAATCACACTTAAGTTTAACTTTTTGGCTAAATTGCTAATGGACTATCATATTTTATTAATTTGAGTTTTGAAACGGAACAGATATATGAAGCATGTCTCAAAATGAAGAAACATTCCAGGATATGAGGGGGACATTCAGGATATGATCTGCATGAGCAGAGTGCACTGTAGAAAAATTAAATCAAAATCATATTTAAAATCAAAGAGATGGTTTCATGATTAGTGTGATAAGAGAAAGGAATAGAGTAAATGTAAAGAAAGAAGTGAGTTAGTTTTCAGAAAGAGTTAATGACATAAGCTGCTTTGTTATGCCATTTTTGACACAATACCTCTTTAGATTTATTTTGAAGTTCTTCTGCTTCCTTTTTCAGTCTAGCCTTCTCCCTCTCTAGGTCTGCGATTGCGTGGCGTAAATCGTCAGCCTCTTTGCTGGTATTTTCGCTCTGCAATTCCAGCAGTCTCACTGCAGTCATTTTTCCTTTGGTGGCTATCTCAGTCTCATGAAGACGGGCAGCAATATCATCAGCTTGTTTCTTGAATTTCTTTGCCTCCTCCTCAGCTTTGGCCTGGCCTTCGCTGAGTTGAGAAACCTGAAGTTTGAGTTTTTCGGCTTCGGCTACAATCTCCATTTGCCTTTTCCTCTCTGCTACAAGTGACTTCTGGTATTCCTCCGTCTCGTCTTCCAGACGCTGTTGCATTAGTTGTTTGTCCTCCAACAGCTGTTGAGCCTGCTCCTGAGCCATGTCCTTCTGTCTTTGGAGCATCTCTGCCTCAGCTCGAAGTCGCGATGCCTCCTGTATGGCCTGCATTTTCTCTTTGAGCATTTTCTCTGCAAGAGCTCGTTGCTGATTGAGGTCGTCTTCTGCAATCTGTCTCAAGCGTGCAGCCTCTTGGGACTCTACACTAAGTCTGGCAGCATCCTCTGCGAGCCTTTTCATATTTTCAGCCTCATCGGCAAGGAATTTCTGTGAGTTGTCTTTGTCTTTCTTGAGGAGGCGTTGATTTTCCTCCTCGATTCTGATTTTCAGTTTGAGCAGCTCCTCCATCTGAACCTTGACTTTGAAGAGCTCCTCCTCTACCTGGCCCCGTTGTTTGACAGCATCATCAACCTCATCCTTCAAGCGCTGCAGCTCTTCATCCAGGACAGATTTCTGTTTATCGGTATCATCGAGCCTAAGTTTAACCTTTGTGAGCTCTTGCTCCACTTGGAACTTCTGTTTCAATGTTTGCTCTGCCAGTTTTTTGTGCTTTACCATTTCGGCATCGGCCTGTTGCTTCTGCATGAGCGCTGCACTTTCTGCCTGTGCTCGTTTAGCAGCTTCAAATTCAGCCTCCTTCCGCAACCTTTCCGCATCCTCCTGAGCTTTGGCTTGGATTGCAGCTTCTTTCTCAGCAGCTGTCTTCTGCCGTTCTGCTTCCTCTGCTTGTTGACGAAGCAGAGCCGCCTCCTTCTCTGCCTTCTCCTTAGCAGCCTCTGCCTCCTTGGCCAGCTTCTTGGCGTTCTCGTACGCTTCCTTAAGCTTCTTCTGCATGATGCCGTCTTCCTTCTGTTGGGCAAGGACACTTTGGGCTTGCTGCTCAGCTGCATTGCATTTCAGGGATGCTTGTTCGGCTGCAACAATCTGTTTGTCAGCTTCAATGTCGGCCAAGTCTTTCTGCCTCCTGGCCTCTTCTGCTTTCTTTTTCAGTCGAGCGAGCTCATCTTGGGCAATCTTGCATTGTCTGGCTGCCTCTTCCTCTGCAGCAGTGATCTTCTTAACCTTCTCCTCTGCTTCCCTCCTCCTCTTCTCCTCCTCCAGGGCAAGCTTCCTCAGGTTCTCCGCCTCCTCCTCTGTTCTTAGTTTGCTTTGTTGAGTTTCTTCTGCAATGTTCTTCAGTTTGTTCAGTTCCAGCTCCAGATCAAGTTTCCCAGATGAGGCCTTTTCAAAGTTGAGCTTCAGAATTCTGATTTCTTCTTCGACGACTCGCCTCTGTTTCAGGGTGTCGTCCACTATTGCTTTTTGTCTTTCCATTTCAGCCTCAGATGATTTTTTGAGTAGGACGATCTTTTCCTCAATCTCTTGCTTGTGCTGGTTAGCCTGGTCTTCAAGAGCTTTCCTCTGGTAAGCCTCATCCTCTGCTTGACGGCGGAGTCTTTCGTTTTCTGCCTCTTTCTCTTTCAGGGCGATTTCAGCCTCTGTTTTCGAACGAGTGGCGTCGCTGATAGCAGCCAGCTTCTCTTTGAGAATCCTCTCAGCCTCTGCTCTCTGACGAGCTGCCTCTTCCTCAGCAACTTGCCTCTGATGCTTGGCCTCCTCTGCGATGGCTCGAAGCTTGCTTGCTTCCTCAGCCACGTCCCTCATCTTGCTGGCTTCAGCCTCAAGAAGTTGTTTGCTCCTCTCTGTGTTGGACATGGTCTCCTTTTCTGCCTTGGACTTAAGTTGAATGAGTATATCCATTTCACTCCTCACTTTGGCCAGCTCATCCTCGAGCTGTTTCCTTTGTTGCTGCGCTGCGACGACTTCATTCTTCAGGCGGTAAAGTTCATCTTCAAGGAGGGATCTCTGCTGTTCTGCGTTGTCAAAGTCTGCCCTGAGTCGAATCAGTTCATGTTCTGCAGTCAGTTTCTGCTGAGCCGTGCTCTCAGCTACCTTCCGCTGCCTATCAAGCTCTTTCTCGGCCATCTCTTTCTGCTTCAGGGCTGACTCTTCGGCTTTGGTTCTCTTTTTGGCCTCACGCTCAGCCTCCTCCTTTTGTTTCTCAGCATCTTCTTGAGCAAGGCTCTTTTTGTGAGCTTCTTCCTCAGCCTGGAGCCTTAGACGGAGGGCCTCATTAGCTTTTTGCCTCCACTTCTCAAGCTCCCTTTCCGCCTCTTCTCTGGCATTTATCGCATCCTCCTGTTGTTGCTTGAGATGTGCTGCTTCTTGTTGCAGCTGAAGGACAGCTCCATGTTCTTGTTTGAGGGATTCTTCCAGCTTCGAGGTCTTTTCCACAAAGGAGGTCTGTTTGCTCTGGAGCTCAGCCGCGGCACTCTTCTGGGCTGCCACGTGGGCAACCTTGATTTGTCTCTCCTTTTCAATCTCTGCTTGCTTCACTTGCCTTTCAGCCTCCTCGGCCTGCATCTTGAGATTTTCAAGGTCTTCCAGAGCTTTTTGCTTCTGCTTAGCAGCTTCTTTTTCTGCCTCAGATTTGCTTTTGAGTTCCTCCTCTGCTATGCGCTTTTTCTGGGTCTCTTCCTTGACTTGTCTATGGAGCTTCTCAGCTTCTTCCTGGGCGGCCTTTCTGAGTCTCTCAGCTTCAGCTGCTCTTTCACGAAGTTGCTTGAGCTCAGATTCCGCGGCGGACTTTTGTGTTACTGTTGTCTCAAGTTGGATCCTGATGAGGTAGATTTCCTCCTCAATCTTGGTCCTGCTGTGAAGAGCCTCATCCACCTGTTGGCTTTTGTCCTTGATCTGCTGCTCTGACAGATTTTTGAGCTCATGCAGTTCCAGCTGGATGTTGTGCTTTTGCTTCTCTGCATCTACAGCAGCAATGTCTCTCCTGCTAACTTCTTCCTGCATTCTGAGCTTCAGCTCTTGAGCCTCTTTCTGAGCTTTGGCAATGGCCTTTGCGTGAGCGGCAGCTAACTGCTTCTGTTTGTCTAACTCAGCCTGCATCTCAGCCATTTTTTTCTGCTCTTCTGCTTTGAGTTTCTTTGCAACTTTCTGCATTAGTGGAGGCAAATGGTAAAGAAAGGATTATAATCAAGCATGACATGTTAAAGGTAGCACTGTACATTAACTAGCTCAAAACGGTGTGGATTAAAATTGTAATTACTATAGTAATCACAGCCAAACCACACCGGAATAAGAGCAACGTAATGTACTGTATTACCGAGGCAATGTTAATGTTAATGTTAGCTCAAAGATCAATCACTGGACACAAATTAGATGCACATTCATCAAAGTGATGTTAAATTCACGATGCAATTAAAAACATGAATGAGAAGGCAATTCAGGAAAAAAATCGATGACGGGGATGAATGAATCAATGTATGGAAACAAAGTATCACTTCACAACACAGCAAGAAAACCATATGGCATGCAACTGTAGCTGTTTCTAACTTTCAAAACTGCCTTATAATTGTGATTCTAATATAATATTGTATGTCTACAATTTAGCTTTAATTCTTAACAAATTGTTGAAATGTTTTTTTTTCCCCAATATTTATTGCATAAGTGGGAGGAAAAGCCATTTCCATGTATGTAAGAGTATTTCCAACACATAGGTATTGTCACTATATAATTATTGATAACTTTCAGTTTTGTTTAGGTAGGTTTCTGTTGTTTTACATAAAACTATATTTTCAAAATAAGAACTAAATGCTTCACACCATTCACATAGACTGGCTTTTATCTCATCCATGCACTCGGGGTTCTTTAAATCACTATTTGCCACAACATGGAATGGAAAGGAAAGGCAAGGTCAAGGATGACGAAACCCATTTATAGATGCAGGAAGTGTAAGAAGCACTGTAAGGTGGGTTTAAAAGAACACTGAGTACATAGTGTGAGTGAGGAAGTGTGGATAGCTACTGTAAATCTATAAAAGGCTGCAGTGAAAGCAAGGAAATAAATATGCCATGAAAAGCCATAGCGCAGTTTGAGAAGAGACACAGATGTTAGGATGAAAGAGGGAATGGAGATTATACGATACAGTAGAAACACTGTGAATAATTTACCTCTTTAATGCTCAAACAAGTTAAGCATTCATCATGGCAAAGCACTGGCAAGCAGTTAAGAGGAGCAAAGAAACAACCAAAACATTAGGGTTAGAAAATAATGTGAAACTTTAAACTTGTGTTCATTTAGGGGGTAAAGGAGGACTGAAAACCACGATAACCAGGCTGAAAGACTTTGGTTTTAAGGAAAGGAAGTGGCCAGAAGTAAAAGAAAGGAATGAGAATTGTAGTGAAAGAAAGAACCCCTAACTCTAAACCTACATCACAATACGCAAAATGAATGGAGATGAGGTAGCTATACGAACACACAGTGTGCTGTATTTATTTAGTCTAGTTTTAGACTGCATTGAGAATTAATGTTACCGTCTCAATGTAACAGAAAGAATAATCTAATAAAATACTATATTTCCTTGAATGTAAACACACTCAAACCTCATGCATCATGTTTGTTTGCAAATTCTTAATTTGGTGATCATATTAATCATATCCTTATACATCATTAATCCTTTGTCGTGATATAATGACTACTCAATGCTTCTCCAGCATATAGATCAGCTACAGCATGCCAATGTTTCAAGCGTAACCAGTGCAAAGGAACTGTTTGTCACCCGTACATTAATGTGATATGTGTGTGTGTGTGTGTGACACACACAGTACGTGCATGCATGTGTTTCGTTAATCGGCGGGTGATCTCGTTTGTTGGTTGGTGGATTATTTGGTTGGTTGGTTAGGTTAATGTTAGAATTTAGTTTGTTTGGGATCCTCAGCCAGTTGTCACGCACCTCCTCGTCCTCCAGGCGGCGCTGCGTGTCGGTGATGAACTTGATGTACTGACTAGTCAGAGTCATCAGCTCACTGTACCGGGTCCTCAGTGTTACATACTGATACGGGGAGAGACAAACAAAACATCTGTGTCATTTACAGGGAAATGAGTTCATGGTTAAGTCATCCTTCATCAAAGCTATGTTCCACAAGCTGCATCCAACGTGGCTTCTCGAAAACAAACCTCCTGAATGATGTTGTCAGAGGCAGAATCCAGTTTGGTTTTCTTCAAGGGAGAAGCAAGAGGATCCATATGGGCTTTGTAGGCAACCAACTGGAGTTCATAGTCCTGATTGGAAAAAAGGTGATCCTCCATACATTAGTATTGCTCCAAATTACAATATTTACAATAATGAACGAAAGCTGTTGTTGTTTATGCTCACCTTGATAGTGTTAATGTATGCTTTAGCATATTGTTGACACTCTTCAACTTTGTCTTTGTTATTCTCAATCTCCTCCAGCAGTTTCTGTTTTGAAAACGGGTTTTAATTAATTAGTTGAGCTCACGTGAAATAATTTTGAAAATAAATAATAGTGCTAAGAAATAAGAATGCTGGTTGGTATCAAGTGGTAATATACCTTCTCCTGGGTCAGCTGTTCATTGAGAGTTTTGCTGTCGGTGATGGACACAGCCTGGATCTTCTCCTGCCTTTGCTTGGCATCAGAAATCCAGCGGATCAGCCAATCGTGGCTCTCGCGATAGTAGCCTAGCTGGCGGCCAAGCTGCTCCAGCTCTCTCTGGCGGATGTCCATCTGGGCGAACACGGCCTTCCAGCGGTCCTGAAGACCGGACAGGAGGTGGCGGTAGTGGTCCAGCTCGACGTCCCGCTCGCTGTGCACGCGTGACATCTTGTCACTCACTAGGCTGGCCTTCTTCAGCTCTTCTTCCAGAGAGTCAAACACTGGCTGTTGACCCTCAGCCTCCGCTCGCATTTTCTGCAAATTTCATAAGAAAAGAAAGGCCAGTCAGCAGAGCGCAAACGAGGTCAAGATCACCGGTTAGGCTGAACTACTCAATGGGAACAGTTCTCAATTGGCTGATAGGAGGATTTGTATTTTTTTCTGTATGCAAATATCCGATTTCCAGTTGAGAAAAATTCTCCTCGTAAAAAAATATGCTGTTTACCTTTAGCGTTGTTCTGTAAGTCTCTACTTCTTTGCCATCGCCTGGCACGGTGTGAACCTCACGCAGACAGTCCTCATACTGCTTGAGAACTCCCTCAGCACCCTGTGTGTTACGGATGACCATTTCCACAGTCTTCAGCCTGGGACAAGAAACAAAAAGTAAATAAATGAGCAAGGCAAAGGGGCATCAGTGCATTTCTTCATCCTTATTGAACTTGACTGAGGGACTCACTTCTCGAGATAAACCGAGGAGAGCATGTGGGTATGATCCATCTTCTGCACGGTGATGTCAAGCTCTGAGCGCAGAACGGGAGCTGAGGCAGACTGCTGTGGGGAGGCCAAGACCTCTTGTGTCCTCACAGACACCTTATCAAGGTCCTTCTTGAGGCTCTTGAGTTTCACCTGGACTTTCTGCACAACAGAAGAAGACAACAAGAGTTAGCAACATGTCAGAAGAGTCAGAACTTCTTAAGCATGGGGGGAAAAAAACAATCAACTGACAAAGAAATCCCAACCAGACTATTATGAGGAGCAGATTCCAAAAATGTGCTTCAAGGCACCTTTATAATTTAAATGAACAGTCTCAGATCAGCAGGCACCTGAGCAGCCGTTGTAGGAAAGCAGCCAGAAGTCGTACTGCAATCTCTGCAACTCTCTCTGAACTGCTACAAATTCCAGACCTTAAAGCGTTTACAATTCTCTGCTGTATCTTCACACTCTGAGCTACACTGATTGAATCTCTTACTCCAATTCTACAGTGTGCCCAGTGGTTTAGTTCTTCTTTCCACCAATCCTGCCTATCATTGTCCCTTACAATATTAGCAAATTCCCATTTTCCCTTCCTCTACTTTCATCTTTCCCTCTTTCCTCTATGTGGATGGATTTGTTTTGCCTCTAGGGCCAGCAGGTTGCTAAGAGCCTTACTTTACTTCCATAGATGTTGCCATCAGGCTTTTTTTTAAAAACTAACCAAGCACATGATACTCAAATAGTGTCAGGCAAATGTGCACCATTGAGACACGTGTCCTATTGAAAAGATTATATTAGTACGCGTTTCCACTTCCTCCCCTCACGTAAGAATACAAGAAAAGGTAATGTAACTTAGCCCTTGAGATAATCATCAATGCCATCTGATTCAAGCCCATAGGCACTGATGTCTAATTCATACGGTAATGTAGTGTAATTAATATGGCCACATTGCTATGTACAGTACCTGCTGGTCTGCTGTCTTCTGAACACATTCTTTCAGAGGTTCCTTCTCCATTGGTTTGCGTATGCGAGATAAAGTCCCGGCCTCGCAGTCCTCTATGCTCACACGCAGGTCCTTGATCTCAGAGATGTAGGTCTTACACAGAGTTTCATCCTGTTGACCTGTGTAGCAGCATAATGTATTACTTTAGAACAGCAAAACAAAAGATTGATTAAATCAAAAGGCAAGAAGTGAGTTTGGATGCACTCGAGGGCCAAGAACATAGAAATACTGAATACTGTAGATGCAAAAAGTACCGTCACACAGCCTAAATACGAGTTTTGTGTCCATGGCACAGTATGGTGTGGTATTGTTGATGTGTAACTACGTGTCGCCCTCTTTCACACTCAAATCACGTTTTTTGCGACATCTACCACGTATTTGCCGTGTGCAAAAGCACGATCATACATGCAGCTCATTACGTGTCGTGACACACACAGCTCCATTTAAACTACAGTACATAGCAAGTATTTTCTACCCAAGTAATCACAGCATTAAGTGATAAGGCTGCATGACATAAAGAAAAAATAAAGCTGTAGCCTAACTCACAAAATATGGATTTTTGCAGAGCAACAACAAAAGAAGAAAAGCAACGTGGGAACCAAACCAACATGCGGTCACTTAGAACTCTACTCTATTCACACTGATGGTTATCTCTGAGCATCTCATCGAAAGCTTTGACAGGCTTGACATCACTCACCTTTGAGCCTAACAACCATTAGTCCTGAAAGGTGAACAATTACATGCTGTGAAGTTGCTAGTCACTTATTGTATATTTCCTTCTTTATACATCCATGAATCATTTGTTGTTTGGAGAAAAAACCCCACAAAAGTTACCTTTCTCCATGGAGCGGAGCAGGTGGTCGAAATGCTGGGTGGACTTGGTGTAGTCGCCCTCGACCTGCATGCGGTCATCGGGGCCAAAGAGCTGCGAGTCCTGGCTTTCGCGCATGTAGTCCTGGTAGTGGAGCTCCAGGTTCCTCATCAACAGCCTGTACTCCTCTGGTTTCATGGTCTTCAACTGCAAAGGACGGAGAAGAACGGGGGAGGGATTAGAAGGCAGGATTTATTCTGCGTATTCTGAGGAGGTTGATGCTGTAGTTTGATTTAATGATGTATTTTGGTTTTGGCAACAAAACGGTTTCGTTGTTGATTGTATGACGGCTAGCGCACTCTTTCCAGAGCTATAAAATGATCCTACAGTAACTGAATGTGATTCCGAAGACTTAACGTAATAAAACCCTTCCCTGCGCAGCCTGCTCTTAAAATAACAGACGTCAAGCCTTCATTTAGTTATTTAGATTCTGTTAGCTATTTACAGCTCATGGTTTGGTATTATTTTCAAATTAGTGCAGTTGGCAGAAGATTGTATGTTGTTTAATATTTCTTAAGTTAAAAAATTAAATAAAATGTTTATTGTATTGTTTTTCTCATTTTTCACATACTCATGAAGTTTACACCGAATATAACAACTCTGTTTTTTTATTTATATACTTAACATTTTTTGAATAGAAGTGTTCACGCTCACCATTGTGATGTTCCAGGAGCGTATATGTGTGAAGTCTCTCATCAGGTACTGCCACGACAGCAAGCTCTTCATGTCTATATGGAGCGTCTGCCACATAGACACCGTCTGCTGATAACCCGAGTCCAGACTGGAGTAGGAGAGGAACGCAGCGAGAATCAAGAAACAGATGGTACTCCAGAGATTATACCCGTCTTCGCCATTTACAGTTTAGTTTTAAACTCAATATGTATTTGGTGTCATTGGATTGGACCGGTTGACAGAAACACCTTCCTAAATCGGTAAATTTTTCCCATAAACCCTGCTGCTCGTCCACGTGTGTTCTCACCTGGACACGCTGTCCACGGCCTCCTTGTTGACTGGAGGCACCATGAAGCAGACGGAGGGCACCACTGCCTCGTTTCCGGCGTGGTTCAGGACCTTCCACTTGTAGGGCTGCGAGTTGTTGAGGAGCGCGCACTCGTCTCCTTTATGGACGGTGATCTGCAACACAATCCACGATTGGTGAATTACACACACATGGAAGAGGGCGTGCTGAGGTTCCGCGACATGTTTGACCACTCTGGGCTATGGACGAATCGCAGATCACTGACCTCCTGCTGCTTGAAGTCACAGACGGCCTGAACGGGCAGTTTGCCTTTGATGGAGGTGGTGGGGTTGCGTGGTTTCAGCTGGATGATGGACTTGGCTCTCTTGTTCAGGCCGGTTGCAAGGGTCTTGAATTCATTCATCTGCTCTTTCTCCTCCTGGGGGAAAATAAATACGATCAAATGAATTAAACACAAACAAGATTAGAGTCAAATAATTCCCAGTTTTCTGATGGCATTAAATTAAAAAAAGGGGGAAAATGTTGCTTCTAAATCGAAATAGTCATCGCCGACATTTTCTTAAGAAGCTCATCTGGCACGATCGTGTACACATACAGCTAGATATACACATGTCAGCAGTCCTCACTCACCACAGCATCCTGCAGCAGATCCTCCAGCCGTGTGGCTGTGGTGGAGCGATCGCAGCTGTATTTCTTTTTCATGTTGTCTTGCATTTTCTTCATCTTGTCCTGAGCCTCTTTCACATCGGCAAAGAACTGCAAAGGGACAGGAAATTTGACTCTTTGCTCACTGAATTTTGATGGACGTATAGGGTTATTGGAATTCCACAGATCTGTCTGAATTCACATAGCTGTCCCATACCTGGTAGTAGGCTGTGTTTTCTTTGAGATGAGCCTCAATACAGCAGCACAGTTGTAGGATCCAGCTCCACTGAGTCTGCAGGGCGGCTGTGAAGGCCTGAAAGAGACAAAGATGACAGTGCATTAGTGGAGGCCTCACTCAGTAGCCTTTACACCGCATGTGGATTTTGACTGTTCAGCTGGGCTTATTAGCGTAATTACTTCAACTGTCTTCTTGCCGGGATGTCCGTCCCTGACAAGTTTGTCTCCTATGACCTGGAGATCATTGACTTTCTTCTCCCTCAGCTCCAGCTCTCGCATGAGACCCTGAATAATCAAAATGAAACAGTTAATGTCAATCTTGGGAGGAAAAAAAAACAAACTCCTGTGCATTCATTTTATGACTTTATCCAAACATATTTCACACAATGGGCTGGAATTGGAGACAAGATTTAAGAAACTGAAGCACGTGAACGCAGGATTTGAAGTCCACTCCTAAAACGCACCGAGTAGTTGTCTTTCTTAGCCGTCATGTTGGTGTTCCTGTCGCTCCAGTCGAAATTGACCTCCTCCTCTTCTTTGTCATTTAACCACATCATTTCCTTACTGGCAGCACTGATGTAGGCGTGGAGTGAATCCAACTTCTTTAGGCGGGACTTGGAAGAGTTCTGAAAAAAAGATCAAAATACAAGCAGTTTAAAAATCAGCTTTCAATCACCTACAATGATAAATTAAAATTTGTGCAGATTAAAATACAAATATATTTACCAGTAGCTTGCCGTACTGCAGGTCCAATTTACCCATGTATTGTCTGTACGAGCCCTTGCCGATAGGAGATAGCTGGCTCTGCAATAAATGAGAGATGCAACAGAGGTTACTTTTAAAATCAACAACACAACATCGTACGGTGTGCGATCCCTTCTGGTGACGGTGCTACCTCGTCGGCCCTGGCCCGCTCAATCTTGGATCGGAAGTCCTCCACAGTTTGGTGCAGGCCTCTGTGGCTGCCCAGCTGGGACTCCACAGAGGGCAGATCAGAGCCCCACTCCGCCTCATCAATGCGAAGCTGGTTCTCCTCCACCCACGCCAGGAGGTCTTTGACATAGCGGATGGTCACATCATCCAACTCTGGCCGCACCCTCGTGGAGCCCTGCTGGATGGTTTGCGTCATAGGAGCCTGGCTCGTCACAGTCGTCACAGTGGTCTTCAGGCGAAGGTTGTAATCGGTGCGCAAGTTCACCAAGCGCTCATGGAGGCGGTAAACCCTGTGGCGATAAGAAACACAGCACTTTTATACTGCTGATCTTTTTTTTGGGGATTCAGATCTGCATCTTTCAACTGTTTTGTAACACAGTGTATTACGTCAAAGGTTCACTTGAATGCAATACACATTGCACCAACCTGCGGTACATCTGTTCAGCCTGAGGGTGGCGCCCGTCCTTGAGTGTCTGCACATCGTTGAAGAGCAGGCGGATCGTGTTGTCGGACTTGTCGAGCTCCCGCTGCACTTCTGCTGTGTGCTGAGCTGGTTTCCCCACGTTCAGCAGACGAATGTCCTGAAGGAATGAGAGACAATTAAAAACATACATTTTTTTATCTACTTTTATAAATGACAACAACTTAGAGAGGAATATAAAGGCTTGTGACAGTGATGGACATACAAGCAGCCACTTCTCTGCCTGAAGGATACTAGAGATTCCATTTTTTTCCTCCTTTTACTTTTCTGTAGCTTTGCATGACATATTTTAGGTGCATTATTCTCTTAAATGTCTGATTGGTAGGATATTCATAGTTAGTTTTTGTTAAACTAAATAGCATAAAAGAGGCTTAAAAAGTCTGTCCTTTGGACTCAAATCGACCAAATTTATAACTGATATGTATGAAAAAAACGTAAAATCCCAAACTCTTTAGTCACAATGAAATAAATAAAAAAAGCCACAAGGTCCAAACAATCATCTGGATTCTTTCTGCTTCGTGAACACACATCGAAGAGTAGTATTTCTAATGTTAGCACTCACCGTCTGCAGCAGGGTCTCCAGGTGGCTGAGTTGGCTATCGCAAGACCCCGAATCCATCTGGACTTTACTGACAATCCTCTGGAACCTCTCGAGTCTGGATAAGATACGATCAATCATAAAAAAAATTAAAAAAATGAAGATCAATAAGACATTCAATTAGAAAACCACATTACATTTAGACGAACAGAAGCTTAAAATCAAAACTGACGGCCACCTGCGTTGCAGCAAATACTCCAATTTATGAGGGTCACTCACAAATGCCATTCCTCAACCCTTTTAGAAAGATTACAGTTACAGCTAGGAGACAGTCAGCTCTCCTCGCCCATCGTGTCTCCTGAAAATACTCTGCCACGTAACAGAGCAGGGTGAGACGAATATGTCCTCTTGACAAAGACATCCTGTCTGCTCACTCAGTCACTCCTCATCTCAGAACCATGAACAAGGCTGTCAGGCTGGGAGATGACCGGACGATCTCATGACATGAAACCACCCCATTATCCAGACATGACGCAACGCTACTCTACATTATGTCTCGTTTTGATGTCTATCTTCTACCAAAGCGGGGAAATGATGCAATACAGCTGCAAGAAAAAATATATGACGGTGAAATAACATTGTTGTTTGATAAAGGAGTAACTTAATGTACCTTTCTTTTAGGTATATAAGAACGTAATTGGGAATGACATATTTTTATGATACCTTCATGAGCACAGCTTTGGTGGTGTCGGAAGGTTAGCAGGCTAGCTAACGCAAGAACCCTCACACTAAAGCTAGGCTTCAGACTAAAGCTAGGCTACTAGCTAGTTGCATTTTACTTTAGTTATTAGCTTGATAATATTAGAAACTTTATTTTTACAATGAAAATGAATAAAAGAATACATTGTGGCATATCCACCGCTGTCCTAACCTCTCAAACTCTATCCTGAGCAGCCGTTCTCTTTCCAGAATGGTCATGTGAAGTCGACCCCATTCTTTCTCCACATCAATGGGATGGTAGCCTGGAGGGACCTTCACCTGACCAGCATGCACGGCACTCTGTGGGCAGGTGGGAGCAGAATGTGTTAGCCGCCACTCAATAGAACAGAGCACAATGAAATACAAAAGGACAGGAGGGTTTAGCTTGCCTCAAAGGACTGGTAGATGTGCTTTGACCGGTTCTTGTCGCCTTCTTTCACTGGCAGCTCCGTCTCTTTGAACTTCAAGAACTGGCGCCAAAGAAGCTAAAGAAAAAAAAAAGAAAAAATACACAAAGAAAGTTTAAATCAGTAATATCTTATCTATATCTTCATTTGATGTATGTCTTGAATGACATAATGTTTTGCACATTTAAATGAATGTAAAAATCCTAATTTCCTAAATAACATAAGCACATTAACACCTCACGCTACAGTTTTAGGAGTCTCTACACAATGGGGTGCTGTCCTCCGTTTGTTCATTCCCATGACTGGTGTAAATTGAGTTGAACTTATATAATGACTCAATGACCTCACTGCCTGCATTACCAAAGAAACATGCTACTCGCTCTCTAAACAGACTTATCTGCTTTAAAAAAAAAAAAAAAAGCACAGCCAAACTGCTACTTTGGATGATGCTGTGTTGCTGATAATTTGACTTCAGAGAGAATTAAGAAAAATACTAAAGTCACGCTAAGCATTTATTCTGCAGCGCTGACAGGGAGTGGTTTCTCAGGATTAGGTTCAGCATGATCTGCCTTTTGGCTGCATATTCTCAGCACTCACAGGGCCCCACCTACAGTACAACAATGTCTGGGAATACAGTTACTGCCATCTGCCCAGAGTTAGAAATTATATAAGCGTGTTCTTTGATCTAACAATAGAAACCTATTTTTCACAATACTTTGATTATTAAGACATGCAATGTGTTTTAATTGTTTATTATGAGTAAAATAAAATACTAAGATATTTGTGCTCTTCAACAAAAGACAAATCTCTGGCAGAGAGGCAGAATATCGGCACATCATCTCACCTCTATCTCCTCGTAGCTGGCAGGGAACTTCCTTTCCTCAAAGATCGTGACATGGTGGCGGATCCACTGGAGCAGAAGAGTCACCAGCTCGTAGTACTCCTGCCAACGCAGCTCCAGCTCCTGCAGCCAGCACAGCAGAAAAGACAGTCGGGCGTTTAACAACAACAACAGACAGGAGGGTGCTTATTCCTCCCGCGTCGCCATGTTCGATCGCTCGCGCACCACGCTAAACTCAATTAGGCGCCAAACAATCCGGGTCTTGTGTGAGTGGACAAGGAGGCAGAGTGTGGAAGAGGGGTGGATGAAGGGGGCAGAGGTGGAGGAGACAGTGGAGGGGGAGGAAGACAATGGTGGGAGACAGACAGACAGACGGTAGCAGGAGAGTTGAATTTAAAGAAGCCTTGTGTTTGTAAAACTATGAAGAGTGAGAGTGTTTCAATTTGTGGAATGGTTGGGATATAGAACTCAAGCAAAGTCCAAATATAAATCAATTTAAGATGTACAAACAATGTCTTTTAAGAGGTATCGGGGTGAGGAAGGGTCGGTTGAATGAATGTGAGGTAATTGTGTAAGTGATATCTGATTGCCAATCGGTGGATATTCGGGTTGAACATAATGGCATTGGGGTAGTTGTTATTTATATGATAAATCATTGTTTGAGTTATGGAGGTGGAGTAAGATCATATAAGCATAAACTTCTTCTTGCTCTTTTTCAGACATGTAATATTTATTTACATTGTTGATTTATATTGTTCATGAGAATTTCTATTTTTAGAGTTTCCGATACATTTACTGTTTTAGCATTTTGTTGGTTATTTTTGTTTTGCTTTTTTATGTTCGAAATACAAAATAAATAAGCAAACAAATGAATAAATAAATGTATCTCTGGTTCTCAGTCATTGGTTGCTGTTACTAGAAAAGATGCAAGATCAGTATTCACCTTTACTTGTTTTGAGATACAACAGGACATTAAATGCACCAGTAGCATACCATTAGTCCAATGAGTGTATAAACTACTATACAGTATGTTTTATGTGAACAGATGATGCGTGTCGATACATATGAGTTTATGCCCTTTGGCTAACGCAGTGTCAACAACACAGGTTGCTAATGTCCTGTGATACTTGGTTTCACAAGACTTCTCTCTGAAAGCAGCGGTGAATACTGCTAAAGAAAAGGCTAATTTATAAGCAGAGTCACAAGCCCATTCAGGTTTCAATAAATCTGATCAAGCATTCAATCAGATCTAATCAGAGCAAACGTTTGTGTTTGTCAAACCAGACTCATGGTCTGGAACAAGTTCTGCTCACGTTAGATCTGGCGCCATCATGTACATCCATCCGAGGCATGGCATCGTACAGGGATGACACATACGTGATGATGGACTTCTCATCAGGGTGTGCGACATCGACATCTGAAAGGACATCTCATTATTTCATGTTGCATGTTGCAATGAATACCGACAGTCACTAACGAGACATAATGCAGCACAACAAACCAAATTATTACAAGATTAAATGGCCTCTGGGCCAGTCTTACCCTCAGGGTCCAGTAGGCGGGTCACCCCCAGGTCGCTCTCTGCCACAGTGAAGGCCTGTTCCAGGTTCTCCAGGTTGGTCTGTCGGTACACTCTGCCCATGTCGATGAGTCTGGGACTAGGGGAACACAAGCATGGACAATTAATCACCAGGTGATAAGTTATAGCAATCTTCAGGGGGTGGTCTAGTGAAACGTTTCACACGAGTTTAATAGTATGACCGACTACAATCTGCAGTGTAAGGACGTGCATTTTGAGTCTCCATAACAGAACTGCCATGATACTATTTGATATCAACGTATGAGAGAAACTGTAAAGCTGCAATTAAAATGTTTAGCTTTCTATGCGCACTTGTTGTGTTGTATTTTCAGCCTCAGAAATCCAAAGTTAAAACTTGGGAAGTGGAATAGAATGGAGGGCTAAATGCCAATAAAGAATTCATGAAGTCTGTACAGGTTCGGCTCACTTATAAGCGGTGGCTGTGATTTTTTAAGACCTTCTGCCAATGGCTACATCCCACCTGTCCCACTTTCTCTGTAGGAGCACCTGCATTTTTGTCCTCTGGGTGTTTGACTCTCCCTGGCAGATGTCAGAGCGTCTATAGCTGGAATGTTAATTCATAGGGCAGCTGATGTAATCACAGCTGACACATTTTAAATAGGCAGCCGCCCACTACTTGACTCTCAGGACATAAAAAAAAGAAAAGGTAACGTCTTCAGAGTGCAAAGCAGGATGATTGAATGCATCACAAAACCTCATATGTCACGCATGCATACTTGACCATTACAGAACTTCTAATCATTATATCACAAAGTGATTCAAATGCATTACCAACTCCACAAATTCAAAAGTGCAATGCATATCCCTGCAGTACTGATTCTGATATTTAGTAAGCAAATCCAATATGTGCAATAAGTAACAGATGGAGCAGGTTCATACAGCTCTCTGATGCGTAGAGTGGAACGACCTGCATTCTGTCCGTGAGCAGGTGAAGCCTCCACATGGCGGATTTCTCGCACGGAGTACTGCTCTGTCGGCCTAGAGGAGCTGCTCATGCTCCGTCCCTCTCTGTCATGAAAGCCACGCGACCTGCATCCGTGGCACAGCTCGTCACCGCTGGAGCGGGCCCCCGAGCTCTGGGAACCCTGCCCCGAGTCCCAGGAGGATCCCTCTGACGGGATGTCCTCGCACAACATGACCACCCTGTCGTCCGCATCGCTGACAGATCGTGACACGCCGCCAGTGAAGCCGATGCTTCCCTTCTTCTTCTTCTTGGACTTCTTCCTTATACTGAGCATCTTAAGATCTGCAGGACGGCCCTCGTCCAGCGGCAAGTAAAAGAGGTTTTGCTTCACAGATCTTTCGGTGGCTTGACGGTTGCGTGTAAATCAATCCAATGCATTGTCTCAGGTGTCCATCATCATGTGAAGATCCTCTTAATCCTTCTGTAGGGTTGCTGAGATGAAAAATCCTCCTAGTGGTGCAGCCCAGTCACTGCTTTTTTTCCACGTGACGTCTAATTCAACAGTTGCGATGTTACGAATTAAATTAGTAACCCTTCACACACACTACATAAACCCTGGACAATTCTCTGGACGAACGCACATTCTGCTCCGGGATGCTCTGAACTGTGCCTACACACGAACCAACGCCACAGTTTTCATGTAGCAGCCACAAAGCGCCACAGTCACGCCCACACACCACACCCCTGACCGATATGAAAGGCAGCACTAATCCAGCCTCAGGTGTCTCCAACAAAAAGAGAGAGAGAAAGAGAGAAAAAAAAAAGTTTCAGGTGCACGCTCCAGTTCTTGAAAAACTTGCCCCTGCAGGCATCCCTTTCTTTCAATGCATAACAACTCTTAATGTGCTCCGCCTTTAACTTTCTCTCATCTAATACCACGTTGCTGTCTGGACTCTTCTGCACGAATCCCTTTGTTGAAGCGTCTAAAAAGAAACCAACCAATGGCAAACTGCATTCACAAATCTTCCTGAGAAACAAAAGGGCATTCATTTCCCAGGATGCCAAAACACAAAGCAATCCTTAACCATTAATTATACGATAAAGACACACAACAACTTGAGCATATTTGGTGGTCAACAGCAAGTACTTTACTTTGACTTTTTTGACTTTTTAATACCTAAGGTTATCAAACAATCTAATAGACTAATCCTGTTTAATAGCGTATTACTCATGGCCAACGCCTGTGTTATTCGTAGCCTAAAGGCCTCAAATGTTCATGGAGAGCCATTAATAATACAGCTTTTATTAAAGCTGCAGTACTGTCAGGTGCAGTAAGTAGAAAATTGGTCAACAGAAGACGTTTTTATGAGAAAGTTTAATCAGACGCAAGTGAATGATTAATTTAAGCATTGCGATATAGAGGATCTGCACTATTAAAATATGTTTTTCCATTAAAATAGTTATCATGTCTGACTGGAATAGACACATCTTGTCAGTACTGAAAGTGGGATTTAATTACAGAGCATGTTGAATCCGGCATTGTGAAGCGTAATTTGATATTTGAAAGCTTGGCAGAGGTCCCGCTCCTGGTCCAGTGCACTCAATATATTAAATTAAACTCATGACAAGACACGGCCCCTCTGGTCCTATTACAGTTCCCCTGCATTTTTTTTTTTTTTTACTTGACATTTAACAGTTAATATGTGTCTCTGCGTCTTTGAGTACTCTCCAAACTGACTCACATGCCAGTGCAATGACTTGCGTGCTCACGCTACCGTTTGTATCGCTGTTATCATTTTACAATCCAGCAAACAATCAGTGATAAATTGCCCCACTCACTGGTGTTTGTGTATGACAGCGTTGAAGAGCTTGCCGTCCCTCCAGCTGGTGGTGAAGTTATCGCAGCGGATGCCCTGGTAGCCGTCGGTCATCCTCTGGGACCAGAGCAGCAGCTTCTCCTTGGCCGTCATGTCTTCCGACTGGCCGTTGATCTGAATATCTGAGATCTGAAACAATATGGATACATATATATATAAATACAAATGCACTGTTGGAAAAGGTGGATGTTGTGTTAAAAATGCTAAATTGGTGAAATGTGGAAGAGATAAGTCATTAGTGGAAACCGTAGCATGTAATTTAAATGGAATCACCAGACACCCATAGTTCAGAACAGTCTCAATTAACAGCTTTCATCATTCCTTGGCTTAATGTCTTTGCTGGTTGTCTGGTCTATTAACATGCTAAACATTTATCAGGAGTTCAGTAGATTTAAGTGTTCTGACTTGGCTCACAGGATGCAGCAGGATTTCTGTCCTGAAAAACACCGCTTTTAAATTTGAAAAAAAGTGTGTAAATTGTGTGTAGATATCAATGTGTTTGCGCCATTCAAATGCATCTCCTCTCACACACTATAGTGCAAATCTGCAAACATTTTAAAATGAGGAATTATTAAAACAAAAATAATGGGATGTGATTTTAACTTTTGCAGATTTTTCTTTTTTTTTTTACCTTCTTCAATGAAAAGCATGTCGACAATATGGACCACTCATCTGGATGTTTTGATCATGTCGATTTTAGAGTGACTATTTAATCTCAGATCTTTTTGTACACTTATTTATTTTAGAGCGTACAATTCTTATTTCCTCAGTAAATTAAATCAATTGAGGATACTCGCGTTGTGAGATTACTTGGTAAGACTGGAATTTTCCTCTCCCCTCTGATCTCTATGACTCACCAGCTGCCACGACCCAGCTATGTTCCCTCTCTATTCTATAAGAGTATAAAGGCTCATTATGTGCATCTACAGGGCACCTTCACCATATCACCGCTCTCACCACCAGTGTCTCCTTTATTTCCCATGCTCCGCTTTTTAAAACCCGAACCTGAATCATTTGATATTACAAGGCGTGCCTCTTCCAGTCAGGCTGGTGCCCAGAGATTTCTGCCTGGCAGCTCTCTGGCATTCTCGGGAACAGCAGGAGCAGCATGACAATGAGCTGTACACTCAGCCTGACACACCCTCCCCTTGGGAGTTAGGGTGGAAATGACTCATATGTACACACCCTGATGGTGTTTATGTTCTTTATGCTGTTCATAAATCAGCCAAAGCACACCAAACATATGGCGGCGGTGTTAATATGTAGCTGTAAATGCTTCTAGAAATATGGTAAGACATATTCCGTTTTGGTTAGAGAATGTCAATTTTGAAAGGGAATTTGGAGAGCAGAGAATCCATTCCGATAGGTTCCAGGAAACAGCAGGTGCAGACCCCAGAGACAGAGGTATAGAGCGATAATATAACGGAACACAACACTGACAGAAGAGGAGACCTGGAAGTGCAGGATGATGGTCCATATTAACCCCAGGGTGAGCTTGGGGTTCCCATCTGCTATGTCATCGTTTCTGATGTTAACCAGCTTGACCTGAGAAGACAAAACGCGGTGCGATTATTTTCAGGATTACAGCATCTGGTGAAAACACACACACACAACAAGGTGACTTGTGACAGGGACAGGTTCAATGTCTCCTCATATGTTTCGTACCTGCCGGTGTCTGAGGAAGTCCAGTGCTATCTGTACATTCTGTAGTTTGTGGAATCGCATACGGCCCTTCTCTCTGGGCTGAAGAGGAGGGGAAAAAAGAGATGTTTGGTTACATGATGGACACTAGACTGTCAGAGATGATACTTTTGGTATACTCATGGTGAAGGAGAACGAAAAGCATTCAATCAAAACAGAGAAATGATGGGGAGGAAAACAGGAAATCACGTGGAAAGACATTTAAAAGAAAGAATAAATGAAGTAATAACTGGTGAATCTTGGATATTTTTCTAGGATTTCAGGTGAGTAATTATTTTGATTTCGTCCTGTTGTTCACAACCATCCCACCCCTTGGGGGAAAAAACCCTTTAGAATAGTAAATACAGCAGGAAGTTAGCAGTGGCTGAGCCACGCTTTTGTTTGATTTAAATCTACTGACAGCAAGCTACGAAGAGCTCATGATGCACAATGCTCAGTTTGTCCTTTGAATTTCAAATGTAAATCGGGAAAGTAATGCTGAACAAAATATGAAAAGTTCCTAAACAAATACAAACGCCTCCAAATACTGCAACGCAAAACAAAGTACAGCTTGAGCCCAAAACTGCCAAGTTAAAATAAAGTGTCAGCAGCAGCAGTTAGTTAGAATCCAGCAGCCAAATGCTTAAAGCGAGCATGTCAATGAATGAAAGAAAGGAAGAAGGCAACAAAACACTTGAGAAAGCGCAGATGAATAATAATGATGATAAAATAATGAACTACTGTAAGTTATCGACCCACTCACCAACCCAGCGGTCCTGACCACGTCTCTCTCCCTCGGCTAGCCCCAGCAAGAGCAGCGCAAAGAGAGGAGGCGAAGGCCAGACGGCAAAGATCAGCACACACAGAGAGGTCACAGCGAGGAAAAGGAGGAGTAGAGAAGGAGAACGGTATTCATCAGGTATAAGTATAGTACACACACACACACACACACACACACACACACACACACACAGGCCAAAGTGGGGTTAATGTGTCAAGGCTATGGAAGCGTTCAGAAGATGAGCAGAGCTGGAGCTGGTGGAGAGAGCGGTGAACTACAGCAGCAGAGCAGCCTCTGTACAGAGCTGGTGTGTTAGCCTTAGGATTCTAGTTGAAGACATATGCAGACTAAAAGGGTGTATGAGAAGTCACATGTTAATACAAACTAGATGGATAGTTAGGAAAGAGAGAAAGGGATCCTGGACTCAAGAGCCGCCGGTAAATGAGTCTTTGTTTAGCGAAGTTCAGCTCAGGTTAAGCCTCTGACTTCACAACGTGGCTGTGACTGGTTACGACTTGTTGCCACAGGGATGATATCCCAGCTCGACGAAGACAAGTACTCCTTGTGTAATTAGTCTGGATTAGGTTTTGGTTCGGAGGACGTCTGAGAGGTAAAAGATGCAGAGCTTGGGCAGACTTGTCGGCCCCTCGCCCTGGTCAGAAATCAGACATGGTGGCGGTACTCACCAGCGTATCCCCAGAGAGGACCTCCAACAGCGAGATCAGGTTATGTCCATCTCGAAGGTCTTCATACAGGTCTGTCACGTGACGCTGCGACTGCCAGGACAAAGGGAAAAGAGCATGTCACAGGGATTCAAGAGGCAAGCACCGTGAATAACACCGACAACCCCATATCACATACAGGGACAGCTATTCAGGACTAACAGCTGGGACATTTGTTTTGGTGACTGAGGCGGAACACAATAAATCACAATATTGGTCTATTTTTCCAAATGTTTCCAAATGCGCTGAAGCTCAGCTAGAAGTGCTTTACACTGATTTGAGAACTGCTTTTTGTTTGATATATGTTTACAGTGCTCAGAGCGTTCTCTCCACAGGTACAGTTCTACCCGGGACAGGAATGCATCGCCGTGAGCAGGCAGGCCTGATTCCAAATCCAAATGTCAGCTGTCATCCCTGAAAAGTGACAGATGGGACCGCATAAAAGCCAGAGCAGTGAGGTAAAAAAGCCACAAAAAAAAACACACATAAAATAAAATAAAACACAAAAAAGCCCAAATGAATCTTTTGGATTTCAATCAATCACCAGTCAGAAGTGCAGTCCCTGGTTATAAAAGTGAGGTGTGGTCTACTTGCAACCAAGACAGTTGTTGTGGCGATGCCAGAAAACACAAGATTGGAAAGGGGGAGAACAAAAAAATTGAGGGAGGTCTCCATGCAAAGTCGTCCCCATGACCAGACACATTTAGTAGAGTCAACCGCTGGAACGTGCCAGTACCTACCTCTGCCCTCCGATGCTGGGTGAAGAGGGGTGAAAGATGGAGGAATGAGAACAGATGGATGAGCAATGGAGAATCGGAGAGAACAGAAACAAAGGAGAGAGAGAGAAGGGGAGAAATAAATGACAATAAAATGAAGGGCAATGATTTGGTTGATGTAGATGATGGACACGGCGGCATACGGGACGGACAGATGAAACACAGAGTGGTTAAACTTCTTTTGTTTGTTCCACGTCATCTGAGTGCGTTCGGTCGTTGTGTGTGAAGGAGGCCTCGGCCCTCGAATGGAATGAAAGCGCATCTCCCTTGCAAGTTACAACAGTGGCTCATTTTATGTCGGCAAGAATTTCAACACAGTTCTCCAAACCTTAGATATGCTCCGCCCCTTCTGGCAGAGCCGAGATGAACACATCTGGATGTGAGTGGAGTGAAGACAGCCTGCACTGCCACCACTAGGGTTCACTGTCTACACATGTAAAACGTCCTCCCGGGGGCTATGTTGTGTGGTTTGATCAACTTGTGTCGAGTACTGTAATATAATATTCTTGAGCTGCACATGATTATTAAAAACTTTGAACATCTTAATCAAACATTACTGTTAAATTCCTTTGTTCAAATATGGAATTTTGCAATTATCTTGTGTATTTCCCAAGTGTGTACTCAAGAGCCAGCTGTCATCACCCCTCAATTACTTCGAGGCTCTGCTCCATGCGACACTGTTGCAGCTGAAAGGTAAGTGTTATGCTACAAATAAAGCTGCTCTGTAAACTTGTCAAGGTGAAAATCGTTAGCGCACATGGCTGACAGCACCTCATCCTGGTCCCTCCGCATGGAGACAAACGCTCAACATGCTTCGGGTTTAACGTGATGTTTTTACGACACCTTGCGCAATTCCTCTAAAACTCCCAAGGGCATACTTTCAACACTAGTTCGTTGTAATATGACATCAACCTGCAACGATTGTAGTTTTCAATCAATGTAACATCAAATGTAAGATTATGCTAGAGGCAGATTTTTTGCTCTGCAGCTGGTGTGACAGTATAAAAAGATTTACTGCGCTGGGGAGCCAGCCATCAGGCCATTAAATGTTTAACATCAGTTTAACCTGAGAGGGGCAGTCTTGCCGACCGAACATGTGCCTTTTTCTTTACTGACATTTTCAGTAGCTGAATGTAGGCGGAGATGATGATCCCTTTCTTGTTATTCGTTGCTCTTCTTAAGTTAAAAGTTACATTTTTCATACCAAATATTGACGTGCAATCCTTCAAACTTTTGAAAACAGTCATGCTTATACTATAGTGTTTGCTATCAAACCGTACCATATCAATATCTGCAATCTATGCAACTTCCCACACATCGTCAGTTTAGAACGGGCATGAACGCAGGTAGACACCCAGACCCGGGAGTCTATGCAGCACATGTGCTACCGTTGGCCTTAACCGCCGTGGGCCCTGGGCCAGAGACCAGAATTTGCCTTTTCAGAAGGAGGTAAATGAGTCCAGATGTCTGTGACTCACCCTCCAAAATTCACAGTGATCACTAAAGAGGAACAAGAGGATCTACCGTACGTTCTCATAGTCTGTCAGCACCATATTGCACCGCACATTCATGGAAAGGAAAACACTCTTTGTGCTTTTTTTCCCCCTCTTGTTCCATTAAAAAAAAAAAAAAGAAATGAATGGCCCTGTGTCTGTGGAGTGAATGTTCAAATAATGTGGAAGCGCTTAATGTTGTGATGGCTGTTAATGCATTGCTGCCAATGGGAGTTTTCTGGAACAAAAGTGGCACAGGGAGGGGTATATTTACTGCTCTGTGGGAGGGGTATTGTGTTACGGGGGCTCGTTTTTCACTTGTAATGAGGAACTCCAGAGTTAGGAGTTTGGCCCTGTCTTCCCCCGAAAGCGTGATGCATCAGCCTGCATTCAGGTCGTAGTTTGAGAACAGAGAGCGGGATAGGCGAGAGCGGACGCCCACTCTGGTTAGCCTCCCCCATCACGGTGCAATGTTAAAGACGAGGTGTGAGACAACAACTGCCAAGCTAATGTGTGTTTGTGTGAGGTGTCACGGTGATAATCACTTCCACAGGGTCAGTTCCAATGCACAGGTAAGGGATGGATTACATTTTAGATCATGATGACCAGTCACTCAAAAGAAACCTCTTAATTATATTATAATATAATGAATTAATTATAAAGACATTGTGCCGTGTCATTATTGTTTTGATCGCCCATCATTCTGCAGTGACAAATATCAACAATGCATCGAAATTCTTGCCAAAATAAAAATAAAGAATCCCAAACCAGTCTCACCTGTAATTAAAGTACATGCATTTCATTCTAATCAAAGGTGTAGATCAAAACTTCTCAACATCTGAGTTGTGACATGTTGTTGTTATGTAAGAAAGCAGTCAACCACATGTTTGTGAGGTTCAGAGAAAGGGACATATGTGTGGACACTTTTTGGTGAACTTGCATTTTTCTTTTGCACAGGTGTACCTCGGGAGTGTGAAAATGAACATGGAACATGACACTGTAGGCATGTGAGAGCTTGAATGTACCTTTAGGGTAAAGCATAAGAAACAGTAAAAGTCAAGGACGGCTCCTCACCTTTATCAAGTGCTTGTTCACCCATTTTGTGAAGGTCTTTTTCTGTACTCGATCTCGTTCATCTGCAAAACAGAGACGCCACAGTTAATCATCAGACACGTGTGAGAAGGAAACAAAATCGACAGGACTTTTGTGAATGTAGCCTAAACGTTAAAAAATTGTGTGCTGTAGCTTTGTGATGACGGATGTATCGCGGTTGGAAGCTCCATTTATTTGGCATAAAAGCAGCAAAGGAAAGAGGAAATCCCCAAAATACCAGACTTGTTTGATATCTGTAAATCTGACAAACAGATTCATCACCAGGTTAAAAAATGCCTCTTGACTGTGCACGCCTGCACCTGAGTCAGACCGCATCAGATCACAGTCATTGTCGGCAGCTGCCCCCCGCCCCCCCCTGTTGTCTGGGAAACGTTGTATTTGCGGGGTCACATCTGTCCCTATGACACCGCTGCCAGCTGTGCTCTTGGACACAGACATTCCTAAAAAGGATTCCATCGTGAGGGACGGATGTTTTAAGGTGCTCCGCATGATTACAACAAGACATGGCATATCTATTAGATAGTGCATTTTTCCTACAAGAAACAACAAGATCTTGGCAAGGACCACGCCCACTGAGACAACAAACCTGCATACACCCAATTCCTATTGGAGTTCAGGCAAAACCCACAAGGTGTGGTGGCACTGCAACATTCATTATGGACACAGTGGATGGATCGGGTCCGTTTTCACTTGATCTTTAATGCACAGTTTTCATTACGCAGCATGACAAGTGAGTGGCGCTGTGAAAACTGAGGGAGCAAATCAGGCACATTTTTGTATTTATACTGAAAAATCCTCCTTTACTGACTCACACAGCAAATAATTCCATCCACATTAAGCCAGAATGAACTATGGTCACCGACATCAAAGTCCTCTGTCTTATCAGTTTAATAAGAGTTATCTGAACAGTCAAATCATACAGCGACACACCCAGCAAAGAGAAGCAAAGGGCTGTGATTCAACCTTTAAACAAAAAAGGAGCCCACAGGCTGCATTTGTTTTTTCAGGAGGGTGTCAGCATGACTTACGCAAGTGTGTTATGGAACTACGCTTCCAAGGAAACCTTGTATCGACACTGCAGACCTTTTAACCACCTCGTTTATCATTGAAACCAATGGGGGTGGGGGGGGGGCCTGAGCTTATAACTACGTACTTCCTGCCAGGGTGGAGGAGTGACGATTGGTGACACACTCACACGGACGCGGCCGTATATTTTCCCAGAGGAGTTGCACCTTGACCTGTTGGGTCTCTGCATTCTGTTCACATCACGTTACCTAATCCTGTTTAAACTACTCTCTGTGGCCTCGTTGCTCTTTATAAGTGCAGGGTATGCGAGTGGATAGGGGCTGAGTGAACTTCAAGGATCAAATGTCACCAGACACCAAACAGGTTTCGGTGAGGTGTGGAGCTCACTGCCCACTACAGCGAAAAAGGTCAAAACAGCAGTGGTGAAAAGTACATTTACTTACATTTTCCACGCAGCTTTGTTTGCTTCGCAGATGAAGATTGTACACGCAGAACATACTGTACAATAAACGTATAAAGTACGATCTAATGTTATCGATGGAATGATCCAACAGTCTTGTTAGAATTAGCCACCACCTTAACCCAACACTTACACATTATTGCATTCGTAATAATACTAATAATAATAACACAAGTTAATTTTCGCTGTGTGATGAGTGCGTTGGAGTTTTTAATTCTTGTTTAATTCCTACTTTCACTTAAGAATTCAAATACTTTGTCCACCACTGCTCAGGGAATCACAATGGCAGAATCAAAGTGTCTTGATTAGGAGAACTCATGTGTTCCACTGCATGGTAAAACAGGGCATTCATTTGTTTTAGGGGAAAAAAAAAAAAAGAGGAACAAACTGGAGAAAAAAAACAAATAGACTGCAGCTGCAGTGACTCATTCAACCCCCAAAACACATGCATGCCACACAGCAAAAGTTGTGAATGGGCTTTGCTGACCAATACGAAGTGAGGAAGCTGCTGATGCATTAGAAAAGGGGAGTATCCTCCTTTAAGCCACAGAGATGGAGAGACACTGGACACTGCAGTCAGATCACAATAACTGCATGTCTGCCAGTTTTCAATGTTAGATTGCTTTGACATTCAAACTTGCCTGTGACGACACTGGACACCCCACCACCTTTGGAATGTGACTGATGAGCTAACTGATGTGCAGAACCACACATTAAACAACACGCTAGCCAATCACATGAACCTCTTAAAGCTCTTACAGACAAAGACGTATAAAACCTGAAACCATTGTCTAACGCTCCTCTCACCTCTTCATGGAAAAAGCACTTCACTCTTGCCCAGCGGTGTCTCACACACACACACACACACAGGAGCAAATACATCAAGATCAAGACTTGCAATGGAGCCGTTTTCCATCGATTGCCACCATACTGGTACCTTTCCTGCCGTCCGTAGCCTTCAGCATCCCCCGGTTATAGCCTTCGTCTGAGGTCATCCTCTCTCTGCCCGTGCTGTCAGAGGAGAAATTCCTGAACCTCTGCTGCTGAGAGTTCATTTTCACTGTTTGTCAGCACGCAGGATAATATTCCTAATGATAAAATATCCTCGGCTGCTTTCGCCCTTGAGAGCAAACTTCTGCTTTTCTCGCGTCTATCTGTCCCTCGGGTTCGTCCCGGAGCATGCAGTCCTGTGGCCACAATCCACTCAGCACTTCACAGACCTATGATGTCTCTCCCTCTCCTTTGCCTCTCAAACTCCTCACTCCCTCATTGGGTTAGACTCTGCCCCTCTTTCTTTTCTTTTTTTCTCTCTCTCTCTTTCTTTTCTGCTCTCGCTCACTCTATCCCTTTCATAGCAAATGGTGCCTGTGGGCTATGAAGTCTGGGCCTGTCCTTGTGTGGGATGAGCGAGTGTGTATTTAGTGGGCTCTAGTGTGTGGAGGACATGGTGGGCGGGGCTCTAAACACACCTCTTCCTCTTGCAGCGTGCCCGTGCCTCGCCGAGGACGAGGTGTGGTAACCTAGCTGCATGGACTATTGCTTCATTGCGCAAGAAAACACACACACACGCGCGCGCAC